CGGTCTGCATGCCCGCGCCGGGATGCCACATTATGGAGCAGGATGAGGTTCTGCGAAGCAGGGCGTATGTGGCTGCCGCGGCAGCGGCGGTGGCGACTTCCCGTCCTGGCGTTGTGGGTAGTGACCCGGGTACGATGCAACAGACCCTGGGCAACAGGGCACCTTCTGCGGCGGCCGGATTTCCAGCGGCGGCGGCAGCGGCCGTTTTCCCTGGGGTGCCTCCGCTGCCGCCGCTCCGTACTGCAGCGACGATGACGGCTTCCCCCAGTGCCGCCGTGGCGCAGCACCACCAACACCACCACCACCAGCACCACCACTATGTGACCCGCGGCGCGATGTCCCAGCACGCCCGTACCTCGATGCCGGTCTTCAGCTCGTGTGGTGGCGGCGGCGCTGCCGCCGCCGCCGCGGCGGCGGCGACGGCAACTTCCCCCGACGCCTGCCTGCAGCAGGCCATTCGGTTGCAGCAGGCGCTTGCCGAACAGGCCCGGACGATGAACGCGCAGCAGCAATACGTGGACGCACTCGCAAAGTTTGCAGCTGCACGTGAGCAGGTGATGGCGGCAGCGTCACTGCTCAACAGCAGCGGCACCGGCAGCATGGCGGCGGCGACTGTCCCGGTACCGCCAGCGTTGGCAGCTGCCGCGGCTGCCGCCGCGCAGTCGCACCACCATCATCACCACCACCCTCATATGGCGGCGGCGGCGGCGGCGCCACCGCCGGCGGCCCCCGCCGCTGCGGGGCATGCCATGAGCGCCTACTTGGGCCACCATCACCACATGGCCGCCGCGCCAGCCGTCAGCGTCAACCCGTATCTTGCCCAGGCGGCGCCGTCGCCCAGTGCCGTATCAGGTGCCGTACCGGACTTGAGTGCACTGCTCATGTTTCAGAACGCGGCGCCGATGAGCCGACCGTTGTATTGATGTAAAAGGACACCACCCCGGGAAAAACACTGATAAAGGAGAAAAAGATAATCTCATATATTTCGCGCTTAAGGGAGGAAAGGGGGAGGGGGGAGGTTCGGACGAGGGGCGGACGAGGAGGAGGGGGAGGGCGAGGAGGGGAGGATGTGCGGCTGGGTTCCCTCTACAGCCACCTCCTTTGCGGTCCTCTGGTTGCTACTACCTGAGGTAGATTCCACCTCACCGCGCCGAAGCGCGTCATCATCCGGAGCGGCCCGGTCTCGTTGAGGGGGGCGCCACGTCACCCGCCACAAGCAGCAAGCCACTAACGAGGGGGGTGTTTGGGGGGATGTGTTTTTTTAAGGTGGCCGCAGTGGGAGCGCATGGGGGCATTCCCACCCATCGAGGTTGCCGCCGCCGCCGCCGCCGTTGCGGGATGTATCAGTACTTCTATACTAGAAGAAGAAGGCCACTCTATTTGGAGCATCGCCTTGAAAAGCTGTTGCTTTCTTCCTATGCATATTGGGCATTGAGGATGTGGGGTGGGGGCGTTAGTGGGGACTAGGACCCAGACGCTGCGCCTCGCAGCAGCAGCAGCAGCAGCAGCAGCAGGGTATGGTGTTTTGGGGCGGGGGCCCGAGCGGTGTCTGTCTGTCTGTGTGCATGTGCGCACCACACGAGGGGAAGGCGACGATGATGTCACACACAAATTGTACGAGAGCGCATTACCGCCGGACATTCTTTGGTGCCGACCGATCGAGACCAGCATTGGCATATCCTTCGACGACGATGGCGATGGTGAGGATGAATAGCTTTGTTGACGGAGAAGAAGTTTAAACAAATTGTAAAGTCAGTTGCAGTTGAGTCTCATGCTTGGAACGGGTAACCCAAGAGCGCCGAGGCCCTGTTGTGCGTGTATGTGTATGTATGTATGTATGTATGTATGTATGTATGTATGTATGTCTTGTGTGTGTAGGCCAGGGGGGAAAAGCGGGCCCCGGTCAGCTTGATGCGTCCTTGTGCATGTGTACAACACGTATGTTTGCGCGTCTGTCTGTCTGTCTGTCTGTCTGTCTATCTGCCTTTGCGCTTTGCAGCTATTGTTGCCGTTGCGGTTGTCCTTATTGCCCTTTACGTTTCTTTGGTGAACGGCGTTCGCCCGCCCCCCGCGGCGGTTGTACCTCTTACCATCCAGCGCTAATGCAACCGCTGGAGCAATGAGGATGCAATGCTGCTGCTGCTGCAGTCTTTCTTGGTTGGGGGAATGGTGAGAGGAAAGGGAACTATATGGACTATATAGACTAGAGTCGCATCCGGGTGTTGCTGGGTTGGGGCCGACATGAAGATCACCGCCACCACCACAAGAAGAAGAAGAAGGAGAGAGGGAGAAGGAGGGCTCTGGCACGTCGTCGTCTTTGTCGGTGAGCGGCTCAGCAAAGGCCCGCAGGGGGTCCCGAGAGCGGCTGTCGCGGCTCTGTCTTGCCTGGTACCTTCCTGCAGGGGAGCGGGCGACTGTGTAGCTTGCCCCGGGGATATTGCATACAAGGGTTTTGCAAGGGGGGGCCTTAGTAGTTGCGGGAGGGGGTTTATGTGGTTACAGTTGACCGGGGTTTTGTGTGCCTGGTGCGGGGTAAGGCTGTTTGACTACTCAGGGATACGGAAAAAAAGTTATAGTGGTCCACCGCTCTCTCTCGCTCTCGCTCTCTTTCGTCGCCGGTCGAAGAGGCTTTCATGCAATGCGTGCGTGCGTCTCTTGCGTGTGTGTTGTGTACGTCTGTCTGTTTGCTTTGTATGCTTGTGTGTATTTCTTTGCGCACCTGCACATGCGTCTGTGCCTAGGAAATACATGCGTGTGTGTATGTATGTACGTGTTTACGTTTATATACCGTGGTGTATATGTATATGTCTGTAGCGTTATGATGTCTGCGTGTCGTCCTGAACTGCTGCAGCCGCTCATGCGCCTTAGGAAGTCTAATACGTATATTGATGTGCGGGTGCACAGCGCACGCGCACAGCAAAAAGGGTGGGGGGGGGAAATGGTAACGCCGAGCGTATTTTGTGCGTGTGTGTGAATACTTGTGTTCCCGCATATACACGTATGTATGTGCATGTATGTACGTGTCTTTGGCGGCCCGGCCAGTATTCGACGCGCCCCGCGCCACGCGCTGGGGCGCCGCGCTGGCTGCGAGCACCTCTCTCCCCTAGCCGCTCTATTGCTGCAACATGCAACTCGGCGGCTAGTTGGAAGCGCCTTGCTTGGTGGGTTGATTGGCTCGGTTGATCGTTAGGAAATTTGCGGGGAGAGAATACAGACACATGGTAAAGGGCCCTTTCCTGAACTTCTTTTTTCCACTCGACTTTGGGAGGTAGAAGGTAAAATAGCGTTGTCCACAGCTGCCTTTTGCACAGCAGCATCGGGGCACACTGCCTGTCGTCGTCGTCCCGCCCTCTTGACGGCGGTGGTGGTGGTAATGGTGGTGGTGATGCATCATCACAAGTGAACCGCGATCCGTGTGTCGAGTTCGTCATCGTCGTCGTCGTCGTCACTGGGGTGTCTACGTGATCCGAATCCTCCTCCCCACTAGCTGCGGATGTATGTATGTAATCAGGTGTCTCGCCCTGTTCCAGTTGTTGTAGAATGTCCGTATACACATCTCATCTCCCATCCTTTGAGCGGGCACGACTTTTGATAGTGATTTGGATTGGGAGGAGGACGGCAGCACACTGCAAAGAGGTTCCCTTCATCTTGATCGATATCCGATAACTCAACTCTTCTAATAACATTTTTTTACACAGTGCTTTGGCGGCCGGGAAGCAAGTGCGCCCATTCTGTACGGGCACGATCCCTACATGAGCCTTATGTAATAAGTATTCGCCCCTTTCCACCCTCCCGCAGCGTGCCTTTTACTTTAGTCTGTCTGTCTGTCTGCCTACCTGGCGATGTCTCCGAAAGGAAACTTAAAATGCCAGCAGGATAGAGGGCCCAGCACATGATAAAAAAATATAGCAGATAGCACACTTCGCCAGCACATGCAGACACTTAAGAAAGCCATCCATGTGTCGGGTCGGGTCGGGTCGGGAGGTGTCTGGACAGCCACCTCCCGTACTTGGGTAGAACGGTAGGAGAAGGAAAGAGAGCCGGAGAGATGGGGCGGAATCTGGTCAAAGAGGCGCTTGGAGGTCAAGGAGCCAGCTCTCCGCCTTAATAGTAAATTCCGGTCTCGGCCCATTGATCCAGAGGTTACTGGTGCAGCTCCTCTCAGCAATACCCTCCTGGGTGCGGCCCTTGGCCCTCGGATCCGCCGAGAATGGGAACACTACACTGCCTCCCTTACTGGGGGAAGAGAGGGAGTTTGCATGAGTTGCTGATGAGCGGCACGAGGCTCTTCGTGCTCCCTTGCTAACTGTGATCATAGCTCGGAAGTTCGAAAGCTCAGTTGGGGATCAGTTGGGGAAAATTAGCTGGAGCACTTGGGACCCAAAAGCCTAGTCAAAGACTGGACCCTAAAGCCGACCTATTTCGCAACTTTGGTCTCTCCGAGGAGGAAGAACAGACAAGCGAGGTCGGCTGCCGATAAATTCTCACCTGGCCTATTGGTGGAATGCTTGGTCGCGACAAGCTTACACGCCGTACGCCACGCCAGATTTTGAAATGATTTGCCAGCGTTTGACCAGCATCACAAACTTTCCCGCCACGAATAGCCTCTCTGCTGTCAACGCATGCAGACTGTCACTGTGCCCTTCTGCTGCCTCAATCCAGGGTATATACGCTATTGACCTGCATAAAGTACCATACATTTTCAACTGTTCCGACTGCGCACAGTCAGTCATGAACCTCCTCAACAAGAGGTGTCACAACTTTTACATTCCATAAAATGGATAACAACCTGTCAAAGAAGCGCGGAGCACTTTTGCTGGGGCCGACTGAGCACCAGGCAACCGCGAAACGTCCCGCTGTAATTGAAGCCGCACGCAGCAGAGCGCTTGCAGTGCTGAAGTCAACATATGGTAAATGAAAGTTTCGAATGCAGCGGGAATGGACTGCTCTGCACGTTCCGTTCATTCCACTTAGCACTTTCACCGCCACGCCTCTTTCCAGGCTTTGACGCCTTCCGAGGAAAGCAAGAGGAGGCCGTCCTGGCAGCGCTCGCCGGTGCGTCTCACACAAGTCCCCCACCTCCTCCTCTTCCTCCGTTCCTTTCCCTCGAGTCAAACCGCTATTCGAGCTGTAGATGCCTGCCAAGCAGCGCCCTGCGGGCCTGCTCCCCCCATGCCATCCCTCACTTCGCTCCCCCTTTTCCCGTAAGGCGCCGCAACCCCCCTTCCCCTCCCCGCCCTCCACTTTCCCCCCGCAACGCATTCAGGCAGGTGCAAGGCCCCTCATATTACGTCTCATGCACCTCATATTATACCTCTGCGTCTTGACATAGGCGACGCTGCCCCCCGGGCGCCTTCCCCCCCCGCACACACCTCCCCTTCCCAAACGCTCTCCAGGCAAGGACGTGTTGGTCATCATGCCCACTGGCGGCGGCAAAACCATCTGCTACGTCATCCCCGCGCTCGTGCAGCCGGGTGTGTGTATCGTGGTGTCACCTCTGCTAGGTGGGTCGGTGGGTGAGGCGGGGGTGTGGGCGGCGGCGGCCGGACCAGGAGGGGTGGCGGAATGAGGGGGAAATAGGGGAAGGGGGAGGGTGTTGGAAGTCGCCTCTCCGGCATCACGACGTTGGCGGATCGGGATGTGATAACAAGTGGGGGGGAAGAAAGCTGGCAGTCAGGCAGTAAGGAGGCGCCATGGGCTGATCGTCGGCAGCTGATAGCATTTGATATCACACATTCGCACATCCACACACCCGTATGGGACTTCACATATCCCCCCCCATATTATCCCCCTATCGCAGCCCTGATGCAAGACCAGGTGGCCAACCTCACCCAGCGGGGGGTGCGGGCCGCTCAGCTCTCCTCCGCCCTCCCGGCAGCGCAGAGGTCAGCCATCCTCGATGACCTCTCCTCCAGGGGGGGGTCAGGGGCCCCGGGAGGGGGTTGTCCTCCCGGCATACGGCTGCTGTTGGTGACTCCGGAGCTATTGGATGCATCTGGCAGGTGTGTATGTATGTATGTATGTATGTATGTATGTATGTATGTATGTATGTATGTATGTATGTATGTATGTATGTATGTATGTATGTATGTATGTATGTATGTATGTATGTATGTATGTATGTATGTATGTATGTATGTATGTATGTATGTGTGTGTGAGTGTGTGCTTAGTAAGGCGGTCCTTTCGGAGGCAGCCCTCTCCGAACGAGGGAAGGCGGCTTGGAGCACCGCGGTAGGAGCCAGTGTGGTGAAGTGCTGTCCATGCCGGCGGTTGTTCCGGTGGACAGGGGCCGTCGTTGCTCTCTGAGCTTTTGCATCCAGTCGTGTTTCCAACTCCGTTCGCATGTGGCTGCTGCTAGTGCTGCTGGCTGCTGCACCTCCCCCCCTCCCTCCCACATCCAGGTTCCGGAGCGTTCTTTCCCGGCTGCATGCCCAGCGTTACCTGTCGCTGTTCGCTATCGATGAGTCCCACTGCATCAGGTAGGTGAGGGGGGAGGGGGAGGCGGGGGGAGGGCGTTTGGAAGGGATTTCAGGGAGGAATAGGGTTTAGAGTTTTTTGCGCAGTACGGGGTTGTCCAGGTCGCGGTGGCAACAGCCCCGAGGTCATACCCCCGACCCTGCCTCCCCCCTGGGTCATGACCGCTTCACACCCATCGACAGCGCTTACGCAATCCCCTAAGCCCATGACACGCCTAAAACTCCTTCCCCCCTCACGTACCCCTCACTCAGCCACTCTCCCCTCTTTCCGCCGCAGCACCTGGGGCCATGACTTCCGACCTGCCTACCGCCGCCTTCAAACCCTCCGTCGTGACTTCCCCGGGGTGCCCATCATGGCGCTGACGGCGACTGCGGCGTCGCAGGTGGGGCCCCGGGATGGGGGTGGGGGTGGGGTGGCGGGGAGGTGTAGGCTGTGTAAAGGGGAGGAACGATAGGAGAAGGGAAGGAAGGAGCGCAACAGGGGGGCCCCCGTTCACGTTGCTGTGGCGCTGGCTGCCGCCGCCGCAGTGTCATCCGGCGCCGATGGCGTTTGTGTGCTGTGGCTGCGGTGCGGTGCTTTCTCCCTCCCTCCCCCCTTCCCCCATCTGACCGCCTATACACTTCCTCCACCACCACTATGTCGCGGGGCTGGGAAACGGAGTGGGGCAGCACGTGTGTGAACAGCAGCAGCAGCGGGTACTGGTGTGCACTCCCGGGGTACACCCGTTTTTACATTACTAGGTGTGCATTCGAATGTCAGATTGGGTGGGGTAAAGCCGGTTCAGATCACATCACATCACCGGGTGTTTGTGGGAGGTGGTATTTCTAGGGGTGAATGAGGGCACGTGGGTTTCCCCGCCGGGCTTTCACGGACCTGCGAGGGCCGCTCCCTAAGGGGCTATGCAGGGGCCCTGTGGCTAGGCAGCTAGGTACGTAGGGCGGTAGGTAGCTAGGTAGGTATCAGATACACGAAAATAAGATAATTGAAACTAGAATAAGAAGGGGAAGGGGGAAAGGTGAACAGGTATATCTGAGGAAGGTGCGGCGTGTGGGAGGGCCGCCTGCAAGCATATACTTGGCTTGCGGACCTGCTGCAAGTATACGAGCGGCTGCTTGCAAGTATACGAGAGGTGCAAGCATATGCCGGGTGCCTGACGGTTCATCCTGCCGAGTGCATTCGCAGTTTGTCCAGAAGATAGAGAACTGCGAGCTGGCCATGTATGCGGCGGCACGAGGGTTGGCATGGTCTGTGAAGGGTTGCAAGCGGCCGCCGGAGCATTTCAAAGGGAGAGAAATGGTGGTGGGCTCTAACGGCCGCGCGCTGACAGAATGGTACCGTTTGGAAGCGCAAAAAGAGCTTTAATAGTTCTGGGGAAAAACTCTCGGACTACTGATTAGGCTGGGCAGTGTCAACATGCCAGGTTCTCCCGGACTAGCGCCCGCCGCCTCGTGTCCTTATGGGGGGCTGCGTTATCGACTTGCCCTCCAGGTTGCAGGCGCGGTGGCGCAGGCAGGGAAACATGTGCACGGTTGTGCCTGATCGGGGTTACTGGGGAGTAGTTTTAGTAGGCCATCGGGTTTCATGAGGTTACGCTGCAACAACTCAGCAGCTCCTGACAGGAAAGCCCTTATCGAAGGAACCCTAATCAGCTCCAAGTAAGTTGAGGCATCAACGGCGTAAAACATATATCCGTGCATCAAGCGGATAGTAACTTTTATGAACCGAAGTTGCAACATGCTCTCAAGATGCCGTTTGACGGTCCAATTGACACAGCAAAGGCGCAGCCTGCGACAACCGCGGAAATTGGAAGCTTTCCGCTTGTGTACAGGGGCTTTGGGGCGTGTAACCGCGTTGGTCAAACCGCGCTCACCATACTTTTAACGTTAGGCTACTAACCTCCGTATCGCGCACGCCATACTCGATGCTCGCAAGGCAGGCTCACCAGCCTGCTTCGCAAGTTTTGTAACCAGTATTGTCTAGGCATTACTTTAGATGGTAATGATGTGGGGAAATTGCGGCGCGGGTCGCGCGTGTGGTCGTAAGCGGTTTCTGGCGGGCAACCAACATCGCCTGCACAACTTTACCCACATTTTTTGCAAATCCAGACTGGTGATTAAATCATATCCTCCTCCTATAGGGTTTAGCCTGGTGCCGCTGTCAGCTTTGCTCCTTTATACTAGAGGCGGAGTGTTTCAACGGGATTTCCTTGCGTTTAGCTCCTTCCACTAATTAATCAAGTTCCTTTCTACTGGCAGCGGCTGGCCTGGCAAACATTTACACACAGAATGAGCAGCGCTAGCGACCGTTCTGGTATGCCTTGTTGCTTGGGCAAGACTTTCCGTCTCGGCCGGCCTTACAGGCATCTAGTTCTTGGCAATTGTATAAGTAGGTCAGCTTGTCTGGCGGCGGTTGGCTTTGGCACTGGGCGTGGCTTGGCTGATGAGCCTACCCGAAGACACATATATACAGCCAATATTCTTCGTCTCATGCTAACATATGCATTATCACAGTGCTAGCCAAAACGACAGCGCCCAGCCAGGCTGAGTCGAAAACCGGTTCTCAATTGTATGAGCCAGCAAGATAGCGGAGTACATCTTCAGGCCCTCTACTGACCAGGTCGTACTTGACTAATCTCAAAGAATTCCATTAAACGAAGCGGGCTTGTCTAGTATGGTAGGAAGTGCAGTTTAGGGCCCCCACATGGACATGGCCGCAGAGATGTATGCATTTCGACCGCTCTCCAGCATTCTAACAAAGATTCTAACCTAAAAGACGTTCAAGGAAAGCAGAATAGAGGATTACAGCAGAGGTTAGGACTGAGGTTGGGGCACCCTCCCACACGCGGCATGGCGCATAGGATGCGCACCTGCAGCCCTTCCTTACGATAGAGACCAGGTGAAACCTCGGGATCACCACGGACCCTCCGTAAACCACGACGCAACCACCACAAAGTCACAACCGTATTCAAAGCTAATCACCGTCGCGGCTCTAGTTGCGGTTGTGGGCGTGGGATCTTAGCGGTCCCGGGGGCGCCGTCAGTAAGCGGAGCTGCGCGGCACAAATAATGCCAGCAGCCCCTCGCCTGGCCGGCCGCGCACAGTACGTATCCGCTTGTCGTGCTGAGTTGTGCGTATCCCGGAAGTTTACGGAACAGTGCGCTCACTCACAAAGTTGCAAACACGAATGTCGATAAATCACCATCGCCGACAACAAATTGTAACCACCAGCATGGCAGAGAAGGTCGGATGACGTTAGCTGCTATACCAGCGAGCCGGTGGTTCGGCGCAGCGGGTCAGCTCCTGGGCAGAAGAGGGAGAGCGCTCCGAAGGGTTTTGGCCGGATCCAGGATCGTCGATTGGAGAATGAAGCGGAGGCGAGTGTTCTGTCGGCGGCACTTCGCGCTATTCCCCCTCCAACCTCAAGCTATGCTACATGCGCGATGTTGGACGCTGCCGTACTGTCTCTACCGCATGCATCAACTTTTGGGCTGCTGCCTTCTCCTTGAGGTCCCGTGAATTTCAGCCTCCCGAGAGCGAAGGAGGAGGAGGAGGAGGCCGCTAAAGGAGGAGGAGGAGGAGGAGGAGGAGGAGGAGGCCGCTAAATCGCACGGACGGAGACGCGACGCAGCAGTAGTCGCCGAGGGTCAACCAAACACGCACCGCATTGCTTTGATATGAGGAGGTCAGCTTACTTCTTACCATCTCGCGGTCCTATCTTGCTTGCGTATGGCAACAACCCTGTAGAAACTACTGGCTAGCGATTGCGTACCGACTTGCCCCTAAACTCAGCTACGCAACACACAAGTTGCAGGGGAAAGTAAAGCAGAACATGTTTGCCATGCCAAAGTCATATGTTTGGGAGATGCTGTGCCCTGGCTGGAACAGTCGCAGCTAGATTTTTAGCGACGGGGAGAAACATGCGCATACGTGCTATATGCCTTTTGGGTGAAGCCGTTTGCAGTTGGCTTGCCTACGCTTTCATAAATCCGCTTAAAAACCAGTACAGCACATATTTATCAGCGGTTCGGATTAGAGCGGATCCGCTCTGGTTCGGATAGATTCGGTAAGATAAAGATGCACCTTATAGAGCTCATGATTATGCGTAACCCATGAAAGCGATTCCAATTATAACTATCACATCAGCTGACTCGCGGCTTGGGAATAATATTCATTTCCGGGTCTTGGCAGTTTGACCTTCCTGTGGGTCGCGACATTACAAGTTCCCGCTGTGTTAAGAAGGACGGGACATACCAAAAGCCGAGAGAAGCCAGCGTAACGACGTCTGTAACTGGGTACCTGCAAACAGATAGATGGTGGTGCTATACCCTGGGGGGACCTAGTCCGAAGCTATCATACGGTAATGGCACGGTGAAAGCCCACGCTGCAGTGCTTTTCTCAGTACTGGCTTAAAGAAGCCCTTTTCGACGAAATCCCTTTTGAACAAACGCTTACGCCTTAACAGCGACCACCAACCGTGTACGACAAATCAATATACTTGGGCTACCGGCTACCTTCGCTTGCCGCGATAGGCCCCTTGAGCCCCTTGCCGTTCCTCGCTCGTTTAGAGTCTAATCTACGGCTATAAATCACACTATACAACACGCTTAATAGTGGCTCCAAGGCTGTGTGGGAATGTAAGCAGGATCGTTCCGCAGCTTTCATCACCGATTGCTGTCCTTCCGAGTACTGGTGTGATGTACCGACCTGCTTGCGCCATACGGAATATCTGTGGGATATCTGGCCACTGCGGCTGCACGGCCAGTCCAGTCCAGTCCAGTCCAGCCCCCTTACCCCATCACCTCGGTAGAGCTCTCCCCCTCCCCGCCGCAAACCCTTACGTGCTCTGGCGCCTAAAGCCCTCCCGGGAGTGATGACCGCCCCGGTGACTCCCCGACGATTGCTGACCGAGTCCCCCGCATACATGTGGGCTGATGGGCCTTGATGCGGATTACGACTCGGAATCGAGTTGGACAGAGGGGCTGATGGGGGGTCTGCGTGCTTTGGTGACCTGTGTGTTGTGACCTGGGATCGTTGTGGTGCCGTTGGAGGGGGTTTCGTGTGCATGTGTGTGTGTGCATGTGTGTGTGTGCATGTGTGTGTGTGCATATGTGTGTGTGCATATGTGTGTATGTGTGTTTTAACTGTTCGTTGCGGCAACAGAATGGTGTTCTCCTGCCGGTGGTGCTACTCCTACTGCTGCCCCTCTCAGGTCCGGGAGGACATTTGCGAGCAGTTGCGGCTGCACAAGCCGCTGCAGCTGCTGTCTAGCTTCAACAGACCCAACATCAGCTACACAGTCAGGTGGGCCAACCAACCAACCAACCAACCAACCAACCAACCAACCAACCACAGACAGGTGCCCTTAACGCACACACACGTGCCCCTGCACAGGCGTAAAAATACATACTCGCATACACATACATGCCGCTTATAACTGCATTGGTATTGGCAGGCACACACAGAAACGCACACAAACGCACATACCGCACTTCTGCCACTTCGCCTCCTCCAAGAGCTCGCTTGTCTTGTGCTGGCTCATTGGTATACCTTCCGTTTGTCTGTCGCCTCATACATCGTTTTACTTCTTTCAGGCTATAGACCGACTTGCACACTTTCCAACTCTGCTCTCAATCAAGTCACGAACTGACACACACACACACACACACACACGCTGTTCCTGCACGTGGATGTGATGTGCATGTGTGTACATGTATGAGTGTGTGTATATGTGCACATGCCATGCGCGTTTTGGAAGTGCTAAACATACGAATTCATGCACACATGCGGCTTCCTATTTTTGCTTGCATGTACGGTGTGTACGGCAGATATTTGGATGTGGAAAAGATGGACGAGATTGATGCGCTGGTCAAGATGTTGTCCCAGCGGAGAGTAGCTCCAGGTCCGGGGCGAGTCCGGGGGGTTGGGGCAGAGGAAAGGGATAAGGGAGCTCTGCTGGGTGCTGAGGGTCCCCCTTGGGGGGGGGGAGGGGGAGGAAGCTCGGCCATGAGTAGGGCTCGAGTTGAGATGCGCCAAATGCCAAGGACTTAGCAGCCGGAGGAGGTCCCCTCTGATGATGTTGCGGTGGCTGGGGAGTCGTGGGGGTTCGGTAGTGGGGTTGCGATGGGGGGTTCTGTGTGTATGTATGTAAGTGTGCGTAAGGGGGGTTGTTAGGCCGGAATGTACCTGGGGGGGGGCGATGGGGCCACCCGTGCATGTGCGTCCGGGCGGTCGGCCCTCCGCTCCTCCTGCCTCCTTCCCCCCCACACCGCTGACGTGGTGGGCTTTGGGGTGTGTCTGTATTTCTGTATGTGTGTATGTGTGTATGTGTGTATGTGTGTATGTGTGAGGAAAAGGGGTTATTTCGGGCTTGGCTGTGCCGTGCTGGGCTGCATTGGCAGACTGTTCACGTGTTATTGGCGGGAGGGGGGACTCGGGAACGGTTGGGAGGTATTGTGAGTTACACACACATACACATACACACACACGGCTACAACAATAGCTCTGGTAGCTGCCCGCCTGACGAACTACCCACCAACTCACCCACCTACCCAGGTACCAAGAAGTAAACACACACACAGGCACACGCACACGCCGGCCAGCCGGCGCCCTCTCGGCACGGACACATATGCTGATTTCCGCTTCCTGCACGTCTCGTACATGTCCACCTGTCGTACTCAACAGGTGGAGTACTGCCGTGCAGCATCGTGTACTGCCAGAAACGTGATACGTGCGAGGCGGTGGCGGGCAGGTTGTCCAGGGAGGGATTGCCGGCGGCTGCATACCACGGCCAAATGCGGGACTCACTCAAGAAGGAGGTGAGGGGAGGGGGAGGTGCGTTGAAGGGGGGGGAGGTGAGGGGGAGGGGGAGGTGAGGGAAGGGGGAGGGGAGGGAAGGGGGCGGACAAAAACAGGATTTAGGAGGGAGAGAACGATCAGAAATCCGTACAGGGGAAATGCAGCTTTTAAAAGTCACTTGTTCAGCACAGCACAGGAAACGCATTGAAAAGCTGTTTGGCACTGGCAAGGGGTCCAGGGGTAGTGGCAGGGGATGTAGGGGGCGCGGACGGAAGGTCACCACGGTAGGGAGGCGCCCAGGCTTGTCCCCCTTTTCAGGCGATCAGACTGCCGACCCGACCCGACCCGACCCGAGCCGACCCGAGCCGACCCGAGCCGACCCGAGCCGACCCGAGCCGAGCCGACCCGACCCGAGCCGACCCGAGCCGACCCGAGCCGACCCGAGCCGACCCGAGCCGACCCGAGCCGACCCGAGCCGAGCCGACCCGAGCCGAGCCGACCCGACCCGAGCCGACCCGAGCCGACCCGACCCGACCCGACCCGACCCGACCCGAGCCGACCCGACCCGACCCGACCCGACCCGACCCGACCCGACCCGAGCCGACCCGACCCGACCCGACCCGACCCGACCCGACCCGAGCCGACCCGACCCGACCCGACCCGACCCGACCCGAGCCAGCCGAGCTGGGTAGTCTATCCCATCACGCGGGGCAGTGCATACAGCGGTCTGTGTGGTGGTGGGCTGTTACTGCTGCTACTGCTGCTGCTACTGCTGCTACTGCTGCTGTTACTGCTGCTGCTGCTGCTGCTACCGCTGCTGCTACTGCGTTGCCTGCTCAGGTTCTGCGGCGGTGGCAGGCGGATGAGGTGCCGGTGGTGGTGGCGACCATCGCCTTTGGGATGGGCATAGACAAGGCGGGTGAGTGAGTGAACGGGTGAGTGATTATATTCCCCCGTAGGGAGGGAGGGAGGGAAGGAAGGGGTGGTAAGGGGGTGGTAAGGGGGTGGTAAGGGGGGAGGTTTGCGGGTTTGCCTGCTGCCGTGCGGCTCAGGGCTGGGGATGTGCTGAAATGGATTGGGTTGACGGGCTGTCGGGCTGTCCGGTGCGGAGACCCCCTCGGAGCCATTCTTGGTTGGTTTTCATCTCCGCGGACTGAGTGGAGTGTGCAAAGGCTTGAATTACTTAAAAAAGCATCTCGACCTGATGTCCTTGTCATGACGGCAGAGTGTGTACGCGTTCTCGTCCATGTTGCCGGCCGCTAGATGCAAATAGAGCGCATGGGGGAGCGCATCGGATCGCGCGCGGGAGCAGAGGATATACGCAAACGTTCTGCGAGCTCCAAGCTGTGGAGGACTAACATCATCAGCATGGGTGCCAGCCGAGAACACACAGCCCATGCAGGGGGGCTTTCTGTCGGATATCGAGTGGAACAGGGTTTGAGCTGAAGGAAGTGGTGATGGTGGCGGATGTTATATGAGCCGCCAGCCAAAGTTAGTAAACCCGGAACCCGCAGTATCTGGCTGCGGAGGGTCTCTAGGCGCAGGTAGACACACTGCTACTACACGACAGTCCGGATAGGTCGTTAGTCAGTTCGGCGTGTTTTTTCGTGGAGTAACACCACGTTGATAGTTTTCCCCCTTGCGCGCTTTACGATATACCTACCTACTTCTCGGACAGCCCTGGGGCCCATGAGGGACCTTGGGGGCGCAAACCCTCAGGTAGGGCGCCCGGTGTGTATGGGGCCTCCCCCCCCCCCCCCGGTATTCCAAAGTTGGAGAGCGGTAACGCAGTTTCAGAAGGTGGTGTAGCATGCACGTGTGTGTATGTCTGTACGTCTTGCTAAGGGGGGGAGATGTCCATGGCGACGTGGCGACATTGCTGACGGATTTTGGGGCCCCAGGCGGGAAAGAGATGTATGAAAGCCGTACAAGGTGCCGTACAAGAAAGACGGGAAATATACTGAATATTGATGATGGTTAACTTTTCGAATTTATTGACTTTGCTGTACAGGTGTACGGCTGGTGGTTCACTTCAATCTTCCTCGTACACTAGAAGGTTTCTACCAGGAGGCTGGACGAGCAGGTCGAGATGGGAGGCCCGCGGAGAGCGTCATGTTCTACAGGCAGGCGGTTGGGTGGTTGGGCGGTTGAGAGAGTTGTTTGGCAACTCCGGACTCAGGGAAATGGGATATGGGGGATGTGGTGATGTGTGTGTGTGGGGGGGAGATGTGGGGGGAATGTTTCCCCGATGCCCCCGGGGGAGATCCCGGGATCGAGATCTGTCAAGGTCGAAAATTCTTCCGATGTTGGAAGGTAATAGTGCCCCTTATCGATGGACGGTGGTGACCTGGGATAAAGTTGACTTGCGAGCCGACCAGGAATGGAGTTGAGCCGCCGTCGACCCGGCATATTCCGTTGGATGCTGGTGGTGGGTGCGGAACCTGAGCGATCCACTGAGAAGTTGACTAGGGTGACTGGATGAGGGTGCCCCGAAATACCGGGGAAGGCAGGGTTTCGCAGGGTAGCTGCCACGGGTGAAGATATACCCCCCTGTTTCACACATCATACATACACAAGTACACACACACACACACACACCACGTAAGTGACGCTACCTTCCCCCTTCGCTTCCCCCCCCCACCCGCACCAGTCGGACCGCTCGTAGGCGAATGGACTTCATCTTGGAAAGGGTACGGCAAGTCGGTGGTGGGAGAGGGAACAGGAGCTGGGGGCTGGAAGACGGGGATTCTGGCTCGTGTACCGAGTGCCGTGTGTGTGTATGTGTCATGTACGACGGTCTCTGCGCCGTACTGCCCCCATGACGCCCCATGACGGCCATGACCTAAGTACGGCATTGGCCAGAGACCAGCTTTCCGTCCCTGAACAGTACCAATCCGTACACTCGCACACCGCTCGCAGCTGGTTCCTGCGGCAGGGGGTGTCAGCAGCGGCAGTGCTATGCCTGTACCCCCCTCCCCCCTCCTGGACTATCCGTCTATTCTCTGTTATCTAGTTCACTCGCCAGGGGTCGCCTTCCCCCTCCGGGCCCGGCCTCAGGACCAGAACAAGGACGGCGACGGCGACGGCGACGGGCAGCAGCCGCCGCCGCCGCCGCTGCAGGAGGGGGAGAAGAGTGCCGCTGTGGGTGCCCCCCCGCGCCCCACTGCGGAGGAGGCGGCGCAGATAAAGACGACGGCTTGGAAGGCAGGTTGTGGTGGGGGTGGGGGTGGAGGGGTGGCATCACAGTTGCAGTTTCTTGTTTGCCGGGACCTCCTCTGCCTTTGCCTTGCTTGGGGCCTTGTGCAGGCAGGCGGCATCAGCAAGTGACATACGTAGATACATGCGGACTGTTGCATCATGTCATCCCCTTCTTCCCCCCCCCAACCCCCCACACAGGCAGCAGCAGTAGCAGCAGCAGCACCCCCCCTACCTCGGAGATCCACTAGGCCCCCTAGGACTTCAACTCCCCCCCCTGCACATGCCTCCGTAGTCAGTAGCTGCCACGCCGCCCAAGCTAGGGTCGCGTGTTGATGCGGATACTAGAGCCCCTCCCCCCTCCGGCCTCCCCCCACCCGCCTCCCCCCACCCGCCTCCCCCCACCCGCCTCCCCCCACCCCCCTCCCCCCTCCCGCCTCCCCCCTCCCGCCTCCCCCCACTCGGTCAGTTGTTACGTTTGCTACTCTCTTGCCCTGGCAGCAGCTTCAATCGTGTGTGGTTCGTCTTTCCCCCACCCGCCTTTCATCGCCCTTTGTCTCGCCCTCCCCTTGCAACGTCACTTCCCCCTGTCGCCAATCCTCCTGCCCATATCGCAGCTGACAATTTGCTTCCTGCGTCGTATGAATCCCCCCCTCATTATTCCCGCGCCAGCACCCCTCCCCCCCTCCCCTCTCCTCCCCTCCCCCCGCAGTCATTCGGCCAGGTGGTGGACTGGGTGCTCACCGCCGGGTGTCGGCGTAGGGCCCTCCTGGGGCACTTCGGGGAGGAGGGGCTGCCAAAGGGGCCCTGTGCGGATACAGGGGATGGTTCCGGAGCGGGTTGTGACTACTGCCGGGACCCGCAGGTACGCTGAGGGCGAACACCGGGCGGTGTCCGTGTGGGTAAGTGCACGGGTATGTATATATGTATGTATGTATGTATGTCTGGGGGGTGTTCCATGTGGTTGCGTCAATTGGGAACATCGCAAATCCCATGCCGTGCCGTACAGGGTGTACGGCAGCAGCTGGAGCAACAGCAAAAGACGGATCTGGAGGAGGCGGCCAAGCAGGCCGGCGGGGGCCGCTGGGGGCCTGGCGGAGGCGGCAAGCGGGAGGATGACGAGGAGGCGGACATGTTTGCCGTACGGGGCGGCGGGGGCGGCGGCATCGACGGCGAAGGCAGGGCCGGCGGAGGCGGAGGCGGCGACGACGTCGAGACGGGACCTAGTGTTTACCATGTGAGACACGGTGCCGTACAAGTTACTAGTCATACCACACGGTGTGTGCGTGTGTGTTTTGTTACGGTGTTGGCACCGCAACGACTGTGAGTGCACAACTCAGGCCCCGGCAGGAAAGGGCAGGAGAGCCAAGGGAATGCACCTCCCCCTATGCTTCGTCGTAAACCCCCTTCCCCTCCTTCCCCCGTTCCCAAGTGGGGGGAATGGAGTGCATGGAGTGTAGCCGGGTATGTGTGTGTGTGCTGTTTTTTGGGAGAATTGAAGTGGCTCAGTGCCGCACGATAAGAGCAGAAGGGGGAGTGCGGGGACTTTGGGGGGAACGAAGAGGTGTAATCCGGGGGTGGAACGTGCACATGTGTGTATGTATGTGCGTGTATGTGCATTGAAACGCATCTTTTTATTGGAGGGAGGACCAATGCCTACTGTGTGTCGTGTTGCGTCGTACACTCGTCCCTCTCAGTCGGGGCGTCGGAGTGCCCTCCCTGGAGGAGGTGAAGGGGGGGAGGACGCGGCCCAGCTAGCCTGGGCTCGCAGCGCGGCGGCTGCTGCCCGGGCAGCTGCGGGCGGGGCGGTGAACGATAAGTACTTTGCGGCGCTGGCGGCCAGAGAGAAGGAGCACGAGCAGCGGGCGATGCGATTGTCCGGAGGTATGTATGTATGTATGCAAGGGAGGGAGGGTGGTTGGGGATGGGGGCGGGGACGAAGGAAGGAGGTTGGGAAATGGTGGGGGGATTAGGGGCGGGGGTGTTTCTCGCGGGGCGGGCGAGTGCGGAGTGTGTTTTCATTCATCCTTCGTTTACCCCTCGAATCGGGGGGGAGGAGACCAGCTATCTCGACCTTTTCCTCAGTGAAGTTGTCACAGCTGCCTGTCCACCGTGTACGGCAGTACGAACCAACGAGTGGCCCCATGTCCCATGTGACATTCATCCCTTACGGTCTGTGCGCTTTTCCACAATAGCGAGCAAGCGGACAGTCTGTAGCACACATAGACATACATACACACATTATTAGGGTGCCCCTCTCGCAGGGGAGAGCATGGAACTGCCTCCAAGGGAAAGGGGGCCGCTGGTGAAGCTATACAACCCTGTAACAACATACATACATACATACATACATACACTCTCACACCCATGTCTACTGGGGGCCACGACCCCTCCTCCCCGCCACCGAGCAGGGGACGTAGTGGACAGGATGCTGGCCGGCGGAGGCGGAGGAGGAGCAGGTGGCTGCAGCAGTGGTTCCGGAGCCCCCCCTGATGCGGCCACTCGGACCACGGCCACCAATAAGTTGGCGGCGGCCATGGCAGCGGGCCGGGCGGGGTGCGGGGTGGAGCTATCTCTGGTACGACATTGTCATTGTCACTGTCATTCGTACATATGAAACCCACGCCCGATAGCGGCTTCGCGACAACCCTTCCACATTAGGTGGTGCGTGGCATTTGGGTGTGTGTGTGTATGTATGTGTGTATGTGTGTATGTGTATCCGTGACCCGGGAACTACGTACGCCACTCCCGGATGCCGTGCCACCCTGATGCGGCACCGCTGCTCCCATACCCCGTGTCGCGTCATGTCCGCACTTCCAGCCCCCCTCCCCGCCTGGGGGGAATAAGGATAACGCGCTCTTCCCCCACCTACCCCAACCCCCCCGCACCCCCACCTGCACCCGCGAAACCCCCGTCCCCTTTCACAACACAACACAACAGCTGCAACAGCTGGCGGCGGCCATCGAGGCTGAAGTGTACGGCAACGGTCTTCCACGTCAGCAGTACACTAGCCGCATGGCGGGACTCATCAGCCGGGCCAAGTCGGCGACCTCCCTGCTCACCCTCAGGCCGCAGCAACATCAACATCACCATCCGCACCACCGCACTGAGGCCACCGGCTCCGTGTCGCCGCCACCCAATCGCATCGCCCCCTCCGCCAGCCCCGCACCACCCCCACCACCCGCGCCTCAGCCGTCCTCGTCCTCCGCATCGCCCCCGCCCCCCTCATGTCCACCACCCGCACACGGGGGCGGCTCGCTGCTGCCCAACCTTCTGCAGGTGGGGGGGTGAGGGGTGAGGGGGGGGAGACGAACCACGAACAGGTTAGGTGGTGAGGGGGCCAGGTGGGGGTGAGGGGGGTGAGGGGGGGAAGACGAACCACGAACAGGTTAGGTGGTGAGGGGGCCAGGTGGGGGGTGAGGGGGGTGAGGGGGGGAAGACGAACCACGAACAGGTTAGGTGGTGAGGGGGCCAGGTGGGGGTGAGGGGGGTGAGGGGGGGAAGACGAACCACGAACAGGTTAGGTGGTGAGGGGGCCAGGTGGGGGGTGAGGGGGGTGAGGGGGGGAAGATGAACCACGAACAGGTTAGGTGGTGAGGGGGCCAGGTGGGGGGTGAGGGGGGTGAGGGGGGGAAGATGAACCACACACGATTGAAGCTGCTGTCAGGGCAAGAGAGTAGCAAACGTAAAAACTGAGGGGGGCGGGGGGGGAAGGAGGCCGCGGCCGTCACGCGGAGGAACACGTCGACGAGGCCCCGGCCTCTGTCGTACAGCTGGTGGGGTATGAGGGGGGTTTAGGTAACGGGCCTCAGGGGGTGGGGCGACCAGGGGGTTACCATCCCCTGAGGGGGGGTGTTAGGGTTTTAATTTCCCCCCTTCCCCTTCCCCTCACACGCATACATACATACATGCATACACACACGGATAGGCCGAGGTGTCCGCTATCGAGGTGCTGTTGGGCGAGGCGGGGACGCAGCAGCCGTCACCACAACCACCACCATCCGCTTCAGCGGCTGCGGCGGGAGGAGGGGGAGGAGGAGGAGGAGGAGGGGGAGGACCCATTGGGGGCCCGGGGGGGAGCTGTAGCGGTACCGCCCCCGCCGCTGTTTCTGAGGCCGTGGCTCGGCTGGTCGCGCTGGAAGGCGTTACGGTGACTGCCGTGGCGGTGGTGGCGGGGGGGGTGGGCAGGCGGCTCAACAAGCTGCGGAGACATGTACGACCCGAGGTGGCGGAGGCGGCGGGGTGGGTGGTCGCGTGCTGGAAGAGACAGCTGCCCGAAGGGTGAAACCCACAAAATAGCGTGCGTGCGGGGGAGAGGGCAGCAGCATCAACAGTTGCAATAGCAGGGGGGAGGCAAGGGGGGGGGCCCGAGGACAGCAGTGGAGGGGGTTTTATCCCGGGGGGGGAGGGGGGCCGCTGCCGCTGCTGTGGACGTCATGCGGTCGTGGTTGGGCGAGGTCAGGGTGAGCGTTGTGTATGTATGTATGTATGTAGCGGTGGGGTGGATTGGGGATGGCAGGGTGCCAATCCGGAATATGCACCTACCTGATGGTGGAATACACCTCTTACCGGGTAGGGGCAGTGTACGTTGTCGTACCTTTTGTACGACCCGCCCTGCGGAAACCAGCGTCATCCAGGGAGTGGCTCTGTTTGGTGCCCTCCTAGAGCTGGGTCCACGGGTTGGCAAAGAGACCCGCGTGCGCAGGTTCTCGCTGCAGTGTGTACGGTACTTCCACCATGTACGGCAGTACGGAAAATTCCTTAATTGAAGACCATCTCCTACACCTTGTCTTCCTCACGTTCAGCGGCTGCTCTGTGTGTGTGTGTATGTGTGTGAGAGAGAGGGAGCTAGCTCCCGTCTTATGATAGGGGACGTGACATCGTTCGCCCTCGGGGGGTGTGAGGCATGGAGGGCTGGGAGGAAGGCGAGGAGGCGGGGGAGGAGTTGGGGGAAGCAATGTCCGTGTTTTGTCTCCAGGGGTTCATGGATATCTTTCGTCCCCATCCGCCGCTTCGCCGGCCCTCAAGCCCTGCTGCACAGCCGCACAGTCACTTAGCCACCGGATGGGCCGTGTGATGGATTGATGACCCGTCCGGGTGATACGAACTGTACATACATAGAGAGGGGTTTACTTCAACCGACTTCACTTCACACATGGTTCAGGCACACCCCACCCTCAGGCGGAGACCGACCTATAGCTCTGCGCCCCACCAGCTCGCACCCTCCAGAGGTTGATGCACACGACACACTGTCCCTCCTGACACGAGCCGTTCCCAAACAACTGAATGCACAGGTGTCCTTCACCCGAATCTGATCAACACAGATCAACCGTCACAACCAAACCACCACCGCCGTACTAGGCGATCCCGCGATCCCACTTCGCAAGCCGCCACCGTTTCATACACCTTACCACCATAACACCATTGACCCGCCCTACAGAAGAATCACCAATCAGGAATTAGCCAGTCAGCCAGCCACAGGCAGTGTGCACATGTTAGTAATGTTTATATATATTTACGTGTGTGTTTGTGTGTCTGTCTGTAGCCCCAACTAAAGACTGCAAAGTGGGCCCCTTGGTACGGTGGGGATGGCTGGCTGACGAGCGGCTCACACGACATACATGCAGGATGACAAACAAGTCGCAGTTGACAAAATCTTGTACGAAAACAAAGCAACACATACCTAAAACTTTTGTGTCACAACTGAGACAAATGAATTAAACTGAATAGAATCGTTTTGTGGTCACTTTTCCCAAGAGCCCACAACTGGCTGTTATTTGCCATCCTCACCGACTTGCTTTCCTACAATGAACGGAGTTGCTGAACGGAGTACACATACGCAAATAAGTACCCCGTGTGCATCATTTTTGCCGTCCAACCAACCAACCAACTAATTAGCCTGATGTACAGACGTACAAACACGACCACGGGAGATGTGATAACACCGACCAGGAAGGCAGCGCAACAGATCGCTATAGCTATCAAACCACCCTACAGGCAGGCAAGCAGACAGACGGACAGACAGACACACTCGCCTGGGGTCCCGCTGCTGACGGTGGCCAGGCGGACTGCAGGGTACCCCCGGGTCCCCCTCCCCCTCCCCCCCAGTGCCGAGTAACCGAGGCAAAAGCCCCTCCTCCATAACCCCGGGGCAACAAAGGCGGGCTCCTGCAACTGCTCCCGTACTTCCCGTTATTGCCTCCTGCCCATGAAACGACAATAAAAAACGAATCCGTTAAATTCGTTAACTCAATGTCCGCTCTCCCCCGGGGTCGCAAAACCCAATGACGTCCTTCTGTGCAGCTCAACACCGCTTTCCCCCCCTCGTCAGGCCAGGGTCGTATCCTTGCCCTTGCCTTCCATTAACCAACCACAAACAGATAGCAACAATAATAATGACAAGAATGGTATTACGGTCTAACCAATAGCGGAACCGATGGGAGGATCTCTTCCTTCGCTCAAATATACAAGTCGTTGGTAGTTGGTTCAACAACGGGGGAGAGGGAGCCGAATGCTGGGGCCGAATCCTCGCCAACTCTAAGTCCCCCAATCCCCACCACCATTTCTCCTAAGAACCTAACAAGCTAGTCGCCGCCACGTCTCACCTCCCAGCGGAGGGCGGAGGGAGGGGAAAAGGGGGGAAATGCCATAAAAGCTACAAACCGCTGAAGGAGAGGGAGGGAGGGAGCGAGAAAAAGGGGACATCCCCCGGGTCCATCGACATGATGCTCTAAATGCTGCCATGTTGCGCGTGCACATATGCCGTATCATAACGTGACTGCCGTACAATCCATAGCTCGAAATACTTGACCGCCAAACCCACCCCAACATATGACGGGGGAATTAGTCGCTACCGCACGGAAAGGAGCCCAAAGCAGCCCTCGCCACGGGAGACAACCGGGGTGGGTGGGTGGGTGGGTGGAGAATATTCCGTCTGGCCCCAGAGCGGGGGGCGTCCATACGGGTTTCAAATTCCAAAATCACCAATAACGCACCTCCCCGCACCCTTTCATTTCATTTATGGACAAAATGGATTTTTCTTTATGATGTAATCTCAGGTACGTGGACAGCAGCAGCACAGCAGCAGCAGCAGCGCAAAAAATGTGTTCGTCCCCCCTCAGTGAATGGGGCCGGGGGGTAACAGAGCAACGCTCAAAATTGGGAGGACGGCTGGGGGGCCTCCGGACCGCGACCAACCGCGCCGCTCTCACTGCTTTTGCTACTACTGCTACTGCTACTGCTGCTGCTGCTGCTGCTGCCAGGTGCCACACTCCAAATTGCAAAAATATGATTATTTTTTCCGATTGCAATTGCAACTGCCGTCAATTATTTTCCTACAACGTTCTGCGCGTCCTCAGTGCTGTCCGCCCCCGGGGCTTGTCGTCGTCATCGCCGCCGTCTTCATTGTCGGCCCCGCCACCTAACGGCGAGGCGCCACACCAGGGGTGTCCTCCTCCGCCTCCTCCTCCTCCTCCTCCTCCACCTCAACACAACAAACCACGACAAACAGCCGCGTACGGGCGAATCCCAAAGACTTGGCATCACTCACCCACAAACTCTGTCTCGCATCTCTCGGATGAACACCCCGCACAGACTTTGTGCAAAAACGCGGGACTCCCCAGCCCTAGTCCAACAGCCCGTCCGTATCAATAAAATTACCTTAAGCTTTAGAAGCAGATTTCTATTCCCAGGACACAGTCGCACTCAGCCAACAGCTAACATAACAAACGGCAGGCGGCTGGCAGAAGTTAAGGCCTGACTTCTGCTCCCAGTTGATCCAGTCGACCCGGGTTCAAATCCGCCTGCCAGCTCCTCGGGTGTTTGAGGAGTGATGAAATGGGAGGTGGCCCCCCATCATATGGACGGTGTAGGACGTGATAACATCAACTTGCGAGCTGACCAGGAACTAAGTTGATGCGCCGTTGATCCGCTAGATTTGGTTGGATGCTGGTGGTGAGTTGCCGAACCCAACGAATACATTCTGAAGTCGGATGGGGTGACGGATTAGGGTGCCCCTCTAGCAGGGGAGAGCAGGGACTGCCCCGGGAAAGGGGGCCGCTGGCGAAGTTAACCACCCTGTAACAACATACATAAACCGATATGCATACGAGAGGGCCAAAATGCCGTACAGTGGTGCCGTACAGCAAGCCGCCCGAGCTCAGCTTCTGCATCCCCGCCGATGACGATGCTTTGCGGGTCCCCCTTCCAGGCGCCTTCACATCTCCAATATGTCCATACAGAGGCCCCCAGCCACAGCCACAGCAACGGCACCACCGGCGGAAGCAGATTCCGTAGCAGCGCCAGCAGCCGGGGCCGCAGCGGGCGGCACTCCTCCTCCTCATCGTCCTCTCAGTCCTTCCCGGTCAAACGGTCTTCCGCCGCCACCCCTCGGCCCCCCATAAGTACGGCAAGGCTCACCGAGCGATCCCCCTCCACCTCGCTCTCTTTTCACCGCCCAGCCTCGGGCCCCACTCCGCCCCCACTCCCTCGCCCCTCTTCCCCCCTTCTCCGGCATACCCCCGCGGGGCCCTCCAGTCCGCCTCCGTTTGACATGAACGACCTGACATGGCACCATCCACCAGGCCGTCGCCTGCAGCGCCAGCGCCGTCGGTGGCGGTGGTTGCAATGGCAGCGCCCGCAGCAGCGCTGGCTGCATCGATATCGGCCTCAGCGCCTGCTACTGCGCCTACTGCCAGCCGGCTGACGAGTCCCTCACTTGGCGAGCAGCACAGCACTGCAATGCGGCTGTCGGGCGGGAGGGGGGACTCCGCCGCTCACCACTGCAGACGAGGCAAGGGGAAGGAGCGCCGGGGTGTGTGGGGGGACGCGGGTCTCCAGTGAGTCCGCATGAGACATCAAGGCCCCGGGCCCGTTGTCGCTACTGCAGAGCGACACCCCGCGGGAGAAGCCCCCGGGTACCCCCCTCACCCCTTACACACACATACACAAGGCGCCGGCGGCTGCGTCCACCTGGGTGCGCGAGGTGAAGGGCGCATCCACGCTGCTGCAGCTGCATGGCGGCACAGCGCCCGAGCTGCCGCTGCTGGTGCTGGGGCTGCTGGGGCTAATGCCGTTTCTGCTGGTGCAGGCACTCGCACTAGCGGGCGATGAGGGGCAGCGGGCTGGTGGACCAGCATCAGCAACAGGGGATTCAAATTGGGGCGGCTCCCTCTCACTGGCGGAAACAGCAGCCGCAGCCCCGGCACCGTTGGACGAGCACTCCGGGACCTGTTTCCCTCGTCGCGTCCGTCGAAACGAGTGATGTACTTGAATGAGGGGCCGCAGCAGGCGCCTGGTGATCCTCTTCAGGCTGGCCGGTGTGCTAGCGCCCTTCACGGGACCGTCACGCGCCTGCTGCTGCTCGGGTGGCAGCGGTGGTTGGAGTGCTGCTGCTGCTGCTGCTACTAAGGATATCGCACGCGGTTCAACGCCCCCAGACACCGCTGTGGAAGTGGATGTGGCGCCCTTCAGCACCTTGCACTGAAAAGGCCACCAGTTGGACCCACCATCAGCCCCCCAAGGTTGCCCAGTCCGGCCCGTGTTTCCGCCCAGTTGGAGGTCCCCGCGCCGCTGATAGACCGGGATCTGACCTCCAGATGGACCCACCATCACACCTCGGGCGGAATGATGGACCTGGCAGGGTGAGGAGGGGGGACACACCGCCTCCAACGGCCGGTCGGAAGCAGTCAGGGGATGGGGAGAAGGAGGCGAGGGGGAGCCAGGTGACAGCGGGGCGGGCGTCGCCAATGCGGAGGCAGCAGCAGTAGCGGCTTCAGCGCTATAGCCTGCGCCGCAGGTAGGTCCTGCTGTTGATGCTACTGCTGTCGTTGCTGTTGTTGCTGTTATTGCAAGGATTTTCGGCAGGCCTTCAATGTTGGGAATACTAATCGCGGTGGTGCTGGTTAGATGACTCGTGCCGTACATGACGTCTCCGGAGCCGCAGCTCAACCCCAGGGAGGACGAGGAGGAGGAGGAACCCAGCGTTGGGGGAGGGCTCGCAATGCTAATGTCGTCGCTAAGTAGGTAGCTCCCCCCCGCCCCGTCCTGGGGGGCCTGTGAACACCCGACCAGAGTCAGCTTCGGAACCAGCTGCTGCTGCTGTTGAGCCGCCGTTGGGGCTGTTGACAAGTTGTAATGTCCTATGCGCGTTTCGGAGCCCGAGGAAGCGTGCGGCTCAGCGCCTCCCTCCCCTCCATTGCTGCTACAGCAGCTGCATTCGTTACTCGGGAGTTGCCCCAGATCCAGATCCAGATCCAGGAACTGCAGGTGCTGGAAACAGTCCATGTGATCCGGTTCTTCCTCCTCCTCCTGTTGCTGCTGCTGCTGCTGACGATAGTGGTCAGGATGGTAATGCTGCTGGTGCTGCTGGTGCTGCTGCTGCTGGGCCGGGACACAGCCGCCCCGTCCGCAGTCTTCCGGGAGCTCCAGGGGGGCGGCCTCGACCGCCGGAAAAAACATGTGCCGTACATTCACAGCCACGGTAGGCATCATGTTGGAGTATAAGCACGAACTCATTCGTACGGCATGTAGACCGAGCCTCCTGAGCTCCTCCGGTACGGAAGGAGTGCATGATCGCGGCGTCGACGAAGAGGGCGCCGGGCCGTCGTCCGCCAGATGCCGTACGAGGAGAGCAGCAACCCGGAGCAGTACATCATCGTAATGCCTGCCGTACGATGCGGTGTATGGCTCCACTTCAATGGCGTTCCCCGACAAGGCGTCAAAGCTGCGGCGATCCTGGCAAATGATGATCACGCTGGCCAGCTGGTTTATGGCCCCATCGCCGCCGCCACTTAGGGCCGCCGCCAAGGCGCCCTCCGGATGAGTCCCGGGGGAGAGCAGTCTGAGGAGGGCAAAGAGCAGCGGGTGTTGGTATTGGTGAGGGGGTAAGAAGGCGGGAAGATGAGTGAGGGAGTAAGGAAGAAGCCCGGGGGGAAGGGGGGAGAGAGGCCGGGAGGACGTAATGAGAGCTCAGTGAGCGTCAAAGAGGCAATGAGGGGTCTCTCACCAGGCGCACATACAATGGCATCAGAGAGACATTGTTCGCCCAGCTTTCCTCGCAGCCCCATTTCACACAAAGAACCACAACACAAACACAGGCTGACAGCGAGGCACATGGCCGGGGGTCAAAGTGAAGCTGAACCCCTCCCTACCACTCTCCTCTTCACTTCACAACGGTTCCAAAAGCCAAAATTGAGGGGAGGAGCGGCACCCGCTCACACCTTCGCGGCAGCAGCTGCTGGCAGGGATCCAGCGCTAGCAACGCCGCCTCAGTCCACGTACGGTCACAACTGCTCCATAAGGTGAGGCGGAAAAGTCGCCGGACGGTCTCTAGGAATGCACGAAAGTGGGGCCGAGGCCAGATGGATAGGGCCAACTGGCCATTGCAGCCGGAAACTTGGACGCCCCTACAGCAATGCCACATGAGAACCAGGTAACAAAATAGTTGGGCTCAACCAGCTTTACCTAGCTATGCATGATTGGAAGGCCAGGAAAGTACAGCTCACAGGAGCCCGTGGCTGACGTACCAAAAGTTCGTTGCTTAAATTAACGAATGCGAAGCTCGCATGCTATCACAACCTATTGAGGAGATGAACACCCAGCTCGTGGACTTATGTATCTTACCTGCAGAGGATTTCCAGGTCGAGGACAAGTGTCCTCCGAGGTCCATCGCGACCAACGGCAGAGCATTTTGGAGGATGTTGCGCTTGCAAAGCATCCTGAGAGCAACAGTGCCGCATATGGCAAAATACTTTACCCCATTGTAGGCTTTGCATGTTCAACCGTACGAGTTGCCGCCTTTACGAACTGATACCCTTTAGCCGTGGCGAGCAAAAGATCACAAGCGGCCCAGCGGCCCCCGCAGTCCCTACCTTCCTAGCCTTCTCAGCAGCTTTTACAAGGACATGGCGGCGGAGGGCATCCCCGCTAAGGGTATCCACGTGTGGAAATCTCGGGCGACGATAGAAGCGGTCGCTTTCTGTGGCTCTGCCAGAGAAGTCTGTGATGCCAAAGCTTGAATCAAAACTCACTGGACACATCTGAAGCTTGCAATTGGGGAGCGGCTTCCAGAACAGGAGCGACTAGAATTGATTGGCGTGGAAACTCAACATGCCTTGTAAACTTGCCAGTGAAGAACAGGTTCCGTAAAATAGGCAAACTAAGTTGCGAAATGGTGTATACACCGCTACCGCCACTGTACTTGGTTGTCCGTCCGGGACGTGCAGTAAGATTGGAGCACCGTTACGTAAACGTTTTATGCCATTCTGGCCGATTGCCCACAAGGGGTTCGTAATCATAAACGATTACATCTAAAGAATGTGAAAATTTTCCTTTCTGATTTGTTACACCTATCCTTCACTACAATATTTCGGCGGTTGCGCTTCGATAAACACAATAAATTTTGTCATGACAGGCATCCAATGCCACAAACATTTGGCTTTCTTATATGAATTTAATCCATATCCATGAAAAGCGCAGAACTACTGTTCGCCTAACTGCATGCCTAAGGAAATGCAGTACATGACAGCTCCTGTATCCAGTACCTTACGCGTATGAAAACAACTCTTCACCTCGCAAATCATAAAGCTTGGAACAATCTCTTTTTAGGTATGTTACTGCTGTTCAGCCGACGGCCATCATGTCGCGATCGGGCTGTAAGACGAGCTATGGCGAGGTCCCCGTGCACGTGAGAGTCATGGAACGGGGACCCCAAAACGAACGGCGCAAGGCCTCACACGGGGAACGTAAACCCTCCCCGTCAAAATCGCAACAATTTGCATTTTTGTTTGGTACTTTTTCAGCAGCTCCAAAACGTTCTGATGCTGTAAAAGCTGCAAGCTTATTAGGTGTAATGATGAACGAAGGTTCAAAACGTACTCCCCGAACCGTTCCTTCTCTGTAATCCATACCCCGGTGCTGTCCTCCACTATAAAGAAATGTTATTCAAGTATACTGGGCCGTAGTTGTGCTGTCATGTATAGCGGTATCAACAATTACTTGCCCGTAGCCCAGAAGCCATCGAAAACAAAATTTGCCCTTATGAAGACCAGAAATAGTAGCGAAGGCACAGAAAGAAACTGCGGAAAACGCCGCCACCAATGAACATGTGCCCTTGCTCCACATGCAGCCTGATCAAGACGAAGGTCCCTTAGAAGAGTATTTCTATACTAATCGTATACATGATGATGTGAATGCCGTGGGTGAGGAGGATGCATCATCAGGTGAGGGTTCGGACATTGATAAGGATGATGGGCCTGCCAGGCCCATGATCCTCAGTGAGGACGCGAACTCCCGCCAGCTAGTGGCAGAGGTATACTTTTAGTTCGTCCACAAAACCGTTACATCACGTAAGAATCTGCTTCATCAGGCGGGGGTCACGTTCAGGAATGCAGTCGCCACAGCGGACATCAGTACCTGCCCTACGTGCCGGGCTGAGAGCTCCGGCAAACCACTGTCTTGTCCGATCACCGTGGTGACGTGGGACCAGCCTATTGAATTGGAGGTTCCCGTTCACTAATGCGGAACCTGCCGGAAGCAGTTCAGCATCCGAACCACCGCAGTGGACTGCCTTCAGGACTCGAATGTTGTCTGGGACATCAGTGATCGACACGCCGGCAGCCCACCAGGGGCGGCAAGCAGCCAACCAAGGGGGCCGAGCAAGCAACAGGGGGTGGCCAGCGGGGGAACAGGGGCGGCCAGAGCCAACGCCTGGGAACGCGCACACCACGCGGACTCGTGGCACAATGTGTTGGTTGCATGAGACGAAGCGCTCGTTGTTATGGGGCAACTGCAGACAAAACAAACAAAGTGAACCCTCGAGTCCGGTGAAGCCTTTTGCGTCCTTCTGGTCCGCAGTGTTGGGCTGTAGTGGTGATCGCACGGTGCTGTCGCGCACCTTCATGGCGCATTGCACCCTGCCATAACAGAAAACTCGTGAGGATGGTCACTGATGATGAGCCGAAATCATCTCTGTAGGTCTCTCTCTCTCTCTCTCTCTCTCTCTCTCTCTCTCTCTCTCTCTCTCTCTCTCTCTCTTTCTTAGTCCGGTACATGTCCGGGGTTCCCTGCGCGGGCATCCTCCGCTGGGAGTGATTTGCCCTTTGCGGCCTTTGGTCCTTTGCTACTATTTGGTATTGGTTACTGGCCACCACGTTGACGGCCCGAGTGGATGGGCTGTTCCCAACGCGACCCCGACATACGAAAAGTGATATGCATACAGAAAATGATAGCTGTGCGAAGTTAAGGGCATCACACAACAGAGCATGACATCAATTTTTGTATTGAGAGAGGCTTTTGACAACATGTGAAGCAGGAGGGGAGACCGGGGGGAAGGGTTGCCTTAGGGCGCGGGGGATTGCTTAACAGTGCTTGACCGCCTGGAAGTTGCCAAAACGAAGAAGTCATACGCATATGTTGGCCGCCGGTATCTTATCGCGTTATCGGTAGTTGTATCGGATGTGCCTTGTTTGGGGCCGCTGTACGTGTCGTTGGTACCAGGTGTTAGAACCTTGAACCATGACGTTGTCAACACAGCGAGCTGTTTACCTTAGTAGTCTCCGTCACTGCTTGTGGATGAGACGGCGGGGAGGTGCAACAGGTGAGTACTGAGCAGATCGCTGTTTTGTTCGTACACGCAGGATGCAGGTCCTGAACAGGATGGGCTCTCAGGCCAAAGCAGCCAGCATATGAATTACGCGTTGACTGACTACACACCTTAATAATCACCCATTGTTCAAGTGTGCGTATGCAACACCTTTTTTGTAGGTGGCAGAGCGGCGTAGATAGGGTTTGAAGGTTACTGCCCAAACAACCATTTCCGCAGCCATGCGTCCACAAACCACACAAAGTCCAATGGGCTTTATGTGCCTACGCTTTAGCATTTGGATAGACGATGGGCTGCAGATTGGATGGGTCCACCTATAGGAGCTCAAATGTGCACATAGCTCCGTGCTGTAACCATGTGTATATTTTTTTCTGCAAATCCAATTAAATTGTGATATAGATTAGGACAAGCATGGCTCAGGCCCTGGAAACACTTTTGACCGGTTGGGAGACGTCTTGCTCTCGAGCTTTTAGGGAGGAGCAGCGGTGCTGGCGTTCCCAGGACGTAGAGTGGAGGGCTCTGCGGAGAGAGCAAGAAGACTACAGGCTTGCGCAGCGGTATGCCCTTCCGATGACACTGCCAGACATGGTACTGTCGGAACCCAAGCCTTGTCTGAACCCATGGATGCGCAATCTCAAGCAGGCAGCTCTTACGGCAGTGGCGAGCTTATAACGTGGAGCAGCAGCTTCTGAACAACTGCCGCGCCTTGTGGGACCGGTACACCCAAAAGAACCGGCGGGACGTTGAGGAGGCCGTCGAGATGCTCAAGTGCCTCGCCCAGCTCGGAGCTCTCACGGCGGGCTTTGCCGTTAGCGCCTTTTACGACTTCCAGTACACGGCCTCCTCAGACAATCCCGTGCTTCCTTTCTTCGGCCTTGCAACCGCCTTGACGGTGCGTGCGTCTGTGTACGTCTGTGTTGGAGGAGGAGGAGGAGGAGGAGGGGGAGGGGGAGGAGGGGGAGGGGGAGGATTGCAGCGTGCGGTAGTCCCGGGGGACGGCGCGCTTTTGTTAGGGGGAGAAAGGAGAAACAGAGGCTGGAGCTGATTGAGTGCTTTAGTGGTAGTCTTTGGGGCGGTTTTGGTGGCGCCGCAGCTCTTGTTGATTCTCCCCTCAGGCCCCCTCCTACCCCCTCGGTAAGTTGAAGACTGACACGGTGAGCGGGCTCAGCGGGGGCCCCAGGCGGGCCAGCATGGGAGGGGTCGCTGTGCGCGTCAGGTAGCCTTTTCCGTATTTGCCGCTGCCACGCAATTCCCCCCTCCTTGCACATACATACATACATACATAATCTAAGTCATACATTCATACATACATACATACAAGTTGGACTCCTGATAACATCTTGGCTGCGTGGGCTACTTGTGGCCATCCGCGGTTGGTGCTATGCGAAGTACTGCAACCGCCCCTTGTACACACCCCCCTTGACCCCTCAAGCCTTTCCCCCCCTTCGAATGTGCCGTTGTCTCCAGAGGGGTGCGGTCGGGGTTACGGTCGGGGGAAAATGTTTGTGTGTATGCACACATACACATGTGTGTATGTATATGGATGTTCAAAACCCCCTCACCACCACGCGCCCTCCTACACGCGGCAGGTGGGCTTCCAGCTCAACAGCTGTGTCATGTGCACCCTGCTGCTGAGCAGCGTCGTCAAGATTGGCAAGAGGTGGGGTTGGCTGGGTGGGGCTGGGTGGGGCTGGAGGGCCTCTGCCGCCCCGGCTGGGTAGGGGTGGGGTGGGGTGTGGGAAGTCCGCGCCGGGGGGCGGGGGATGGAACGGAACGGTCGCCGGAGCCCAAACCCACACGCGCTGTGATGCCTTAAAGCCCACTGCCCGTTCTCCACCCCTACTGGAGTTTTAACTCTTCTCGCAGCTACCTGACGGACGAGGAGGAGGCCGAGTACCTGTGGCGGCTGCGGGGCTGGGCGGCAGCGCGAATTGAGATGTGGGTGTCTGGGTTTACGTGTGCGCGTGTGTCCGTGTTGAGGGTGTGAGGGGCTCAGAGGGTGGGGAGCTGAGGGAACTCACTGCAGCCACCTCCCTCCCCGGTGGGAGCCCGCGAAAGGGTGGGGCTTCCCCCCCCCCCCGAACTACATACCAACTGTGACACCGCCGGGGCGGCTTTCTCCGCCTTCACCCGCATTACCCCCCTTCGTTGGGGCCATGTGAGGGGCTGTGTGTTTGGAGGGGGTGTAGGAAGGTGTTGGCGCTTCGGAGAGGAAGGCTATTTGCGGGCCCATGTGACCCGGTCCTCCGGTCTCGACCGACCTGACCACCACCACCACCACCACCACCACCTCATCCTTCGCCGCCGCAGCTCAAACACTCACTCACGCCGCCCCATCTCCACATCATCCACATCCCACTGCCACTCCGGCCAGGCAAGGGTAGTGGCACTCCGCCCACAAGACGTCTTGTTGTATGTGTTTGGATGGACCGCGTACCGGTACCGGGTACATCCCCTCTAGGGCCCGGAGGCGTTGCTTAGCTCCTGACAAACACCCGCCTTCCTCCCCAACCACCGAACTACCTACCTGCACACGTCATGTGCCACGTCACGTCATGGGGCCACACGCTGGCAGCGAGTCGGAAGCTGCTGCGAACGCCACCGCCGCAGCCGCCACCACTGCCGCCGCCACTGCTTCGCCTTCTCCTTGCCCTCCTGTCCCCGGGGCGCATCCCTTCTCCCCCCGTCCCCGTCCTCCTCCCCCCGCCCCACGTCGCGATTTCCAGCGGCACTGGGACACCCGTTGCGAGCGGCTTTGGAGAACCGCCCTGGGGCTCTTCCTGTCGGGTGAGGGATACAGAATGACATACAAACGTACGTACATGTATGACACATGACATTCAAGGTCCCAATGGGAGGTGGGCTGTCTGAAGTGATCTCTTAGACATCGTACTTGCCATGTCCCACCCCAGCCTGCGGCCCAGTGACCTCTTAATCCTGCCGCTTGTGATGGTCGTCGTCCTCAGGAACACGCACACACACACACACACACACACATACACACACACACGCAGCGCGCGCGGCACGTAGAGCATTCCCGTGTCATGTCTAGGTCCAAGAAACAAAGGTGGCTGCCTCCTCTGACTAAGCCGCTCTGCTCCCCCCCGCTGTGCCCTGCCCTAAGGCATCCCCACCTTCTTCGCAGTGATGGGTCTGGCTGGATACCTCAAGTTCTTCACCTCCCCCTCCACCGTCATCATTACGGGGTTGCTCATGGCGGCGGCCTTCGTGTACACGGTACGGGTGTGTGTGCGTATGTATGATGTTGTTACAGGGTGGTATAGTTTCACCAGCGGCACCCTTTCCCGAGGCAGTTCCCTGCTCTCCCCTGCTAGAGGAGCACCCTAATCCATTCAAACCATCCGACTTCAGAATGTATTCGTTGGGTTCAGCGACTCACCACCAGCATTCAACCAAATCTAGCGGATCAACGGCGCCTCAACTTAGTTCCTGGTCACCTCGCAAGTTGATATAATCACGTCCTACACCGTCCATAAAATGGGGGGCTACCTCGCAATTCAACGCCCCTCACACACTGAGGGGTCGGCAGACGGATTTGAACCCGGAACCTCCGGGAGCAGAAGTCAGGCCTTAACTTCTGCCAGCCACCTGCCTAGATGTATGTATGTATGTATGGTTGCGTGCGGTAGGGTAGGGGCCAGCACTATCCAAGGGTGATTGAGGCGACCGCGGCATTTGGGCACTGAGAGAGCTGAGGGGGACTCCAGGGAGGGAGGGGGGCAGTGCGCCGTCACCCTGTCGTCACGCTGCTGCTCGCTTGCCGTTGCTACCTCCTGTTACCTGCTACCTGTGGAGGAAGAGGAAGCCGGAGGTGCTGTGACGGCGGTGGGGGTCGTCTTGGGATTTCCCTCCCATACTTTGCCACTTGTGATTTCCCTCTCCTATATCCCCCACCGCCTTGAGCAGTGGCTTGCGGCTTTGGACGCGTCGACAAGTGATTTTTGTTTTACTGCATGTGATTCCCTTTCCCCCTTCCCGTCCGCCCCTCCCTAACCTCGGCCCACACACATCACCAGGTGACTCTCAGCGCGGACTGGGCCAAAGCGCTTCTGGGGGGCGGTATCACCTCCACCGCCCGGGGGCCAACACCGGACCACTGGCAGGTGGGTGTAGGGGTGGCCCCGTGCCTCGCAAGGGAGGAGGGGGAGGACGGCCATCAGGGGCCATTGGTGGTCGGGTGTGTAGGAGCGGCGATGTCGGGGCGTGCCAACAGTCATCAGACCACATCAGGCAGAGGCGTTGTTTACCGCTTACCCGAACAACAATCCCCGCCTACGGTGCCAATGCGCCGCGCTGCTCCATTCTTGTGATCATGTGGTGATCAGGCCGGAGGCTGGTGGCATTACACGGAACCACCATCGTCTACCTCCGGCTCCTCCCCCTTCGGCTTCCATTCCCCGCCCGATAAGGACAGCATGTGGCCACCGCCGCTGACAGATGCACCTCGGCCGTTCGGCCGTACTCTGGAGGAGCTGCCGTATCCAGCCATCGTTGGATTACAACCCTGGCCGGGGCCGGCGCTTACTCGTGACCTAGTGGGGCGGGGTGAGGGTGCGGGGGTTCCTGATGGACAGGAGCCCCCGGTACCAGCATCCAGCTCAGGGGCCGGGCTGGTTCAGGTGGGACAAGTCGGAACCCGTGCAGGGCCCGGAGCTGAACAGGGGGCTTCGGAGAGGTCCCACGATGGTGTTGGGAATGGGGAAATCAGTGATGGAAGTACGTAATGATAGCAGTGGTGGCAATTTGGTGGCTGATGCAGCCCTGGGAGGTGTGGGGGAAACCCGTCGCCTCAACGCCTCCACCCTAAAAATAGTCCATAAATAGGCGCCATACGCAGGTCATCAGTAGACGATCCATAAACGAAGCTTGAGTCGCAACACTGGGAAGCCGTAAAGGTTGCAAGTTGTACGGCCCGTACTCAACAGGAATGGCAGGCAAGCGGGTGGGCAGCGTGTGGTAAGGTGGCGGCAAGCGGCACGCAAACGTGCACGTTTTACGACCCCCTTCTAGACTTGAGCCATGTGCACCGCTTATGCCGTGAGGGGTATGCAAGGGGCTGGCAGGGTTATTCAGGGTGTTTTGAATGTCCTTGTGGAATTTTCCGTTCATAGCTCTAGTTTCAGCCAGTTTTCGTGTAAAAAAATTGGATCCAACATGCGACGTCGACCGGAACCTGAGAGAGTACACAAGCGAGAGCTCCATCAGAGTTCTTTGCTGGTACGGCAACCGACGATCAAGGGAGCAAAGAGCGTTCGCGAATGCAGCGATATCATAAGACTGGGAAAATTTGAAGTATGTTTAAAGGACGTCTGAAAGCATTGCAACGGCCACCCGCTTTGGTCGGGAACCTAATCGATGTAGGTCTTGAGGATCATGCAATCAGAGAACATTAAACTGACAAGGAGTGCAAGGACAGTAATTCGTGCCTATCCAGGCTTTTCGCTGTCGGCAAACGCTGCCTCTTAAGTGCAGCCGTAACTTGACGCTTGGCACGCTCACGTAATACCCACCACCGCTCTAATGGCGCCGCCATTATGGCGCAGCCTTCCTCATCACACAAAAGAGAACACGCTCTCGATTCACCAGCCTCAAACTGCCTCAAGGAGGCACGAATGTTAGCCATTCAGTGCAACCGCCTCAAAAACCTCAAGAGAAAACCGGACATTGTTGACGACATGCCCTACCGTACATTTTTAATGACATGCCCGCCTAAGCAAATCCAGTCGCACCACCTTGTTGCCTGCCTTCCGAACATAAATGTCATGGCGATGATCCAATTCTATCGCTGTTCCCGCTTAAGCCTCTGGCTTAGGACCGTCCTAGGCTAGCGGAAACGCCAGAAAAACTCTAACAAAGCTGCAATACGATAACCTTTGCGGCTAAAAAGGTAGGTTTCAAAACTCTATCCCCATGTTCAAAACTCTATGCCCCAGATACGCCCATGTTTTCGCCTAGCGTAAGGGCAGTACCCCATAAAGGCTCAATGCGCACACAAAACAAAAGATAAAATGTGTAGACCAGGTCATTAGCACACATACTACCTGACCGCGTACGTGCAAAGAAATCACAGCGCCTGGATACCTAGCCTACGCACACCGATGATGTACTGACACATCGCATCGGCAAATGATAAGGTCACAGACGCTTACAGAACCGCTAGCTGCTCGCATAACCTGCAACAGCTACTCGCTGCCGTGCAATGTCCTTCAGCATGGTGTGGTCACCCTCGGACCTAATAACGGTCACATACTCAACAGTCCCCTGCTGCACGCTATTTTTCCTACCAAAAACGAACGCTTTGCGAAAGGTTTTAACATAACTTTCAAGCAACACACTACCCTGCGTCTGCTCCCCCTGTGCTAGCCGACTCAGGGCCCCCCAGCGGCTCCCGCCCAGCCAGACGGCTACCATGCCAACCCTGCGACATCAGCTCTAGCACGTTACCGCCCAGCGCACGCAGGCGCAGCGCACGCGACTCCAGGTCGGCCTGTGACGAGATGCAAAACATGGGAGCACATATTGCCGTTATGTCTTATGTCTTCGGTTCCTGTAGATTCCCTTTTCCTTTTTTGTCCTGTCTCTATTGTAACCTTTTGTAGCCGAGTAAGCAGGTCTATGGTTGTTCGGATCGTTTGAACTACCTTGGCACCCCCAGTACTCACACAGTGTAGGATTACTGCAAACTAGGCAACACAACTAACGCGCTCTGCTGTCCAAATATGGGCATACTTTAAACAACAGTCCTACAAGTGGCCCAATTCAACGGAAGCCAATCCCTGTCTTGCCTGAGAGGAATCTGAAACCGCATGTTGCGGGATGCCCCCCGTCGGGAGCGGCTGACGTCTCTGCAATCCGTCCGGCCCCTGAACTTGCGCCCCCACCGTCAATGAGCGGTGGGGCGTTAACTGCGTACACAGGCCGGTGGCGCCGGCATGAGCATGACTGGCGCCGAGGCCCATTCCCCAAATGCAACCCTCTAGGAAGTCCTCGATAAGATCGGCGTCAAACTGCAGCTCCGTAGCCGTTGCGGCATTGGGTACGCTTCCTCGGCGTTGGCTACTCCGGCCAACCTTCAGAGGGTACGATAAGCGGTCTGGATGTCAAGCCACGCAATGTGAATAAGGAAGAACGACGTGGTAAGGCAGAACAATGAATCAACCCTCCCACTTACCTGCAGAGACCCAGCCCCCTGTGGCTCCTGCTTATCCAGGAGCGCTTGCTTCGCGACCAAGCTCTTGCACACACGTTCAACCTCCTCACGATACCTGCAAAAGCGAATAAAAATGGCGGAATGGAAATTAAGGCAGCATTATAAGTCCTTGGACCTATGCCCAGTAACAGAACGTCCCGTGGGTCATTATGCAAATCCAAACAGCATTACCTGGACAACTCCGTGCTCAATTCCTGCACCATGGCCCGCCCGTTGTTGCTGTCTGCCAAGGCCGCAGCCAACCGGGCCTCCACCTGCCTCTTCTCCAGGTCAGCGGTTAGCGCCGCCCGCTCTGCAGCCACAACACGCCCTGTCGCGTCCTCCAGCTGGGTTTGCAGCTCCGCCGCACTTGCCCTTGCGTCGCGCAGGTCGCTGTCAGCTGCCTTGAGCTTCGCAGTCAGGCATTCAAGCAAATCTGTAGGGGCAATGCGAACCGCACCAGCATCAGCGACATAGACAACATGTGAAGGCAACATGTGAAGGCAACATATGGTTGAATATGCACTGATAATCCTTGCGCCGACGCAACTAGACGAAACGCACAGCAACCACATGATAAGGGCCCTACCCGTAGACACGTTTCGCTGTCTGTCAAGCAGCTGCTGAATACCAGTCAGCTCCCGCACCATTGCCTCGTTCTGCTGCTTTACGATATGCGATTGTTGCCGGCCATCTGATGCCTGCATCTCAAAGGCGGCGTGCAGCGTCCGCAATACGCTGACATCCTCTTCAGCCGCACGCTGCCGCGCCTGCGCTTCCGCGGTTGTGATCTCTGCAGTTGATAGCTTCCGCTCTGCTTGAAGAAGCACCACGTGCTGTGCTTCTGCACGCCGCTGCGCCGAGTCCACAGCATTCCCGGGACTTGGTACCTCCTGCTCCTCAGCGGCGAGGTCGGCCGTCAGAACCTCTTGACCAGTTACGACCTGACCTGTGCGCAGCGCGGCCTGTACACCGCCTGCGAGCTCTGCAATGGCCACCTGATCTTGGTGGACAGTCGCTCCAGCTGCCTCGAGCTCAGCCGCGGCAATCATTTGCTGTCGCTGCTGCAGCTTCCTGTGCACCTCAGGCGCGATGGCATCCTGCCGACTCGCGTGTTCTTGGACCTGCCGAAGCTGCTCTACAGGAGCCCCCTGTGCAGCCTGTAGTTTGGACATTTCACTCCGAAGCCCCGAGACCGTGAGAGGATGGCTACCGACAATGTCTTCCAAATACGAATGGAACGCCTGTAGCCTGGCTTGCTCCCGGGCTGCGACGGCCAGATTTGCTTGCTGCTGACCAGCAGAAATTGCGGCTGCGTTGGAAACAGCCGCACCCGCAGCTGTAGCCGCGGATGCAGCCGCTTGCAGCCGATCTTCAGTAGTCTGCAAATGGCCCATTGCGGCAACTGCAACCTCCAAATCCTGTCGCGCCTTCTCCAGCTGCACCTCGAGGTCCGCTACGACGCTTTCACGCTGTCCCAGTGTCACCTGAAGTCCCGCCACAGCCACTCGGAGTTGTTGCGCCTCGGATTTGCGTAGATCCAACTCCTTCTTTTGCTCCAGGTCCGCTTCCAGGAGCTGCTGTACGTTCTCTGCCTGCTTCTCCTGAGTGGATTTGGCAGCTCCAAGGGCGAACACGACAGAGCGGAGCTCCGCTTCTAAGGCCCGCATCTGCTCTGCCTGGGCTGAGCGATCGCCACGGGCCGCGGCCATCTGTTCTTCGAAAGCGGCCGCCATCGTCGCGGCACGACCGGCATGGAGAGCTGTGTCCACGCGTGATGCTGAGAGTTGTGCCTCGAGGTCCGCCACAAGGGTGGCATGGCGCTCAGCCTCCGCATCCCTCTCTGTACGTGCTGCTGTGAGCACTGCCTGCAGCTCCACCGTTTGCAACGCTAAGCGTGCAGCCAGGTCGCTCTTCTCGGACAGCGCTGCCGCCAGTTCCGTTTCTAGGGTGGCAGCATGGTTCGTCAGGCTCTGGACCTGCTCAGCAATCACAGCCTGCGCTGCTGCCAGCTGAGCCTCCAATAAGTGTGTATTAGCCGCAGCCCGCTCCAGCAGGACCGAGTGCTCAGCGTGTACCGCGACGAGCTGCTCCTCCAGGGCCGCAATTTGCGAGGAGGAACGCTTCAGTTGATCGGCCATCTCAACATGAGCAGCAGCCAATTGTTTTTCCAGCTCGGCAACCTGAGCAGCCGAGGCTTCTGCCTGAGCCGCATGCTGCTCCTGAGCCGTAATAATCCGTGCCTCCAGCGCCGCCGATTGCGCTGCAGAGTTAGATAGCAGCTCACTGATCTTTACCCTCGCCGCGCATAGCTGCTGCTCCAGCGTTAACGCATGCGCAGCGGATTGTGCCATCTTCATGGCAATATCCGCGTGGGCAGCTTCCAGCTGCTTTACAAGTAGAGCCGCGTCAGCGGACGAACGCTCCGCCTGCTCCGACAAGTTGGCTCGAGCAGCCTCCAGCTGCGCAGTCAGTTCCGCGGTCTGAGCTGCTGCGTGTTCAGAAGCCACTGCCATGGCCGCCGCTAGCTGTGACTCAAGCTCTGACGCCTGCGCCGCAGAGCGCTTGGCCTGCTCTGTATTCTCAGCCAGCGCTGCGACAAGCTGCGCTTCCAACTCCGCCACCTGGCTGGCAGAGCGATCCGCCAAGGCAGCATGATCAGATTGGGCTGTTCCGAGTTGCGCCTCCAGCTTGGAGATTTCCCGGGCTGCTTGATCTGCCGAAAGTGCGCCAGCTGCGCGAGCCGCGTCCAGCTGCGATACTAGGTCGCTTACTTCTGCTGCTGAGCGTTCAACAAGTGCTGCAACGAATGACCGAGCAGAGTTCAGCTGCGCCTCGAGGTCAGCGGCTCGCGCCGCCGACATATGGGCTTGCTCTGCCATTTCAGCACGAGCGGCGACGAGCTGGTCCAGCAGCGTTGCCACCTGCGCACGCGACTTCTCAGCCTGGGAGGCACTGTCATTCCGCGCGGCGGCCAGCTGATCCTCCAGGTCCTCGACATGCGCCGAAGTGCGGGCGGTGTGCTCGTTGATTGCGACCCGCGCAGAAGCCAGCTTGTCCTCGAGTTCCTCAATGTGCGCACGATGTAAGTCAGATTGTTCGATGCTGGATGCCTGCGCTTTCGCAAGCTGTTCCTCCAAAAAACGTATCCTCGTCGCCGAAGCTTGCGCCTGCCGTTCAAGAGCCGCCCGAGCATCTCCCAGCTGCGCCTCCAGGCGGCTGGCCTCTGCGGTAAATCGCGCCGCCTGTAGCGCACCCTCAGAACGGGCTGCGGCGATCTGGGCCTCCAGCTCAGCCACATGGCAGGCGGACCGTTCCCCCAGATCAACATTGTCGACACGCGCCGCCTCAAGTTGCAATTTAAACGTCGCAGCCTCCGCGGTGAAGAGCTTTTCCTGCTCTGCGTTGAGGGCATGGGCTGCTGCTAACTGATCCGCCTGAAGCACAAACTGCTTCACTTGCGCCGCAACCTCTGCACGGGAAGCGGCCAGCTCCTCCTCCAGAAGCGCGTTCTCAGCCCTAGCCTGCCGGAGCTCCTCCTCAAGCATCTGGGAATGTGCTGCGGCAGCTGCCGCTTGTATCTCCAGGCGCTCTTGTTCAATCGCAGCCTGTGCCAGCTTGGTCTCGAGAGTTGCCACTTTCGCGGCCTGAACGGCCGCTTCAGAACGAACAGTCTCCAGCTGCGTCTGTATAAATGGATTGAGAACATCGCGTAACTGGTTGAAGTATGTCATCAAGCGAGTTCCTGACCCGTGTCTACCTAGGTCATCCCAGGCCACGCGCTCTGTTGGCAACCAAAAAGCAAAGCAGCGATCGCCTAAGGTAAGGATATGCTTTCACCACTAGCTATAAACCCTACCTGAACATCCGACAGCGCTGCCTGTAGGCTTTCCACTGCTCGCTCAGCCTCAGCAGCGCGCTTCTGTGCAAACGCGGTGGCCTGCTCTTGCATCAATGCCTCCCTTTCCAACGCGCTCCGCAACTGCTGTTCGAGTTCAAAAACCTGGACGGATAGCGATTGCACCTTTGTTTCGGCATTATCAATTTGCCACTCAAGTTCTTGTCGGGCAGAATCCGCAGCGGTCGCCTTGCAATAAGCAAGGTCCCTCGCTGCCCCTGCGGTTGCAAGCTTAGCGGCTGTAATCTCGAGCGCGGCGTTGGTGCGTGCAAGGTTTGCCTCAGTGCGCGTTTGCATTTCGGCCGCTGACGCCAGCGCGGCCTGCTGCTCTCCGCAAGACTCCTGCACCAACAAAAGCTGCTGCCCCAGGTCCTTGCAGGTGGCATCTGACTTCTTCAGCTCCTCCGCAAGCTCCAAGCGCGCCAGCTCGGTCTCTGCAAGCTTTTCGGCCAGGTCACGCACCGCTGCCCGGTCGTTGACCACTTGCTTCTGTAGATCAGCGTGCTCCATCTTCATGTGGGCAAGCGATGTCCGCAGCTTCTCCAGCTCCATGGCATCCATTTGGAGCTGCTTCTCAAGCTGCTGCCGGGACGCCTCACCTTGCCCAAGCCGTTCTAGAGCGTCGTTGAGCGCAGCCTGCTTGTTCGCGAGCTGGGCCGCCATGTCATCGCGCACCCCCGTTACCGTCTCAAGTTGTGAGCTCAGATACTCCCGGTTTTCAGCGGCAGCAGCCAACTGCTCCGCCAAGCTCGCCTGCGCATCTTCCGCAGCGGAAAGGTTATGTGCGAGCTCTTGGCGGCGGACATCAATTTCAGAGGCCCGTTTGCGCAGGTCTTCGATCGCCTGCTGATGCTCTGTGGGGGCCTTGCCTGAACCTTCGGCAGCCGCCTGCGCTGCAGCCAGCTCCTGGGTGGCTTCCTCCAAGGCCATCTGAGAAGTAGCATACTGCGACCTCAAGAGCGTTACCTCATCGCGGAGACGCGCGAGAGCATCGGCATCAGCACGAGACTGCTCCTCATCACGAGTTTCCAGCTCCAAGGCGAGCGCTTGTGCAGCCAAAAGTTCTGCCTGTGCGTCCTCAAGCTTCGCAGCCTGCGCCTCCACATAACTGATTTGGGCATCGCAGTCATCCTGTGCACGTTCAAGTGCAGCGCGGGCCTCGAGAAGCGCCTGCTCTTGCACAAGCATATCCCGTTCCTTCTCCTGCATCTGCCGAGTTGCCTTGTCGGCAAGTCCCCGCAGGAGCTCCGCCTCCTCCTCCAATTCCTGAATATATTCTTTGGTTGCCTGTAGCTCTGCTGCACGTTCTTCTGCATCAAGCTGTGACTGTCCTCGTTGCGTGTCTAGGTCAGCAGCACGACAAATTAGCTCCGCGCACTGCGCTTGCAGCTCCTCTAGCCTAGCAATCATGTCGAACTGATCGTGCGTCGCACCGACCGGACATATCAGAGCTCGGTTGTCGTCCTGAGCATTCCTGCTGGGGCCCCGCCGCCCTGGCGTGATGGCAAGAAGTGCCACAGCGTCACCTCCGGCAAGCAAAGGGATGTTGACAGACGCAGACAGCTCCACGGCGTGCTTGTGCGCATGACCAGCTGCTGACAGACTCCGGCGCTCATACTCGCGTAGCATAAGGTTTGCAGTGTCGAGCTCACTATCCTTGCTTGCTATTACTGCCTGCGCAGCCTGTGTGTAAAGGCATGCAGCAAAGTCAAGGCCCCATACCGGCGAACTGTTGTGCAAAGACCGCAGGACTTCTGGATGAATTATTCTAGGCGACGTCAATTGCAAGGAATGGGTACTTGTAATTCTCTAACAAACGAACAATGTAACGTCAAGGCATGGCCGCAAACTGATCTCTGCCCTGCGTATTACAGACCTGCAGCTGGCATTCAAGTGCCTGGCGGGCCGCCTCGGCTTGTGCCAGCTGAAATTGGATCTCTTCTAGCCGTGCCAATGCAAAATAATGGTCCCGCGGTGTACCCGATGCCGATGGCGGTCCACTGCGACGAATGGCCATGCTAGGTTGTGGAGAGCTAGGCGCCTGCGGCACCCCACGCTTTACGCTAGGCTTCATCTGTGTGCCGCCGCCTGGGGAACGGACACCACTGGATATCCTCCGCATGCTGGTGGGCACGTCTTTGCTTGCTTTCTTGGTCGGTGTGGTGTCGGGTGTAGCACGACGAGAGCAGAGGGTTGCGCCAACCCCAGATGCGCAAGTACTGCTATTCTTCAAGGAGAAATCGGCTGACGCCGTGACGCTGCTCTTGTGGCCCTTGCCCCACGTACAGCCCGCTCCGACAGCGCCCGGCGCGCCGCGGGACGGGGCTCTCGCTGCTGCCTGCGGAGCAGGAACGCGGCAGCAGCGGGGCCAGGGCTGTCAGAGCAGGTGCCAAAATGGGTGCCACAGTGACAGCGGGCTGCTGCTATTGTGGACCCGCTGGCCGTAGGGACAAGTGCCCTGGCGGACGCGTGCGATAGGTGCCGTTTGCATGCAGCTGACCTTGCCATCCGATAACGTGGGGTCCTTGAGGGCGACCAGTGGAACATCCTCCACGGATGGAGCCTCGTGTTGCAGGAGTAGCTGCTGCATATCCTGCATGTAAGGCGGCGTTGTCACACGCAGAACTTCAGCCAGGTTACGTGACAGGTTTCCAGCGACAGAATGAAGCTCAAAGTCAATCAGATTACCAAGACTTGTGGCTATATTACGCCAGGTGTTACCAGGCATGTGTGTTACGCCAGCTAGATTACGCTTTCCAGGTGTTACCAGACCGCACTACTGATGAGATTCTACAGTTATGACCGACAACGACGTACGATACCAGTTGTTTTCGCGTTCAGGAGACTCAGACGTCGACAAACGCGCTGCTTCCGACTTCATCCCCAATGATATCGCCTCCTCCTGCAGGGTTTCTGACTGCACGCAGGCCTGCGCCCCTTTGGTACACAGACGCAGTGATTTATGACCACAAACCTGCAGTTCCTCCACAAGCTTGTCTCGGGCAGCGCGCAGGCCTGAAACCTCAGTTTGAAGCTGACGCAGCTCCGTGCTCTGCGTAGTTTTATGCATTCGAGGAGTTTACCAGAAACAGCAGAAGCAAGGGCGCATTATGAAAAATGGATCGCCAAGATGCAGAGGAGATTTGCACTGGCGCTATGGCTCAATTGAAACCAGCAACCGGATTCAAAACAATGCCGCACCTGCAGTTCCGACTTTGCGCGTAGGTTTTCGTGCTCAACTCGCAGGCCCTCCAACTCCATTTCGGTTGCGTTTAGCACGTTCTGCATGGGAGGAAAGTCTTCCTGAGCCTGTGACTTCGCAAGGTTTAGCAAGGAACAGAGTGCGCTACGCAAAAATATGCCATCGGGCATCGGGCATCCATGGGGTCGCTTAAACAAAAGATGTACCCCTAAGCACCGTGCCTACCAAGCCCGCATTACCGAAGCACGTTGCGGCCTCAGCTTACCACGCCAATCAGGCCCATGCCGAACGGCAGTGCTGTTGCCGCACGCGTGCTATCGTCGACCTCGAGTTCCTGCTGCTGCTCCAAAGGCGCAACCTCCGTGGACTGGAAATAGAGAAGGGCGGCGACAAGGAGCAGCAGCATGAATGGAAACCGTGTGGACAAAGGCAGCGATCCAGCTTGGTAACAGCGACAGAGAAACGTGGTAGAGACAGAACCTCAGTCGAGACGGGCCATTTAGCAAGGCAGCGCGCCGGCTTCTTGTTCTGTGCTCCTGCCTTCCTTAACTGTATTCTCATGACTCTGCCGACTCTGACGTGCTTGCTGACCGTGCTGGGAATCGTAGAGACGGGAAGCGGGGAGACCAGCTGCCAAGGGCCCTTACACTGCTTACTCCGTCGCATCTAAGTCAATAATGGGTGTATCACGATAGCAAGGGTATCTAACGACAGCAAAGCCTGCACACGAGCCATCGCACCTTGGCTCCTAATTCCCTGTTAACCTCGTTGAATTGCGCACGTAGCTGCTCAAGCTGTTGCTGCGATGCAGCCAAGAGCTCTCGAGTCATGGCTAAAGCAGCATTCGTCTCGTTACGGTCCACCTGGAAACGACCATCCGTGAGTTAACGTATATGTTTTCAGTGGAGTAGCTCACCATGCTAAACGCATACAGGGAGCACTGGGCTGGATTATGCACTCAAGTGATAAAAATTATCTCCAGTCTTGGCTCCCTATACACGCATTGACAACGAGCACATACGCAATGGCTAGCTCTATTCGGGCGTGCACGTTACATTTCTCCCCTCTGAACAGCGAGCATCCCCACAACGTTTGAGGCAAGGTACATGTCAATTCAAGGACTCTTGATACTAATGAAACGAAAGGATAGGTTACCGCAAGTCCTAAGCAAATATGCACACATTTCCAAACCTTTAGACGGGCTGCATCGGCCTCTGCGTCTGTGCGGACTTGTCGCTCGCGTGCCAACGCCTGCTCCATCTCGGCAGTTGACTCCTCCAGACGGCGCAGGCGGTCAAGCACCGTGCTGAGGCGCTGCAGTACCGTGGCGAGGGCCTCGTTCGCCATGTCGCCCGTGTCCGTTGCATCAAGCTCACCGGCGAGGGGCATCAAGACCACCTCATCCTGCGATCCATCCGAGGCAAGTTCGGAATGACCTCGCGCGGAACTGAGGTCTGCCGTGGCTGTGCGATTGCCAGTTGAGGCGGAGTTGAGAAGCGGTAGGACCTGATCCAGAAGTACTGCAAGCTCGCCGCAGCGTGGACAAGAAGAGTGCGGGGAAGGTGCTCCATTGCCACCGCGGGACACAGCGGCAGCATTGGCGGTGGCCGATGCGCCCGGGGACTGGAAGGCCTGAGATCGGAGCTGCTGTCCCAGGAGTGTAAGGCACGTCTGAGGGACGCAAAGGGAAACAGCTGGTGAGCCACTTACACAAGGTGTTTCATTACCGATCGCATTCAGTGCATGAACTTCTCTGGAAATAACACACAGTTGTTCCGCCTCAAGGGAGAGCCAGCAGTGGTCAGCGGGGGGCGGTAGCCCACCACACTCACCCGCAGCATCGCCTGCAGCTCCGGGCTGCTTAAACTTCGAGTACGGCAGCGCATTGACGCCTCGTCTAATTCCGCATGCGACATATTGAGAGCCGCTAAGGATGATTCCATGGCCTTGCAGTCTCGTTCCACCAACCGCAGTGCCTCAAGTACCAGCTCCCGAAGCATCTGAAGGGACACAAATTCCAAGGTTGGATGCGTTAGGTTTAGACATTAGCAAATTTCACTGGCTGCTGAGTCGGCAACTCAACAGCCGTAAACGGCAACTGGACAGAGCGCAGCGAGATTTTGCCCCTATGAGCTCAAAATCCCTTCAAGAAACCTGAAGCAAAGTACCTCCATTTACAATAGCAATTTACCTCTTGTTCGTCCTCCTTCTCGCGACAGAGGCGCACAAGGTGCTGATTTGCCGCTTGCATAGACAGAAGTTCGGATGGAATGGTCCCCGCCTGTTCAGCATGGGTTCAACGACATAAGTGGGACTCATACGGAATGAGATAAGTGTACTAAGCCGGCGGAGGGGTCCCTCGGCCCGTTAGTTGTCCGGCCTTAGTTTATATGGCATGGGGTGCGGCCTCTGATGCCTCCCACGCCGCAACACACATATTCATTTCGGGAACAAGAGGGACCGGAGGAACGCAAAAGAAAATGTCCCTTTCCTTGAGTCACACCATACACAATCATGCACAGAAACGGAAGCGCGCTGCTAACCTGGATGCGTGGGTATTCATCAGGCGATGCTATCTCGTCGTCAAGAAGTACACGATCGTTGAAATCAAGGCAAGCTGCAGGTGGCACGTCACACCACTGAAAATCTGTGCCATCCCTTAACCGCGGCAGCAAAAATCCTTCCGGGCGCTCATCTGTACTGGAGCCAAATGGCGGGTACGCCGATGCTGACGAAGCACGGTGTGGCTGCATAGGGGCACCCGTGTCATCAGCCCCTACCCAAGCAGAACCAGCTGAGGCAGCGATAGGCAGGGTTGCCAGGTTCCATGGACGTGCTGTCACGGAGGTGGAGTCGGCGCTTTCTTTTGCATCTGGTTTCTTAAGCATACCCGGTCCCGTGCCGTGGCATGTCGCCGGGCCTGCAGGTTCAGCGAGGGACGCTGCATCCGGTAACTGAGCCGACCCTTGCAATTCGTTCTCTCGGATGGGGTCACGCGTGGACAGCTGTCTGGAAGGGGAGGTACTGCTGGCCTGTTCCGGGTCGCCCCCGTGGGAAATGGCCATGCGCGACCTCGGAGTAATGGCGTAAAAGCTGTTTGCCGCACGCGGTGACCCCATAGAGGTTGGGCTGTGCGACTGCGAGCCGGCAATGCCACCAGGAACAGACACGCTGCGTAGACCGACATGGCTCGGCAGGTAAGGCTTTTGCTCGTTGACTACCAGCAACGCGGCTGCAGCTGCTGAGGCGCCGATCGCCGGCGGGACCTCGAAGCTTGCATGCACTAGCCTCGACGTGCGGGGACTTTGGAGCATTGTTGGCGATGCATTAGCCTCACGGCGAGGGCTAAGATTGCTTGTTATCGTGAGGGCTTGAGGCCCCGTATCAGATGCGGCTCGCAAGGAGTTGCTTTTGCCGAAAGTAAGCGTGCTGTCGCAGCCCCCCTCGGACACGTAGCGTGTGTTGAAGCCGTACGCTATGCCGTCTGGGGGAGCCTTCACTTTGGGCAGCGGGTCAGGTACTTCACCCTGCGGGGAATGTGGAATGTCCGCTGAGTCCGCAACATTGTACAACATAAGCAACATACTAGCAACTTAAAAAGCGGTCAATGGAATCATAGTTATACTCGGAACCAATCACTGGATCACAACGACGTCTGGGCAAAAGCGCGAAAGAGGTTTACCATAGAAGCCGCTTACCCCAAGCACACAGTTTGCATAAGTGCTCAGGGCGCAGAAGAGCAATACCTTTCCGAAGTCGTACCTCAGCGACAGCCGCTACAACTGCATCGTGGATGCGTATGCGGTCGATCGAGATAATCTTGTTCTTGAGATCAACCAGTTCGTCGGCCATAAGCAGGAACTGAGGAGAGGACGTGTGTAAGGTTAGATAAGAGATACCCAAGGAGCCTGCAGGTGAAGTCATCCAACGCCACCTAGTTTTCATGGCCTGGCGACTGCAAGCTACGACAACCAGCTACAGGCACCCTTGGAAATAAGCATCCTTCTTGCACTCACCTGCGTCCGGGCCTCCTGGAGTAAGTCTCTCACATCCATGTGCTGCGCCGGTTGCGGAAGACTACCCAAAGAACCTGAAAACGATAAGGACCCAGTAATGGACCACTGTACAATCGCACAACAGCACTCGTAATCGAATTCGTCACGACACTGATGGGAGATTGAAAAGTACACGTGGCAGGTGGCTGTGCAGATGCCAGTTGTGCGCGGCATGGACAGCAACCTGTCATACCCGGTCTAAAGGTGGCCTTCCGATCCGCAGGGGTTGCAGGAGTCCGCCACGTCACTGCTCCAGAGTTTTCTCGGCGACAGTCCACGCCGAGCTTGGCTTGCTTGATCCGCGCAGCCTCCGCGTGCTGAACCGCATTGAAGGATGCGAATGCCTGCACCATGAAGGTCATGCCTTCATGCAATTTGCGTGATGTATAATTTATGGGCATGTAAGGAGTTACATTCCCCGCCCCCGTAGCTCCATAGATCCCACAAGTAAACCCCAGGGCCACTTGAAGCAAGCCGACATCCGTACCTTATCCACTAGAGCTTGGAGCAGCATTAGGTGGTGGTACAATAACTCCTGTCCTCGCGTCTGCCCCAGGCCTAGCTTGCGAAGAATTCTGGCGACCTTCGCCTTGATCGTTGCCACGTACAGGTCAATCAAGCGATTTGCAAGACCGCAAACTTTGCTGCATTTCGCCTGCAGTATTGAAAGCGGCGTTTTTCCTGCTACAAAGTAAATCCTACGAACCAGCGCGAAGGGTGCAAAAGACCGAATCCAAACTTGCGATGGCTACCCCGTGCCCTTCCTTTCGGATAAATCCATAACTGCGGGAAATCACGTGGAATTCACCTTAATACGGTTCACTTGCTCATTTCCGTGTATGCTGCTCGCCTCCTCCTGCAGAGTTTCGTCGAGATTCTAACGTTAGATGGGGTTTTCACAACTTAAACTCTTTCCTATCTTACTGTGGCGATCTTCGCAGATTTCTGCAGGTTGTTGATGAGGTCTATTATGTCGCGAGCGGTGAAAAACCTGCGTTGAAAGGCACAGAAGTGTTGCTCACGCTGACTACCGTGCCGACTGCTGACAACCATCTTGCGAGGAAACATATGGTAACCTCGGAGTATATTCCTACCTTATTATGTCATAGTGGCCTCTGCTGCCTGGTAACGCACCGAGGCCGCTTCCGCCGCATCGGCCTGGAGACCCATACTCCAAAAACGTCCGGGGCGAAGATGTAGCCACGGAAGAGCGGAGGCCTGGAGTAAAAAGGATTATTGCATTAGAATAAGGCGGTCAGGCTGACGCTTCGCTACAGATAATTTTGGAGAACGATTTCCCCACCCTTTTCTTCCTCTTTCGTCGGGCTCAAGCTCGCCATGGAGAGACTAGAAAATCCTGGGCTGGACATTCTCCCTACAGTTGCCCATATGGGCCTGGATTTGGGTGAAGCGGCCATCTCGACGTGGGAGGCAGCTTGCTCCGGTACCCAACACTTCGGAGAATGCCCGTCAAAGGTTTGACACCCTTATCCAGGAACGCAAGCACTCCATAAAGAGACTATGTTATTTCTAGGCCTTCACCACTGCCAGCACCAGCAAAACTGGGCTGCAGCTGTCATAATGCAGAAGTGTCAATGTCAGGCGTAAGCTAGTCACGCAAGTAATGTACCGTTAGCAACAAGAAAAAACATATGAATTTTGGAGATTATGATATGAGGGATTCCATGACGGGGTGCGGGACCGAGCAAATTTCAATTGCCGTACACGCAACACTTCCTCGGGTTACCTTTTGCAACGAAGTTCAACAATGATGTGTGTGATAAAGGAAAGTTTTAGCCGAAGAGATTGCTTTAGGGGCATTGGGTGGTGAGCGGGTTAGGTTGCTTTTAATTGCAAGGAGGATGGTTCCCACAGCTAACCAGGCACAGCTTCCACCAAGTACTGAACAAGTATATGCGGGACTTGCGGAGGCTCCACTTGTTGTGCCACCTCAGCTGGTCCAATACTTCATGCGGAAAAGTGGGCAAGGGCCTATACTTTACAACATCAGCGCTGATGACAGAGAGTGTAACGAGGACATGCGACTGTAAGCATGCTTGTGAGGAATTATAACAATGCCTCGAACTATGAGCGCAACGCTCGCGCGCTTGCGCAGGACGCAGGTGGTCAGCCTCGCAGCTCAGCGGTTTTTAGCTACAGTACTGAATGACGCCATGCAGTAAGTCGCGCCGGAACCCGACCCCGTCTGCACAGTTCACGCCTACACACTGCGTGCTGCCAGGTACTACAAGATGAAGCGCGCAGCAGGGGTGAAGGCCATGAAGGAGGCAGGACTTGACCCAAAGGACAAGCGGAGGCTGTTGCGTACAGATGATCTAGCGCAGGCCCTCCAAGAGGTAGGTGGATTTTGCCGCTGGGCTGCATGCGATTTCAAGCATTCCATGCCATACCCTGCGTGGGGGGCCGACTGGTTTCTAATAGACGTGGACGGATGTGGGTATCATCTTCTGTGGCAAGCTATGGGGTTCGCATGGTGCCATGGTAAGGGACTTTGGGGATTACCCCGAAATCAACCATGCGCGTCAACCCACATGCAATGGAGGCGTTGATTGCATATACGGCGATGGCAATCAAGCGGTGGGCTTGAAAATCTTGTTCGCATGCACAGCACCCTCCTTATATAAGTGCCCTGTGTGCGCATGGCTGCAGTACGGCGTCACCCTCCGAAACCCACCTTACTACGTGGACGCTAACAACCAAGCAGCCGGTGCCCGTCGGTGAATGAGAGTCCGGATTATCCGGCTCTTTCGCTATAAAGCCACCCTCCCTCGGCAGCTGACTTTTACATTTGGCATAAAACTGTAAGCCCTCCCTCCAGCAGTCGGCACTTGGAGTTGGCACACGAGCGAGTCGTCAATAGCGTCATGGAACGTTTACTAAAGGAGAGGGATATCTAGCTAAATGTTATATAAGAGCGCTTATCTGTAGACTCGAAGGCAAGGGCTTGTTTGCCAGCAGGTAATCAAACCTTTATATTTGAACCTGCAGGAATTAAGCGGGGTTGATGCCTAGACGCACAACCAGGACCTACTGTTCCCTATGCGATTGCCAGCCGTGTGTTGCAGTTGCTTGGTAATGCATCGTATGAATGGAGGCTCGAATATTCTGGAGACTAGGACTGTTGCCATTACATAACGGCGGCTACGCAATGCGTTCCTTCTTACCCACCCATGGCTGTGCATCTGCGCATTTAATCAACGCAGCCTTTTGTGACGTAGGGGTCTTGGACATGGGCCTTGCGCTGGTGAACGCCTGTTAGGGGCGAGTTGAATTAGCTTGTGCAACGAACAGCGCCCCTGGTTCCGCTGTTGCTGTCGGGCCGTTAAAACGTTTGCGGCTAGACCCGGGGCTGCGTTGCTGAACCGCAAGTTGCGCATGCTCTGCAGCAGCGGCTCATTGAGCCCCGCACAGTTAGCTACCGCTGCTGGGGGCCCTTGCAGTCAGACGGCAGGACCAATCAGTCACCTAGAAGGACGGGTTTATGTGCAGAAATACATGTTGAAGCCATTAATAAAATTGCAGATTGGCCCAAGTTCCCTAGGTTAATGTCAAATGGTCTTTGTGAGATGCATGGGGCCGTACACGCAGGTCAGCTGGCTGGTGCTTCCGCCGGCACGCCAATCAGGATTTTGGTTATGGGTTGCAAGCAGCTGCGAGTATTGCACCCAAATGCTAGGCCGAAAACCATATGATAGGTTGCAAATGCTGTCAGCAGATATTTCCCATTACGGTTACGTGTTCCTGAGGGCCATAGATAGCCTAGGGGCTCAAGCATGAATTGTATGCACTTATGTAGACGTAGACGCAGAGGATGGAAGATGAGGGGTCAGCCAGGATGAGCCTTACGTTTGGCAACTGGCGCAATGGGGTGTAGGAACAGCTATTACAATGCCCACGCCTCCAGACGGAAAAAACATGACACGGATCATGAGAAATAGCTTTTTATGGTGTGTATAATAGACGTTTTGGGCACTCGAAGTTGGCTGTACGTGTGTACTGCATCACGGCATGGCTGGATCTGCTTGGGTGGGATCCAGAGCCGCTGTAACTCTGTTAGTGACTCTAAGTGACTCTTAGAGTCACTATGTAATTACGGAAATGTAAAAAGAAAATCATTTCGTTCATTGTCGTTTTTGTAAGGTAGTTTACAAGTTACAGCTACTAAACACGCTTGGGCTTTCTAGGTGATATCAGCGATAGGATGCTCTGTTGTCTCCAGGGAACGGTCACACGCATATGCCATGCTATTGATAAAGGTGGGGATGGAGTTGCGCAGAAGCGGGGGAAGCCGGTAGATGAGCATGGCGGCCGGGGCAGGGAAGAAGGGTGGAGGAAGCGGCGGGGCCGCAACAATCCGTCGAGACGAGGGACCCACGAAGGGCCCACGAAGGGAAATTGTAACCCTTATAGATATCGGATGAACGTCCTGGCTGTGGAAAATTTCGCCGCCTGTGGGCACTATATGCACCGTGTCTACACAGTTGTCCAGCCGGTGATGGTCTGTGAAAGTAAAAAGCCTTCATTTCATGAACACCACTTAGCCACTCAACTTCATCATAACAAAATGTCACCGCCGGGACTCGAACCCGGGTCGCGTGGGTGAAAGCCACGTATCCTAACCGCCTAGACTACGGTGACTCTATAGGATGATAACCAGGTGCATTCAATTGAATATATACAAAAATGTAGGATGGTCAAAAACCTCAACGTCAAACCTGTACGACACGACATAAATAAGCAAACCCTAAGTACCAATGATTACCGTCGTCATTCGACGTTAAATAGATAAATATAAATACATATGCAACATTCTTCCATTATAAAATGTGTCGCCCGATTGTCCCCCAGATGGCTTTGTCACAGGAAGTTGGTGGCGGGAGGTATCGCACCGTAAACTTTTTGATCAATTGGCGATCGGCCCCCGTCGAAATACCCGTTATGGCTACAAATCGCCATATTCTTTTATAAAATTATACAATAACCTCTAAGAATTATCCTATGGGCGTGCCTAAGAGTGCAGGCGCGTGCAGGCGCATTGTGTTAAAAGTGTCCTCTTCCACCGACATACGCAGATCGCGAAGTTCAGGGCATTTGCAAAATTAAGCCAAGCCTGTCCACAGCTTTCGTCAGATAGCGTTCAGGTAGCCTTTCAGGTGCACACTTGCATTTCTCAACGGCAGAAAGTGTGAGGGCGCAATTTGCCTTTCTAGCCAGTTCTGGGCACCATTTTCATAGATATCATAGTTTTGCAAGTTCTTATTGAACTCTAATAAAAAAGTCAAGGAAAACTGCAATATGGTATCCGCAAGGTGCCGCGCGTACGCCACCTGTTAGCAGGCAGACGTCGGACCGATACTTGTTAAAGAAGAGTTCCTCTGTGTCGATGAAAACTATTAGCTCTCTTACAGCTATAGGAACAGGAAGTTCTGCATGTTAAAATAAAGGGTGCAAAGCCCCCGCACCACCTGCCTTGGACCGACATCCACCTCACCCTCAGACCCAAACTCCCAGCGACTAACAAGCTAGTTACCTATGTTGCCTTTTCCATGGACTGACGGAGGCAAACCCCCTGCAGGGTGCCCATCCTACGCAAAAAGATGTCCGAAGAAAGAATGGCCACTGTTGGCAGTGTTGGCGGCAAAGCAGGGGAATTTATGCATGCACGTGATGTTAGCGAATCCTTCCATCCAAAGCGTGCTTCTCAAACCTCACCCGACACATCAAGCGCTTGCCACTTCCATGCAATCCTTCTTCGCAATTAATTCATGACATCTGTCCCCACACATGCTACTAGCCTAGTACTGAGTATGCTCGGACCATCCCGGACCATCAAATTGTCTACCGGCAACGGTACTCAACGGCTTGCACTGCCTACAACGCATCTACTACAAATGCCACACGCAGTGGAAAAATATTTGAAGAACCAGGGTATAATGCTAACGGATAGCGAACCCAGGACGGCCATGTCGGGTCCCCAACCCGAATTGAACCACAAAACCAAAATGGAAAAAGAGCCCCCCTGGGTTAGATACGGGTGCTAAAAGAGAAGTTGCGCATTCAGGCAATTGAAGGTAATGTACGGCTTTGTAGGGAAGTCAGAGCATTTTCCTTGGCACACCCATGTCTGTAATTATGGTTTGCTCCGGTATGAAGAGCAACAAGCAAGTAGATGGACAGGCAAACCGACACACAGGCTGACAGAGAGACAGACTGACAGACTGGACGACTGACTGGCAGGCAGGCAGGCAGGCAGGCAGACTCAGCGAGGGCCTCCATCATCGTGTAAGGACTGCCCTACGGCGTGGTGCCATCCAGCACGCGGCACAAGTGAACAGCGACCGCACATTGTTCCGTCCCCGCTCCACTCCCGTGTCCTACACAGCGAGCCACTTTCCCTAGCACTATACATACCCTGCTCAGTTGGCATGTGCCTGCTTCCATTCCATACTTCCATACCTCCATGTCACGCGGCCGGCGGGAGACAGAAAAAATGCATAATAACAATAATAATTTCCTGCAGCATTCAATCTTCCAGCCCGGTAGGGGCCAACATGCAGCTGCTCACATGGCATCCTGTGTGCTCCTGTGAGCTGAAACAGATTAAATTAAACCGCACGACATGATAGGATAGGTCAATGAACTGGTAGATACACACCATCGCAGCCGGCCCTGGCAGCAAAGGCGCGAGACAGCCGTGGACAGATCCGACCACGTGGGCCCCTTCTTACAGAACTCCAAACACTCGCACGGGCAGCACCATCTCGGTCGACAGGTGAGTGGCCCAGGGAGGGGCCTCATCACTCTCCAGGAGAAACGGTCCTCGCTGCAGAGACAACAATGTCGTTGGAGCCCGTCGATAGCCCCTCAGGAGAAATCTCGTACGCTGACCCACTTTCCGGGGCCGTACGTCGTGTTGTGCAGCAGGAAGAGCATGTACGGCCCCTGCGGCGCCACGTTGGCATTGGGTGGGCCACGAACCGTGACGGTCCTGGCACCGGGTGTGCTGACCTCGTGGTCGGTGTCCTTGTCCTGGGCAAGGATCTGCGGCGGGCCAACACACACGTAGCAAGTGGGTGGAGGCACAGGTAACAGGGTTCAGAGGAGCGGGATAGTGGACGCGGAGGTGGAATGAGGCTACGTGGGGGAGGGCTACATCGTGAGACAGCTTCGCTTGTGTAGAGATGGTGATGCAAGCGGCTCGAGTGGAAGGCTAAGATGGTTCTGGGGAAGCACCGTTACTACTTCCAACTGCTAAATGTCCGCGGACCCTAGGCACTCGACATGCGAACACGACATGCTATTCCTAGACTGCCTTAAGGCACATTTTTTGTCGTACGCACCGCTAGCTCAATCAGGCGCTGGTGCATGTTGAAGGCGTGTGTGTCAGAGGGCGGCGCCACGAGCACGACGGAGGTGATAGTGGCGTTTGTGTCCGTCATCGTGTATACGATTGTGCTGATGTCATCTGCATAGGAGAGGGGAGGGTGCGGCCCACCAGACGTCAGTGTTGGCAGTAACTCTTGAGACATAATGCATGGCCCACTAGAACGACAGTGTCTCAAGTAATATGGCTTTGTCAGCAGGCCAATGGTTTTTCTATGTCAAATAAAGACAGCATATGACCACTTCCAGGCCAGACCTGGTTAGTATCTTACTGTTTTCCAAGCACTGTCGTACACTGCCCGTACAAGCAGGTGCTTATCAATCGTGATTCGACACGCATCGAAAGGTTGCTTGCCGCCACCCGTGCAAAGGTTCTAAACTGAACCCTTGGGCGGCTCGGACTGCATGACCGATTTTGAGGTTGTCCAAGAGTTTAGAGCTGCCCAGGTGCATAGTGCGCGCATGGCCTTTTCCTGAGCGCTGTTGTAGAAGTCCTTTACGTGCTGTTGCCGCAACACAGTCCACGCTGGGGCGGCAAGGAACGCAACCGAATTCAGGTACCCACCGTATCCGATAACGGTGGGGGAGTTGACAATGACGGGCCGGTGGTCGGTGTCGAACATGAATGGTGGTGTGAACAGCTCCACACGAAACTCCGGAAATCCGTTAGGGCTGGGGCTGTACGATTCAGGAGACCAGAAGCGTGACGACCGGTCACCGCCTGCAACCTGCGCCCCGGCACGACGCCCACAAGCAGTAGCATCGGCCCATGATATGACGGAGAAAACGCCGGGTGGGGGATGTCGCGTGCCGGCCCAACTAAACCACAACGCCCTGGTCTAATAGCGTTTGGGTGTGAGCAGGCACCGGTGATTCCCTTGGATCTAGTGTTTCATCAGCGGCCTCATTCACACCGGCCGTACCAGATACCGTTCTCCCATCCTGCCCGCTTCACGCCTTCCCCCAAACCCAACCCAATTCATGACCCTCCAACTTCCTAACCCTCCATTCAGCCAGCAACCCCTCCAGCTTCCCCCGCCCTCCCTCGACCACTCACGATGACAGTGCCGTTGAGTGTAAGCCCCGCAGTGGAGTGCAGCAGGCGGGCGATCTGGGAGCGGCCCAGAGTGGTGTACCGGGAGCCCTCGGGAGCGGTGGGGTCGTACAGAACCGGCCAGAAGTTGGGCTCGTTGAGCATGGCGCCGCCGCCCGACACAGCGTCGCCGAGCAAGCCGCGCTGGAATTACATCGGAAGGTGTGCGGTGTGGAGGTGTGAGAAAGGTGGTCAGGTCAGGGCTCAAGGTTTCGCCCCAAGCTTCAGAGCCCCAACGAGCGCTGCTGCTGGATCCAAACTACTTCCTAACACACATCTTGCTCCCCCGCTTCCGCAGGCCCCGAGCCTTCAGCCGACAGAAGAGCTGGCAGAGCCGTCGTGCCAGTGGACTTTCAAAGCATCAAGCAGAAAATACAAAGCGTTGAGATGTTGGCTGCCACGCTTCAGCAGCAGCAGCAGCAGCAGCAGCAGCAGCTCACCTTGGCCCCGTTAATTAGCAGGACCTGACCGTTGGGCAACAGGACAGCCGAGCCGCTGACGCGGGGCAGGGGCATCCGCTCCATCTGCCATTCGCCGATCTCGTAGGCGCTGTCCTCCAGAATCTTGATCTTGAGCCGCATGCTGAGATCCACGGCCGTGGTGTTGACCCAGCCCTTGGACCATTGGCCACCAAAGACGCTGTACGTTTGCAGGCGCGCGCGAAGGAAGAATGGAGGCGCGTGGCCAGATTACAAGGGGTTACAGGGTTTTGGACGAAACGGATGAGTGGCGGCTTTCCGCTCCCGACCCAGGTAGTGTTCTACCTACCTACCTACCTACCTACCTACCTACCTACCTACCTACCTACCTACCTACCTACCTATCTTACTATTTATATGATGCATGTCAGGATCCTGACCGTTCGTAGATTGACCGTCCGTAGACGCTCTCGGAACATGAGGTATGTCTAATGAGCCTGAAAAGCTCCCTTAGGTTATCATCGGAAGTTAGGTACGCCTCAAAAGCCTCAACGCAATCGAAGGGAGAGAGGATACACCCGGGAGCACCACTTACACAATCTCCGCCACTTGGTAGTTGTCTTCCGGGCGCAGCGGCAGCAGTACGGCAGAGCCACTGAAGGGGTAGGCGGTGTTCATGCCCTTGGCCTCCGGAATATCCTTCCATGTGGGCAGTACGGCAATGCGCCTGCCGGTCATTGGCTCAATGATCTGGCCGTACGTGTTGCTCCACACGAACATGTCGCCTGGTGGCGGAATGGGTTGACGTCGTCCAGGTGGCACGTGGATTGGCACGGAAGGTCGGGAAGGTAGAGTACGGCAGTGGGTGCAGGTCAGGATCCGCGATCACGAGCGCCACCAGTCGGCCAAGGGAATATACTCGGACAAGGGAATATACTCGGACAAGGGAAACTACTCGGCCAAGGGAATATACTCGGCCAAGGGAATATACTCGGCCAAGGGATAGCTCGGGCTAGGTCGGATTCATTTCTTGTTGCGCCCACACAGGCAGGCAGGCAGGCAGGCAGGGAACGTGTCATACAAGTAAGTAGCCCGTGCCCGCATCAGCAGCGAGCGAAAGGATCTTTTCAGCCCCACGTGGAACATCCGCTGTGTTCCGCTGAACGTTCCACGTGTCATGCATGGTTATGGTACACAGGTATGTTGGGACAGTGGACCCATCCAGAAATGGATCTTTCTGTGCAGACGGACCAAATCCAACCGTATCTACCATGTTCGTACATATGAGGTACGCCACACAGCCGACGCAAACGGGTCATTCTCACCGGTTGGCAATACGAAGACGAAGGGATAGTAAAAGTACCTGGAATGGCAATAGTTCAATAGGTTTAGCGGTACGGGATTAAGCGGCGGTGAAATCCGTCATGTGCGCGGTTGCGTGCAGCAGCAGCGGGCGAAAGCCCCCCCCAAATCCCTGATTAGGCTGACCGAAGTGCTGCCGCGGGCCATGTATGTCAAAGCCGGCAAGAGGCCCCAACCAAAGGCATGGCAGCTTGACAGCAGGGCTCGTCATGCAACATGGGGGAAGGTCCTAGAACAATCTCGAAAGGCCCCGGCCCTCACCCACTTGGTGTTCGCAATGAAGTCCGCGTCCATCTGGATGACCTTGGTGGTGGCAGGGCTGCTGGGGTCCCACAGCTCGTAAAAAGGATTCTGGTGGGTCAGGGGAAGGGGGGAGGCGACCAGGGAAGGGACGGAACGGGGGCACAGGTTTCCGGAGGACGTGCCAGGCAGGCAGGAACGGAAGGACGGCGAAACACAGTTGACACGCTAGTCGCAATCAATACGCTAACTTTTGACAGCTATGGGCCCGACTGCATCGGGCGTCACACTGACAGTCGGCAGAGGCGCGCGGCATGTGCACCCACCGGGGGCTGCACCCACCAAACAACCTACCTACCATTCGCAACCAGTTGGGTGGGGATGGGAGTTGGAGAGGACCAGAGGGTCGTAACGCCGCCGGAAGCTATTTGCAAGACATTCGTGTTCCGGATTTCCCCTCTCCGCGGTCCCCCAAGGCGCACCTGGACGGCGTCCTTGCGGACAGGTCCCACTGGCGAGGGGCTGTCGCTCATGACCGTTACCATTCCGTTGGGCAATCGGGTGACGGTTGCCAGCCAATGGCCGAACTGCAGTTGACCAACACTTCGGAGCGCCAGAGCCCCGACATCTAGGACTTGTACGGCCTGGTGGGTGTGGGGGTTGGGAAAGACACAGCCGGGCTCAGAGGGGCGATGAAGGCGGAGTGAGCGATAGAACAGAAGCGTGACCTTACGACCTGGACGGGACGGGACGGAAACGGAGGCTTGGGGCTATTTGGACCCTTACCTTTGGAAGCTACGCTTTAATCTGGGGATTTTGATCAGCATCCAATTTGAATTATGCATGGAAGGATTGCCTCGTGGAAATGTGGGAGCGAATTGCGAACGTGGGCAAATGTGTATGCGCGCGTGTGCGTGTGTGGTGTGTGTGAGGGTGTGAGGGTCTGTGGTGTGTGTATGTGATGTGTACGCGTGTCAAGAGCTGCAGGGCAGAAGGAGGGCAGATGGACCAGCCATTAGTCATGAATCGGAGTCAAGTATCGGGACGGGAGGGCGGAGGAGGGAAGGGAGGAAGGGGAGGCATTCCTTACCCGGCGACCTTCGGGATAGCTGCTCTGCGGCTTGTGACCTGCCAAGACGGCGACGGTCCCTGTTTGGGCAGGAAAGAAGAGCTGAGGTTTATATCACATCAGGGACAAGTGCCTCAAATTGCGGCCTCAGCGGCCCACGCGGGTCATTGGCATTGATCATCGCAACATCAAGCTTTCGTCCTGCCAAATGGCTGTTTAGGGCACTGACGCGCTACTTTACCAGTAGATAGAGCAATAGAGCCAATATGTTAGACTCAATGCCTTGTCAGGCAGGTTCTCTTGGGCTATAGCTTGAAAAGTCTGGCCGGGGCATGCTGCTGCTTGGGCCCAATGCCGCTTACACGGGCTTAGGAACGCGGCCACATGCAGCGCAGCTATCAAAACCAGCTCACCGTTTTCAAGGAAAGTGTGACCGCAATTCTCCATGCTATACTTGCAAGCCACGTTGGTGAACTTCCCGGTGATGAAATCCATGAGGCCGGCATTGGCATGCTTGCCATCGGGGTGGGGGGTGGTTGGTCTCTCCATGAACAAGAAATTGTCGGTACCTGAAATTTCCACAGAATTATTAATGTGCTAAACATGAGACGTGTAAGTTGCAAGGTTCCAGCAATTGGGCGCAGAAGCGGAGAGAACCGTGATTTCTGTCGATCCGTCTTAACTGGAGCAACATAAAGCTTACCAGGGACAGCGACCAGCTGAACCCCGACGCAATAGGAGGTTCCGAGATATTCATACTTTCCAATCACAGCCGGATTGTTGGTGGGAGGGCTTGGGGACGGAGAAGGCCTGCTCCCATAAGCGTACATAAGCGTACATAAGCGAACATAAGCCATTATTAGTCGTTGGCGACTAATGAAGCAGCACACATATTTGTGCTACCCATTACAATGTTACTCATAACTGATTCGCATGTCCAACCTCAGCGAATATTGTGCATGCTTCCAAGCTTTCCCCGACACATCGACAAGAGTGGCCACTTACTCGTCGGCGCGTGTTTTAGGAAAAAGGGTACAAATACACAGTGCAATGAGAAAGCGACGCATGGTGGTTGATCGCTAGTCCACTGTCGCCAGAAAGTTAAGGGACAAGGGGAGACAGTTGGGAGATGCCGCCTCGTCGCAATGGGTCAGCAGTCGTGCGGATCTGCCAAGTTCGTACTCCACGGTACTCCTAAAATTTATCCACAGAATTTATGCGACTTCTGTCAATAATGGGTAAGCAGTGATTTGGAGCTGCTTCCCGAATCAAGCTACAGCGGTTGGATAGGCTGGTTTACTATATTGCTTAGGTATGTTGATTTTTCAATTGGCATATCCATATTTATATACATATAGCCCGCCAATCGATGTCAAGCAACCGGTATATTGTCAGACCTTTGTCATCATGACGACGGTCGCTTCTGTACCGGCGCCTGTCGCACTCGCAGCAATTTCTCTTGCAATCCAGCCGGAAATTTGAAAACATAGAAGATCAATTCCGTGATGTTCTACCATCATGATCCAGGGTATGTCCCAGCTTTCTTGCCCTACCGCGTTATTCCGTCGATGTGGGTTGCACGAACGTCCGGTACTCGGACTTAGCTTTCTTCGAAAGTGTCGAACACCACCACCGTCGCCACATCCGCAAAGGACATTTTTAGTTATGCTACTTCACATGATTGCGCATTAATCCTTTTCTCTGTAAACTAGCATATTTCCGCTATCAGTGACCGCCGACTCCAGAGCTCGCTCCTTTTCAGCAACAGCAAAATAGTTCAAGCAATGATTGGGATATTAGATCAACAGGCTGCCACAAACAATCAGGCTACCCAGATATGAACACCAAACCTGCATAGTTTGACCAGGTCTGTCTTTAGCCCGCCAAAAGTTTAGCCGTTGAGGTACAATGTGCAATCACTGCCGCGAAGTTTCGGATTTGCTGGCAGAACGAACATGCTTGAGCTCTGCATCCAGCTAAGTTGTAACAGTTACCATCATCAGGCGCGGGTCGTCCCAATTGTTGCCAGTTGTAGTAGGCCAATTATTCTGAGCGTTCAGGATTACAACAAATATTCCGTTTCAGGTTACGAATGCCAAAATATCGATGTTTCACCACATCCTCCTTTAAAATTATGCCTCGCACAATAGCTGAGTATCCTTCCGCGAAATAGGGTCCGCTGCCAGCCCTGCCAACCAGGCGGTGAAGTCCGGTCAGCAAAGGAACTCTGAACTTCCGACGGCACCCAGGAGTTCCCTCCGGGAATTTCCGCTAGCGACGCCAGAAGCCCCTTCGTGTCGCGGTACCGGACACTACGACCCCAACAACGCAGCGGAATCGAACACCACGATCCACACCCACACCCACATACACGGCAACGGGATATTGCCACCTGCAACAATGGGACGATGCGGATGCAAACAAGGCTGCAGCAGCACAGAGAAAAACACGGTCCATGAACTTGATGAAAGCTTATCCCGCTGCGTCGCTCAAGCCAGAGCGGTGCAGGAAACAGACGACAAATGAACAAGTGAAATGTCCTTAATCCCCAAGCAATGCGATCTCTCAACACGCACAAACACAGGAAGTCCCGACCCTTTGTGATGGCGGGAAGGCACCACACACACCTCTCGCAGCACTCTTTTTGAAATGTGCATGCGGATGCATCAATCATGTAACAGCACATGTCGTACATTTTTACTCAGCCACGGGTATGCGTCACACTCACCCGTACATCAACGGTGAGCCTCGTTACTGGTTTGTTTACTTGCTTCACCCATCGCGACAACATCAGCTCGCACAATAACAACCGCTCAGCCATATCGAATCGAGGAGGATCATTTGCCGCTTAACATCTCGAGCTGCTGCTGCTTGTTAAGACACACATACATTAGTACTCTCTCCTTCAACCAACGAAAAGAAATGAACCTGCTTTTGCAAAAACCTGCAAGCTGATTGATACCGATGGGCCCGCCGTGCGCAAAGCCACTCGTCTGAAAGCAATTGCCATCCACAGCAACCAGTCAGGCCCCAGTGAGAACCACACGACCAAAACGCAGCACACAACCTGTATGCAACCTGCATCAAATCCCGTGAATATAGCAGAGCGGTCAGACACTTTACATCGCCCGCGAAACACAAAAAGCGTATGGAGCTGTGCACAGACATTTAAATATTGGCATAATTTAAATTGGTAATTTTAAAAAAACAACAGGCAAAACAAGCACAGAAGCCAGCGAGGATACGGAACAGCTCGTCACAGATCATAATTTAAGGCGATAAATGCCGTAAGAGTGTCATAGCGCAACGAGACACAGAACGCCTAGGCTACACGGGCCCTCAAGAGTCATTATGCACAATGCCTCTCACGTCTCTTCATCTCGTTACCTCGCAATCTCGCAATCATCCAATGCTGCCGCGCTGCACCCCGGGCGACATCCTCACCTCCGGAGCCACCACTAGCCTCTCGCACATCACCCACCACCACCAGCACCACAACTACAACCACAACCACCATCATCAACCATCCGCAATAAGCGTTGCGACGCCGCGGGTATGTACTCGGTATGGTATACCATTCGGGCATATCAGATGGGCACTAATCCTTTCTTCGCCACTCCTTCCCTCCCTCACCTTCCCATGGCCCCTAGCCGCCATCACAGGCTGCCTCCCCTTCCCGAGCTGAACACCACCTTATGGAACCCCCTCCCCCTCTCTCCTCCTGGGGGCCCTCCCAGCCCCTACCCCCGCTTTCCTCGACTTTCTTCTCCGCCACGCTTTCCTCCGCTCCCCTCTCACAACATTTCTTCTCTCTCGTCGCCGGATGTGGCCCAGACACTCGCTCTCCACTCTCGCCGCCCTTTCTTTCGCCGCATCCTCCCTATAAACATTTTACAAATGGACTGTTTACAACTCACCATTGAAACAGCAAAACGGTCGTTTTCGGTTTGGTACAATAATCGTGAACATTAAAGCCATACATCAACCAATGAAGCCACGTAATAGCGCGCTGTCACTGCAATGCCCCAGGGTCAGCACGCAGCCAGCCGCCTACTCCCCCCAAAGCACTAGTCCCCTCCTCCCCCACTCACCGCACCACCGCCACCCCGCCCTCCCTGGCGCTGAGTGTGCACCTCACAGCGGCCTGATGGTGCCCAGCTCCTGCCAGCGGGGGGTGGCTCCGGAACCCTCCCCAGGCTCGTCCTCCGGCCCGGCAAAGCAGGTGTCCCAGCTGCCGTGCAATCCGGCAGGCAGCCGGTGTGGGAGATGAAGGGTGGCCAGGGGACCAGCGGAGAGGTTCTGGTGGGGAGGTGCGGGCAGGGGAGGACAGCGCAGGGGCGGGCAGTAAAGGAGATCCCCGACAAACTGGATGCGACTGGCCAGGAGAGCTTTCCGCACAGGACGCGTTACGAGTCCTAATGTGGGTGTATGGCCCCGCCCTGCACAGGCCCCAACTACCTCCCCCTTTTACATCGGCCACCCGTGGCCCACCAAGCTCAAGTCGTCGGAGGCCGTGTTTAGCCCTTTGCTGCATTACGGCGTCTTACGTAAACCTATCCCTCCTGTCTCTCTCCCCCTCTCGTACAACCGTACAACCGTACAACCAGTTACACCCGCATGACGGCCTCCTGCCGCAACCGCAACCCCCACTTCACAGCCGCACCTGCGCATCCAGAATCACCACCTCGCCCTTCTGTGTGGCCGCGTTGTGTACCGCCACCAGCAGCCAGCCTTCCCCCTCCCTGGAGGAGCCCGGTCGGGGAATGAACATGGGCTCCCCGGGGAAACGCCTCTCCCCAGCATACCAAACATCCACCGACACGCCCTCAGCCGCGCCCTGAGGACTCGTGCTCAACGACGACGACGACGATGACGACGCGGCAGCGCTGCCAGAACTTGTCAGACCGAGCTGTGGGTCGACCTCCACCCGAGCAATTGCCTGAATAGGACCCCATAGCAGCGGGTCGTCTACTGCATCGCAGCCGGTCCAGATGACCCGGTGGGGTCGACCCGTGACCCGTGGGTCGGTGACGGGGAACTCGGCAGTGCGGCGCATGAGGCGATGGGTTGTGACGGTACCGGCCATAGGGTCGCACACCAGACGAACCAAATGGGATCGAGAGCCGCCTGCGGGCATAAGAGCGCGGCGGGGCGGCGGGGCGGGGGTGTTGGGGGAAGGGTGGAGAGTGTACTGGAATTATGAATGGGATCTGTATGAACCCCGATTCCTACTGTGATCCAGCAGGGCCCCTCACGCACCCACCCAGCCCCACCTCGGTAATATTCGGGTCCGTAGCTGTACTGGTTGACACTGAAGGACAGCTCGTCCCAGGCCACCGTGTCCAACACCACCAGTGGGGGAGGGACCTCACCCGGCGGCGGCATCTGACCCTGCTGCTGCTGCTGCTCTACCTCGAACGCATTCACGTGATGGAAGGTGAAGCAGGGGTCGGTCTCAAGCACCCGGGGCGACAGCGCTGCGTGCAGGAAGGGGGAAAAAAGGAGGGGACGGGAGGAATCATGTGCTGCAAGGAAATCAGAAATGAGCTCTCTGCCGGATGGAAGCGGTGAAGTCACACCGACCCCCCGTGGTTCCGAAAGGTGCGGAGGGCGCCAGCGGCTAAGGGGTGCGGAAAGAGGGAGATGGGGGAGAGGTGAGGGGCCTCTGCACACCCGGGGCTGGGGCGGCAAAGGGGTTACCACCTTCCCTCCTAGCAACCCGGTCTCCAAGTACTGCGGGTAATCCCCCCTGGGGCACATGGCCGGATAAGCCTAACCTTCGTCCACCGTATCAACCGCCACATCGTCGTCACTGCCCACCCCACAGCTGCGTCATCAAACCCCCCTGGCCACGGGCCCCATTTCCCCTGATTCCTTCCCTCCCTCTGTATCTGGTATCTGCTTCACCCGTCTGTGGTTCGTCCCCCCCCCCAAACATACACACACACCCCGCACCGCACCTCTCCCACTGGGCCGCCCAGGCCGCGGCACCAGCACCACCCTGGCCGGTCGCGAGGGGTTGTACACCAGACACTCCGCTATGGAGCACCGGCTCCAAATGTACTGTGTGGCGAATTTGATCGGGTCAAACTCCACAGGGCCCAACAGGGCGATGTAGTAGTGCTCCGAAACCAGAATGTCGTGAATAAAAGCAAGGCTGGCGTCCTGAAATGCTCAAAGCCGCAGGGGGGTGGGAGGGGCGGGAGGGGAAGGGCCCCCGGAGGGATAAAACTTCGTTAAGGCTCGTACAAGACGTACATGATGGGAAAGGTAAACGACGGGCTGTTCCTGAAGTGAGAGAACCGTGGCACCCAAGGCACCGAGCAGAACCCCGCAGAACAACCCTCTCCGCCTTTGTCACACACACCCAGCACCCTCTTTTAGGGGGCCACTTCCCTGATTGCGCAGATTGCCCCTCGCTGCCACCTACCCCACCGCCCGTCGCAGGTTTCCTAGCAGAGCTCCATCCGCTTTGCAATCCCTTTGCTTCCGACAAACAAAGATACGTCGTCGTTAGAGCTGCACACACCCTCCAAGGCGCTAGATTGCGTCGGGAGCGGCCGCGCTTCCCTCCGCACTGTTGCGCACACGTAGCAAGTAGCGGTGACTTTGAGCACCAGACACGGCTGCGGGGTTTCCACAACTTCCTTTTACGAGGTCACTACTGCTACTACCATTACTAATACTACCACCAGTACGACACATCTTCTTTGTCAGCAACACCCTTCGTCGCAACAACGCTGGACATTAACACGCCAAGGACGACTGTACGGTACATGAGGCAACTCGGCCAAATGGCCCGGTAGTGAAGTCTCATTGCCCTCCTCCAGGAGGAGACTCCGACAGCAATATCAACGTTGGACGTCGGCAGCTGCTTTCCTTGACTTTGCATATACTCTCCCCTTCCAGCCATATCGCCCCCAAATCCGGATCCGGGGATTTGCTTCTGTCCTAAAGCCCCCTCCCCTCCCCTCTCACCTCCAGAGGGTGGGTAGTTTCGTGCAGCTTAGTGCCGTCCTCAGCAAACTCATAAAAGGTGATGGCGGCGCCATTAAAGCCCGCCGCGCTGGAGAAGGCCACCCACCGCCGGCTGCCGTCAGTCTCCGAAACCACCACACGGTAGTGGGCGCCGAACGTAGAGCCGCGGAGCGCCCCGCCCATACGGGTCTCACCCCGGGTGTCGAGGGTACGCGGGTCCATGCTGTACGGCAGGCCCCCCTGAGTTGCACGGCACGGCACGGCAGGGATTGGTACAGCGGTGTGTTTAGTAACACTCGGGGGAGAGGGGACCGACGAGGGGCAGGGAACGGCTTGAAGTCCCCTACCGCCCTCCAGGCTCCCGCCACGGCGGCGGTGTGAAGGCAGTTGGTTGCGGCGGGGGGACCTGCGGCGCGACACAGCGAAGGCGGAGAAGCCACTTTCCCCCCCCCCCCGGGGTATCTCCCACTCGCCTCCTTCCCCTCTATCAACTTGGGGCTCCTAGCACATCCCAGCCCCCAACCCCTGCATTTTACCCCCCTCCCCCCCATCTTTCCAGTTTCCCCCCCCCCTCCTCTCACCTCCCACAGCGCGTACAGCTGTCCCCCCCAGGCCAGGACCCCCGTGTTGGCCACGTTCTTGAAGGACAGGTCCAGAGGGTTGAACCAGGGGGACCCGTCCGCGGAGCCGCGGGTGAAGGAGTTGCGGTACAGCGGCCGACCGGCGGCCTGACCGGTTCACCCACCCAACCCCGGGGGTGAAGAGATGAAATGGAGGGACAGTTGGCAGTTGGAAAGTTGGTGGTTAATGGCTGAAATATCCGGCTGCCGGGTTCTCTGTATGCCCGGTATGTACGTCCTCCCTGTCATAGCCCCCTGGGAGTCACCCTAGTAGTCGCCACTTTACCCCTCCCTCCCCCTTCTCCTCCCCCTCCCCCTCCCTTCTCCTCCTCCTCCCCTCCCGCGAGGATGCACCTGCTCCTTCAGAAAGCCCTCCGTGCGCACGAAGCGGTTCCGGAAGTAAGCCCGGCCGTTTCTGAAGGACAGACTGAGCACCATGCCGTCACCGTCGAAAGTGTGGCGCTGGTAGCGGGGGTTGTCAACCTGGTGGGACAGAGGGAGAGGGGCCCGGGGGTGGCGGGGGCCGGGAACACACAGGCAGTCAGCGGCAGGGGCAGCGGCAGGGGCGGGAGGCGAGAGGCAGATTTCTCCTCCCCCAAACCCCCAAACCCCCGAACCCGCCAAGCCATCCCGAATAAGCGACACGGCGCTAAACGAAACCAGCCATGGGGCCAGAATGGGCTTAGGTTATAAAAGCAGCTTGCACATGTTTGACCTACCTATCAACCAGCTGCCCACTAATTGCTAATTCCAATCTAAACCCTTAGACCCTTCCCCCATACCCCCATAGCCGCTCCGTTCCTGGGCCGCTCTGGGCCTGGAAGCACAACGTGGGCAGCCAATGTGAGGCTCCTGGGCCCCCCACGCCAAACGGGATTCCCCCAGCGCCGCCCCATACTGACCTGCAGGCCAGGCCCATTGCGGTAATAGGTGCCGTGCAGCTCCTTAGGGATCGAACCCGTGACCTGTGGTGCCAGCGGCGGGGACAGATTGAGGGAAGGACCATTGCCAGCGAAAAAAGCTGGGGGTTATTGAGGGGCGGGGACATGTGCACGAAACACGTTCTAACTGTCGACATGGTTGAGGAGGGATGATGATGTCTCGGGCGGGGCACGAGGCCCTAAGGGCCCGGAGGGGGAAAGGGACCCAACCCTGGAGGGCTTTCCTCTCACCCAATCCTCATCCACGACGTAGGCGTACTCCTTCAGCAGCGAAGAGAACATCGTTTTGTGATCTTGAATGACCTCAGCTGCGGAGTTACGAACGGAGGGCACGGGTGGTTGTGCGTTTCCCAGTAAAAGTTACCAAGGTGTGAAAAGGTGGCGGATCCCGGGTACCCGGCGAGTCCGGCCAGGCATCTGTCAGCTCCAGCAGCAGTCAGGGCCGACGCCGGCACTTGCCCGCATGCCCGCAATGTAATCGTTGGTTTTCGTTGTCGGTTAATCATACGGGGTGAAGGCAGCTTATGGTTGGAAACGGTCCTAGCTCAGTTTGCGATGTTTACAGTGGACCGCGATCGGGTCGAATGCAACACTCCAATGCACAGGCATATCCCAAGGCGTTGACATCGCACCTGTCGTAGGCCCGCGACGGAGGGGCCGGGGCTGGTTGCCACGCTCTTCCACAAGGTCATACTCCTCTGTTGTTGATACAGTTGAGACCGTAGGTTGGGTGCCGCGCACTGCGAGACCACCCATGAAGGTAAACCGCAGATTGACACCGTGCGGGTCCAACCACAAGTAACATGTGGTGCACATCGCAAAGCGTTCACAGCGCTCAACAAATCTAGTGTAGAGGCTTACAAAGAAGGCGTGGTGTTGATTGACGATAACCTGCGCAAGCCCGACCCTGTCGCGACCATGGCTTCGCCACGTTATTTCCCGCAAGCATATTTCTATGATTCAAAATGTTGGAGCGGCACGCGAATGATTCTATGAATGAGAAAAAACGATTATGAAATGTACACGAAGTATGTGAGCGACTAGCCAAGTAAAACAATCTCGCCACCAAAACCACAAAGACTAGGACGGAATGCGACCGGAACTGCCGATGCAGTATTCCACCTTCCAATTTATTTTGCAATGGGTTGGAGCTCCCAATGGAAAACGAAACTGTCGTACATTGACATCTGTCCTCTCATCCCTACGTCCTCCGCGTGCTAATCAATGCAGTTTCCCGACTGCAATCCATGCTCATATCGAATCTTGTGCCAAATTATCATACCCATTTCGAAAACTGCCTTCTTACCGGATTCCTCAGCTTGCGGCGGCACGACATCCCGACATTGCCACACTCAAACCCGCTAATGCAATTGATAACATAGCGACTCCAAGACTACTCCTTCTCCGTCTCCCGGCGGCTGCGCTACCTCGCTGTACGTCCTTACGTAAGGAAATCCCTGACACAAAGCCGCGCCACATCATGGCCGCGCCTGGTAGCCGTGTCCGGCCTCTGGGCAACGTCATCACATCCTCTCGGTCATTCTCCGGCTTAGGGCTCTCCAGGACGCCAAACACGCCGTCAGCCTGCGCGCCATGTCCGCTCCGGCCGTCCATGTTCTCCCTTTCGTCACCGCAGCTACATCCGCAGCTACATCAAGGTGCATCCCCGAACCGAAGACTTGATGTCCTCATACCACTTTCCGCATTCACCCACATGGGGCTTATGCCGCATGCGAGCCTGGCGTGCGCGGCGGGGCCCGGCATCGGGCCGGCACTGGGCTGGGCCTTGCCGCTGCCAATGCGAAGTCCGGCCTGGTTAGGGACTAAACCTCCGCCATCTTCATCTGCTTCAGGAGCAGCACCGGCAATGGCTACAGATTCACTATGCAGGTCAGCAACTGCCAGCCCCGGGCCTAGGTCCAGGTCCACGTCGACAAAGGGACAGCCAGAGCAGCTTCCACAGAGCCCTCCTGCGTCGTCTAACGCTCAACAGGATGATGCCGTACTGTTCATCGGCTTCCACCCAGAGGAGCTCGACGTTGTACGGCAACGGCTTCCTGAGGTTGCATCACTAGCAGCGGAGGATGGCGGCAGCGGCGCCGCCACTGCGCTCGTGGACGTTACATACGATATGCTGTCATGTACCGTACGTGATGTACTTACGGCCGGGGCGACGGCCGCCGCTGGCTCGTACGGCACATCCGCGGACCGTGTCGCTGCCGTCGCGGTGGGCCGCGTCGTGCTGCTTGTCGGTCCGGCGGCACGGGAGCTCGGCGGCCAGCTGAACGATGCGCTGGCAGAGTGGGGGGTGGTGCCTGCACTGATTGCCGCCTACCAGCCCCAGTGAGTACCCTCTTCCATGGGGGGGAGGTGGACCGCAGGAGACCTCCAGGGGCTAGGGCCCCGTGAGCCGCCCCCATATGACTTGCATGGGGGGCATGGCTTCCCTTCCCATGTTCCGCCATGGCTTGCACCAGACCGTTAGCTATCATGGCACTTTGGTGTTACCTTCTGTCCACACTCCACACCCAAGGCTTATGCCGTAGCTTGCTCATCCTGTAAGGTGGTTATTGATGTCGGTGCGGTCCCTGCGGGTGACCTTGTGGATGGATTCCTGCCGTGCCCCTCCAACGGCAACCCTTCGGTGCCCTCAGGCACGAGCACACGCCGCTGAGGCAGCTGGTGGCCTTCCTGCGGGACTCCCACGCCGCCTACTACGGCCTGCTGCAGCCCGTGCGCGTGGAGCAGCAGCCGCGATGGCCCAAAGCCGGAAACGGCGGCGATGACAGTGAAGTTGCCGCTGCCACTGCCGGAGTCCCCACCGCAGAAGTCGCAGTGGCCGGTGGCAGCGGCGGCAGCAGCGACGAGGCGGCGGACGCGGCGGCTGGATGTGATGCTGCTGGTTGTGGTGAGCCTGCAACGGCATCTGGGCCTGAGGCCGTGTTGGAGGACGTTCGAGTGGTGCTGTGCGCCGCAATGGATGCCGGGGAGGTGCCCTCAATTCATGGTGGGGTGGGGGCGGGGCTAGTCGGGGTGGAGGAGGAGGTGGAGGTGGAGATGGAGGTGGGGGTGGAGGTGGGGGTGGGGATGGAGGTGGGGGTGGAGGTGGAGATGGGGGTGGAGGTGGGGTTGCGGGTTACGGCCCAGGGGCCCCCTACCCGACCTGGGGGACTGTTTGCATTCTTCCCAAGTGCCGTACCCTCTAAATGACTCCACAAGTTGGACCCCGGACTCCTTCAAGCGGGGGTCCCGGGGTAACACCTGTCCCCACCTGCGGGCCCCGGGGGCCCCTCCGAGCTCTGACCTCCTTTCCCCCCACCTCACCCCGCAGGTCGCTACCGTCGCGATGCGGGTCATGTGGTGGTGCTAGACGGGCTGTTGTCGGTTTCGGAGCGCCAGCAGCTGGTGGATTGGCTGACGTCACCCCAACATAACCACGCGGGGCCACCGCCGCTGGACAAGTGGGAGATGGTGTGCGTGGACAGGGAGGGTGAGGGGGGCCGGAGAAGTCTGGTCAAGGAGGGGGTTGCAAGCTGCGAAAGTAGCGTATGTTTGTAGTGCAGCTCCTGTGCCATAATGCGTGTGGGCGGGGATTTGAGCATCGTGGTAGTTAGCTGTTACCGTTGGTTCCCTTTTTTTTCTTATCCAGCGCAGTGTCGAGCTTTCCGTCCGGATGTTCCGCCCCGTGTGCTTTCTCACAGGTGCCCGACCCACCTGGGGTCTGCAGCCCCACATGTTGTCGGCGCTCCGAGACCAGCCGCCGCCGCCTGTGGTGGCCTTACAAACCCGCCTGGCGGCTCTCTACCCCGAGTACGACATCTGCCACATGCCTGCCGACCAAATTTCCGACGAGTACGGCGCTGGTGGCGACGGTACGGACGGCGACGGCGACAGCACGCCTCTGAGCTCGTTTGTGGCCAATGCGGTCATGGTGGGGGACCCGTGCGCCTGGCATGTGGACGCCGATCCCACCAGCGTGCCCCCGCACTCTCCCTGGGTGCACAACTTTGGTTACTACCATAACAGGTGCGTGCTTTAATGGAAGTAGCTTGCGTATGTGTACGTGTGTGTGTTCTATTATCATTATTAATTATTAATTATTATTTATTAATTATTATTACTTATTATTATTTATTATTACTTATTATCATTATTATTATATTAATTATTATTTATTTATTACAAATTATTATTATTATTATTATTATTATTATTATTATTATTATTATTATTATTATTATTATTATTATTATCAGCTGCGCGGGGCTATGGGCTATGTAGGGGCAGGTGCAGTCGCCCGGGGGCCGCCCCACAACCCGCAACTGCTGGCCGCCGGGCATGTCCGGCTCTTGCCTGGAGCTTCGCTCGTGTGATCTTGGGCCACAAACCTCAACGAGGTCACTTCCTCCCGCCCTCCGCCCTGCCTTGGCCCCTGTTGTATGACCCATGGGCCACATGGGGATCTTTATGTCGCCGACCAGGGAGCTCTGTCGGCCGCTGTTCGTGAGTGTACTGCTGTACCTCAATGCGTCCTGGCCCGAGGACTGTCACGGTGAGGTGGAGAAGGGGAGGAAAGGAAAGGGAGGAGAGGAGGAAAAGGGGATCTCGCACTTAGTGCTGCGTTTGTGTACTATGTGAAGCCTTTTGAGGTGATAGGAGGGGGGTGGACGGTATGTTGGTTGCGCGGCTCGAATTGGCTTCTGGACCTGAAGTTCTGTCAGTATGGCTGTATTTCTTGAGGCCCTGTGTTGTTTGGTGAGCCCGCGCAAAGGTAACCAAGCAGTGTCCATTGCTCTGTGCTTATGAGATATACACACACACACACTCCCCCCATTCATCCATCCCCCCTTGGCAGCCGAGACCCTGTTTTTGGATCCGGAGACGCAGCTGGGCCTCTTCGTGCGGCCCGTGCCTGGCAGGTGGGCAAGGGCGAGTGTTTTCGCTGGCTTGTTGGTGTGTGGTTTGTTCGTGCAGTGTTCAAAGAGTCAATCAGGGTGGGTTATCGCAGCGCAATGTAGTGGGCTGAGGCAGTCGGGGATGCGGTAGCGGCTCTATGCCGTGCTAAGGCTTGTGCGGGGCTGTCCTGATGCGAGCGCTTTTCCAAAGAAGCTTGTAGAATCCGTCCTTATACGTTTTCTGGCAATCGGGGGCGCAATCAACGAAATACCTTCGATCACGATGTTAGCCTTGCCTAGGTGCTCCTGGGCGCGCAGCAATAGGTGTTGCATTGAACCGTCCTCTGCGCCTGTTGGGCCCGTTCCCCTCGCCACCCACCCACCTGGGGCTTCCCTGAAGCACCCTCCGACACAACATCGCCGCCTCTAGTGTCTTGACACCCGTAAGAAGGACTCCGCGACAAAGTCCAAGCTTGGCACCTTTTGCATGGAAGGTTTTTCCATGCAATCCGCCATGCACCGCATGCCGTACCCCAAACCCCATTCCTCCAAATCTCCCCAACCGGCGCAACAACTACAGGGTGGTGCTCCTGGAGCAGGATCTGCCGCACCGCATCTCCGCCCCCTCCCTGGAGGCTCCGGGACCCCGCTACTCGCTGGTGTGGAAGCTGGTGTTTGTCCCCAGGGATACAGCCGGGGGCCCACCCGGAGGGCTTCCATCTGAGCACGTCCCCGGCAGTAGCAACAGTGGACTTAGCGGTAGTGCTAAGGGCAAGGAGCTTGGGCGAACACAACAGCAGAGACAGGAGGACGGGGAGGTTGGAACAGGTTGCGTGATGGCGTCCAGTGAGTTCCACAGCATCTGCCGGCCCGAATGGGGTGAGCCGATCCGCATTGGTTCGGCCAGCGCCCGCTGTGGCATCCCGGCGTTCCGGCGGCAGACGCGGATGTAGGTGCGGCTGCAACATGTGGCAATTGGCCCATCCCGATGCCGCGCCGTTGTCGGAAAGCTTGGTACGACGCTTGCTGGCCTGGGATTTGCAGCAACCCAGTAGGAGGAAGGGATAAGGACGGCCGGGCGGTTGGTGGTGCAGGGGGGTGGCCCGGTTGGCGGTGTCTCTGGGGGCTGTTGGGATGGAGGCGTTTGTGGTAGTAAAGTTCCGTTGCGCGTTGTGGCAGGCCGGCTGGGACGAGAATTTGTTTGTTTGTTGGGCAACAGGGACGCTCTTGCTGAGGGAACTGATCCGAAAGCCTTTCCGCCTCCAACCGCCGGTCGTTTGCACGTGTGTACTATATGCCGTGTAATACTGATGTTGTTGTTACATGGTCGTGGGTGCGTTCCCCGTACCTGCAAACCACCCTAATACGAGCCGAGGGCTCAAGGGCTGCCAAATCGCCTATAAGCACCATCCTATCTCGCACTTCCAACGAAACAAGTGATGAAGGATACTAACGAGCAAAGGGAACGATAGAGTTGCGGTGGGACCATATGCGTTCCAGCATCCTTGCCAGGCGTTCAGGTTCCCACTTCATAGCGTTCTTCACATGCTCGAAGCGTGGGGAGCCCATATCAGATCTGATTTTGTCGTACACCGGACAGTCCAGCAATATGTGTTTCTCATCCTCGATATGGCTATCAGTGCCGCAGCAAGGGCATACTCGCGCCTCCCTAGGTATATAACGCCGTCCCTTACGCGCTCTGTTAGCCGCCAATGTCCAGCAGCAAAGCCTAAACTGCATAAGCTTGCGATATACTTCGCCATGTGGATTCCTGGTTGCTTGCCGTCTGACGGATACACGTCAGGCTGGATATCTAAACGCGTATGCTTCCAACCACTCACTAATCGGTCCTTGAACTCCAAAACCACACCTTCTGGCATTGGCCTGTTCATCAGCCACTCCACTCGTTCGCCTACCTCGTGTAGCCCTTGCGGGGCCTCTTTCCATACGTCGTGCCCCCAAAAACATAGAAAACGGAGGAGTAGTGTCCCCCATCCGGCCCCTTCGGGGTTGGAGATGGACTCTGCGACCTCCTGTCGCAAAACTTGGTGTGCCACAGACCCACGCTGTAAACGGACATAGTTCCAAAACCTCACAACCTGCTTGAGTACGTGGTAGTGTAGGGGTAGCTGCGACAGCTCTGCAAACAGTAGGCGGTGTGTTGGCCTGGCAGCTCCTACAATTTGTCGCATGAAAGATATCTGAAGCTGCACTGCTCTGTCCTTTAGGCATGCCTCGAAGGGCCCCTCTGCAAGGTTACTCGCATCACTCCGCCTCCTGAGCCTGTCCAAGACCTCAGCTAGCATAAACGGCCCCCACGCTTGACAACCATACAACAGTATTGCTCGTACCTGCGTATCGAAACACCTCATCCTCACATCTGGGGCGAACAACTTTAGCTTATCTAATTTTGCACTCAACGCGAACATAGCTGCTCTAGCTGTGTCATACAACTGCTGACGGCAGGCCCAGAACTGCCGTTCCGGCCCATACACTACCCCCAGATATCGTGCACTATACTTAGCCGGTATGGCCTCTCCGGCCAGCCTGAGCTCATCACACGATGCTTGGACAGCACTTCTAGTATCGCTGTCGCTTGCAAAAACGAGGCGTTCACATTTCGACATATTTGGGCGCATCCCAAAATCATCACAGAACATGTCCACAATGTTGAGCAGCTCCCCCATGCGCCCCGGTGTTGTTGCCAGAAGGCTAACGTCATCGGCATAGAGGAGGATGGACACTCGCTCATTTCCAACCTCCGGTGCATCCTCTGGCCGTGCCCCGGTGTTAATACAGTCGTGCATATCGATGACGTCTGCGAGAGTTTCAATGTAGAGCCCAAACAGCTCAGTTGATAATGGACAGCCTTGTTTCACACCCTGTTTTGACTCAAATTCACCTCCAGCCTTGCCATTCGTCTTGATGACCATTGTAATATTGTCATACGCCCGCATCAGCGACCGCAGCATGGACCCTCAACCCCCCTCCCTTGCAAACGAAGCCACATTATCTCCCGCGGCACCTTGTCAAACGCCTTCTCAAAGTCAATTTGCACAATGATTAATGGCCGCTGTCCCGGTTGACTGTGCCTAGCAGTAAGGTGCTGCTTGGCAAAGAGATGATGTGTAGTACCGAAACCTCTTCTGAAACCCGCTTGGCCTCGATGCCTAAGTGAGAGCGTCTCCCCTGTGCGAACGAGCCTATCCAGGAGGACCAGCGCGTAACATTTCGCCAAGGCGCCCCCTACTGCTATGCCCCGGTAGTTACTCGGCATGCTGGGGTCCCCCTTCTTGTAAATAGGGGTGAGGACGGTAGTTGTAAACTGCCGTGGGAAGTCCCCAGTCGCCCTGATATGTTCCAGAAGCACGTGCCGGATGACACATTAATGCCTCAGTGACGGCGTAACAGGTGGTTCCATTGCTCCGTTTGGCGAGCATCAGTCCGTCCTGTGCCTTCGGCTGGCGTTCCACTCCTTCACAGCCGTTTAGGAGGTCACAGGAGTATCCTCAAATCACAAAGCATTTGCTGCCGGACATGCCAAGCTGGAGGATATACGCATGTGTGCGCTTTCCTACAGACACCATCAACGTCCAGGAGCCGTAGGAGCTGCGGCCATTGACTGCTCGTCCAGTGCGTGATACAGTCCCACCATCAGATGTTGCATATTGCAAGTTGCCGTTTCCCCGTCCTTGTGGGGGAATCCTCACAGCACGTATTCATCGAAAAACATCTGCTGCCCTTGCCTCCGTGCAAACGCAGTCATCAGAAATGAAGTGAAAAATATGCCTCCCAAGTACGCTAGGAAACACAGCACTGGCGACCACTGACTTCTCAGCAGCCTGGTCTGTCCCGCTTCAAAACCCACGCCATTGACGCACATCCTGCGCCACCCCTTCGTACATGATCCATAATTAAACGCAATGTGCACAATACAATATCATGTCAGTCAGTTCTTTGCAAAGACTCCATTAACACGTTAAAGCCCCACCGGTGCAATAAACAAAAATGCAGGGAGGATGGCGGGAAGGACACACCGGAAATGGACAGCAACAAACGGCTTGCAAACAGCTGCGAAAAATTCCATTGCCAGCACGGCCCGTAGCGCTACGATAATCTCCGAAAAGTACAAGCACAGACCCTCAGTGTAAAAATAGGTGGCACCCGGCTCCAGAGCCAAGGACGCTCGTCTGTCGTATGTTATAGAAAACCTTGGATTTCGTCGCAAGCTCGAAAAGAAACGATATGTTATTCAAATCTGTCGCCTTGCCTGCCTTGGGCTGCCATTCAGGCGGTAATGAATAGAAGATAATAAGCACCATCGCCATCACTGGCGCAATGCGTATGGGTGTAAGCCGCACCACGCAGCACCCTGCGATAATCACTAAAAAATTTCGCGGTAAATACATTATCACTTATAATTGACGTGCGCACAACCCCACGCAACAGGAGGGTTTTCTGCTGCTGGCCAGCGCATCAGAACGCTACGCCTAGCGCCGTAGAATTAGGCTTGACAAGTTGTGCGGTGTTGCCACGAGCAGCGCCGCATCACCAGCGTCCGCGTTGCCGGGGACGTACTTCGAGTGCATAAATTGCACGTCGACCAGTTCCTCACCCTCCTCCCCCCCAGCAGCGTACAGCTGGTAGTCCCACATGGTTTTAGTGCTAGAGCCGCGGATCTTTGCGAAGTCCCACACGACCAAGAAGCGCCCGCAGACCGCCACTACCCAGCTCTCCGAATGGCCATCCTCTGTGATCCAGGTGAACTTCCCCTTCGCGAGCTTGGCGCCCTGCGGGATCAGCACACGATGGCTACAGATGTTTGTAGCATGATGAGCTGCACAAGGTAACACAGGCACAAAAGGAGCTGCGTGCGCAATTTCCCAGAGGAAGCACATCGTTTTAGCTCTGTACAGGGCAGAGAGCAAGCGTGTGCTGGTACGGCCCTGAGAAACAGTGGTGCAGCAACGCAACCTTCACACTGCATGAACGAACGGACCCGCATTGCGGAGCGCCGTCGAAGCTCCATGCACATGGTTGTAGCAGGTCCCTACAGCCTTTTACCTGCGTCCTGATTCTGTCATCAGGTCTGAGTTGAAGAAGCGTTGGTGTAGCACCGCGCCCGCCCATTCGGCTCTCCAAAGCGTTTGCTTCAGTGCCCTTATCGCTTACATACGTTGTCTTCATAAGCATTAGGTACATGTCTGTCGTGGCCAGCAGCCACTTGTCATCGTATGTGACGTCAATGGCGGTAATGGGGGCGCCAAGGCCCGGGATGGAGGTCTTGGCCTGTGACAGCATCCGGCTGTTGTAGAGCTGGATACGGCCGTTCCGTGAGCCCACAGCAACGTTCCCGTTGCCGCTTGTGGCCATGCATGTAAAATTGGGCCCGCAGGTAGGCTCGTTCCCGGTGACATAATGAAGACCTGCGGAGTGATACTCCTGTACCACGCAGGTCCCCACACGTGTGTCCCACCTGAGGATTAATAGGAATTACGGCGGGCAGGCACATGGGTTATGGAGGATAGCGGGAATAAGACGCTGCCATGTGCCAACGGCACGAAACCAATGCGCAGACACTCTAGTGACTTGCCAGTATAAAGGTCGAAAGCAGCATGCCGGCACCAAATCTCTCGGCCCCAAATCACCAAACGCGCAAACCTGATGTTGTTCCTTTGTAGTCTTCACCCAATCCCCCAGGACACACGGCGCTCATTCGCACCGCCCTGACCTGCCAATGGTGGTCTGGTTCAGAGCCAGGAGCTGCACTTGGTCGTCCATCTGTGCCGATTTGTAACTCTGAGCAATTTCCACGATTGGCACATCCACACCGTCCCTCATGAAGGTTGAAGTGCTGACGATCTTGCCCAACTCAATGTCGGCATGGTGCAGAATGCTGCTGTTGTCCGGAGTCAAGAAGTTCATGCGCTTCTCGCCATGTGACAGAAGAATCTTCGAGGGGATGCACTCAGCGCGCAGTGCCTCGATCTCGTTAACGTCTACACCCGAACTGCGTGTCTTGCGCTTAGTTGGGGACTTCAGGAAACCGGCACCTATTGGGGCCGTAAGCCCGAAGCTCCTGGTGGAGACATCGACCCCACCCCCCTCCATGTTCATGAGCACGTCCACCGTGCGGCCTTGCAGGAGGAAGCTGTGCCGGCCTGTGGTTGGCATTTGCGATGGAAACGAGCATGTGCGTTAGGTAGGGGTCATTGGTCATTAAGGAAAGGCAGGCAGTACACCACTTCGGAGTCCATATGGTCCTCCAGAAAAAAAGTGCACGGCTTCTTGACCCACGCTCGAGGTTAGCATCTCGATGATGCAAGTCTAAATGGACGACGAGTTATAAGTGCTGCGGCACTCCCCCGATGGTCCAAGCGCTTTACCTGCTCCCACAAGAATGGCGCTTGCGGCACGCGTAAAGTTCGTGATTTGCTGCCCAAAAGAAACCAGCTCAGCTGGCACATTGCCATTTACAGCTTCCCAGCATGGCACCTCGCTCCCGAAGACATTCCCATATTTTGACTTCAGCCAATTATCCTGAAAAGAATGGAACGAGTCTCCCGGAGGAAACTTCAAGCTGTATATGGAGCAGCTGTCTTTGAAGGTGAAGCGGCGAGTATCAGGCGCCACCATGTCGGATGCACTACATGATGGCACAACATCAATATCTGAGCCAATACGCACGCGTATTTCCGGCCTGCTGTTGACACTGTCCACGCAGTAGAACTGGATGTCGGCGCTCGCATCCTTTAGTACCCATGCCCCGTCTCCAGACCCCTCGTGCTTCGTAATGTACTCATAGAGCTTTGGCATTTGAGATTTTGCTGCTGTGGGTGAGCTTGCCCAAGGTGCCTGGTTGCCTGGTGTGCCCGACTTTTGAACTCCACAGCAGACACAGCACACGTGCCACAGAATGAATGTTTACGAGCCAGAAGCAAACAGTTACAAGCTCCGGTATTTGGGCGCACATTGCTAGAAGATTGCTATCCTGATGACATGCCAAATTTACATGCCATGCAGCTCCGAAACCTTATTTTTAAGTTATTGCTTATCCACAACCCTTACTTACGGAACATACTTCTAAGGACGTTTAGAATGTTTCCTTGTTTCCTTTCCCACACTACACCGTGCGTCGAACCTCCTGATGCGCCACCATGCCACCGCATTCCCATCTCCTCTCCCGACCGCGGCAACAGATTACGTCTCGTTCACCACACCCCCTGTGGGTCCAGGCCGGGTATTTCCACTCGCCGCGGAAATGTGGTGGACATGTGGAAGCGCGTCGACAACTCCCCAAACAGCGCACTGGAGGCGCCCACATGCTGAACCAGGTTGGGCCGCACCACGAACAAATAGCAGGGCACGAAGGAGGAGGGCGGCATGGTGGGGATGTCGCTGCCATGGATAATCCGCGGGTCGCATGCAGACCCGTGGACCTTGGGTTTGGCCTTTACGGGCGGCATCCAGGGCAGGCCAAAGCAGCGGCGCCCCTCCATGTAGCGAACCTGAGGACGGGTGTGCGCACGGGTGCCTGAACGAGTCTGGGGCCGATTCTGGGGATAAAAGGAGGGCGTACCAAATGCGGCTGGACTTGTACACCGTTATGCAACGCTCTAGACATCGTCATGCGCTGCGCTGGCTCATTGCTGTAGTCCCCTGCTTCCCGAAAACCCCGCCGCCGACACACTCCTGTGGGACCCACGCGCCCGGCGCCCGGCTGGAACGACCCAACTGGAGCCCCTCAAGTTCCCTTCGGTTCCATGGGCTCCTAGCACCGAAACTGAGATGCCGTATATTCGTACCAGCTCAATGTCCTGCAGCCCGTCTTGCGGCGCGCATCCCGCCAGGAGCTCTCGGTAGTGCCGCATCAGGCCCATACGGATGCCGTACGAGTACAGCAGGCCCTGCATGTTGGCGGCAACAGCCGCAGCGGCTCGGGTTATAGGGATGGAGGCGGTGGGCGGCAGATGCAGGGCTACGCGAGCAGAGGCTGTTGCATATTCCGGCGCCTCCCGAGCCGATATTGCCCCATCCTAGTGCGCTTCTTTGTTGCTGCTGTTGCTGCTTTGAGTCAGAGAAATGAAAAGATAAAAAGATCCTGTCTTTGTCGACATCAAGACGCGAATTCACTCGATGATGGCAACACACGAAGAGAGGACAGTCGTGAAATACATGCTTCCCAAATCGGTTCCCCATGCTACGTTGACAATAGTACGAAAGCAGTCGTACATGCCATTCCCAGGGGCTGTAAATCTGCTAGGTAAGGAACTGTATGTGAAAGCCAAACATTTCACCGCCGTCAAATGGGGACGGGGAAGCGACAACGACAGCCAGCTTGCTCCAACGCCCCTGCTTGTCGTACCTGGGAGCCCCACGACCACACGCGCGGCACCAGCGTTAAGCGAGTGAAGGCGTGCACGCCTCCGCCTCCTCGTCCTCCACTAGATGTGCTGGTTGAGTTCGCGTCGCCATCGTCGGCAGCCCCGTCCCCGCCGACCCCGTCGCCACTGCCGCCAGCAGAATAGCCAACCGCTGCCTTAGCTCCATTGCCTGCGTAGCCTCCAGCATCCACAATGTCCCCGCTGCCGTCGCTGCTGCGGGCCTCGCCGATGGAGCCCTCCGGGGTAGGCGGCTCGGCAGCCCCGGCCGCTGCTTTCTCCGTGCTGCCGCCGCTGCTCCGCTGCGCCTGCATCCGCCTGCGTGGTGACCCCCCACGCCCTTCGCCGCCACTTGATAGCCCATCTTCCTCAAACTCCTGGACCTCGTCCACGGGCACCGGTGCAGAGCGGTAGATCTGCAGCACCTTAGGAACCTCCTGGGGAACCATCCCCGGGTCATACAAGCTGACGGCGAAGTCAGAAATCACGTTGCCTGCAGCGGTGGCCGCGGGAGTACTGTTGCCGTCGCCAGCGCTCGCGTCGGCGGCAGTGGGCTCTCTCCCCAGGTCCTGCGTTTGAGTGGGCGGACGCACACCCCATGGGTGGCCCTCTGGGATGGAAGCACCGCTGGACCCAGGTGGGCGCCAGAAGGCGGTGGGTACTGCCGAGCTACACTGCCGTGGAGCCGATCAAGTCACACTACGCCGATCGCATCCCATCGCGTCACCCCACCTGCATCATTCGCAACAGACAGCCCACACGGTCGCCAAAGCGGGGCGCCAGTACCACATCACCCTGCAGCAGCAGCGGCAAACCGGCGCCGCCGAAATAGGTAGTAGCGGGGGTATCAGCAGCGTCGGCGCTGGAGGGCAAGGTGTATAAGCCCAACCTTTCTAAAAGAGACAAACACACGAGAACATATTTTATGAAGTATAGCCGCGCACATGGCTGGATGGTCGCACATGGTTGTCGCACGTGGGCCAAGTGGATGCTCATGGATGCACTGGGCCACAATAACCCCCAGATGAGTGACTATCCAAATGTGTTATCAACATCGGGGTTACGCTGGACCCCTCCGCCCGCCGTGCGCTTAGCCGAGGTGACATCCTAGTTCCCAGGTGCACCCTGCCCTCCGTAGCAACCTGCCGCAAGCCCCACACCAGTTTCTGCCCCGCACTGCAGCCCTGCACCGCACCGCACTGCGTTAGCTTCCCTTTCCGCCTCTCCGCGCCCCACCTCGAGTATCAGGAGCGGCAGCTCCCGCAGCCGGGGGTTCCCCGCATCTTCCGCCACCTGTTGAGAGGTGGGAACAGCGCGAGTAGGGTAAGAAGGGTACGGGACTAGAAAGGTTGGAATTTAGAAAGGGACAATAACCATGGGGTTGCCGGCAAGACCTTGACGTGTGCATTTTCTTCTGCCACAGATTACCAAGGGGCTGAACAATCAGGTACGAAACAGTGCAGCTGGGGATTCCAAATCAATCGACGACAGAAAAGGTCGCTGTCGAAGCCCCTCATGGTCCGGTTCAAATCCCTGCGCCACACGGTGGGCTCCCTGGCCCACGTTAGCGTGCGCGGTGAAGAAACGCAAAGGCAAAATTGCAGCATGTACCAGCCATGTAAAGCCCCGTTGACAACCCCATAACGGCAACAATAACCGGAAGCAATCACCAACCGCCACATTCGCACCTGGTCTGGCACCCGCAGCGCTTCATAGTAATTGGCCAAGACGTCCCCGCGTTTTACATGCTCGGGCAGATAGCGGATGCGCAGGTGGGGAAAGGCGGGACGCCGGAGGGGCGGAGTTGCGCCTGCCACTGCGGCAGCTTCCGCTGTCGGACTCTCGGTTCCGCCGCGCCCATCCGCCGCATTGCCTCCTCCTTGGATGCCGTCACCTCCGCTGCTGCTGCCGCCGCCAAATGCTCCGCTCGATAACATTGCAATGTCATCCGCATACGTCTCCAAGACATCCAAAAGGCTGAAGGCATCGCCGGCGGCTGCTTGCGGCGGGTCTTTCCTGGCGGGTGGTGGCATCTCCAGCCTCTGCACCAGCTGCACCTCAAGGCGACCGTCGCCATCGCCGCTCGCATTCGCCTTGCCGCTGCGGCTGTCACCGCTAACATCACTCGCCGCTGGGTCAGCCATCGCCAGGCCGTTAGCGATGGCGGCTTTAAGCGCCTCTATCCCCCCCGTACTGCTGCTGTTGCTGCTGCTGCTGCGGCTAGTCTTTTCACCGCTACTGCCGGTGCTAGCTGCCAGCCTGCGGCTTTCTGTGCCCCTGCGGTTGCGATTGCTTGCCACAGCGCTCTGATGAACGGCCCACAGCACCGTTACAGATGCGGGTTGTGCATCAGCTGCGGCGATGCTGACTAGGGTGGTGGCCAGGTACCGGCCCTGCTGTGCCTATGAGATCAAGTTGCGAGGGTCGAAATTGTCCGATTGGGTTGGGAAGGTTGGAGTGGGTTGTGAGGGGCAGCCAAGGTTGATAAGGATGCTAGGGGAGTCAATGAAAGGTTGCCACCAGCTGCCCCGCTGGCAGCCGCCGCAGGCGGATGGTCTACTGAGTGGTTGGGAAGTTTCGCAGCCGCTAACCTGGAGGCAGGCAACCCGTCTGCTTGCGGAGCGCCGTGCTGCAGCACATCCCACTATCCCGCCCAACAACGGGGAATGACAGGGAGGAATCCATCCGCTTATTGCGAGCCTATATCAACGCTGTCGTTGTCGCTGTCAGCCGACCCGCCCGGCCCTCTCACCTACCCGTGGAGATGCCAGGATAACCAGGTGGTAATCGGGGGGACCATCCTCGCGGGATGCAGTGCACCAACGAGACAGCTTCTGGGGCTCCGGACCAGAAGTTGCAGGCAGCATCCGCGGGGGGCCGTCCCTGTTAGCCATCATCGCTGCGTGCTGCTTCAGGGCCGCACTCAGGCGCTGCTGCTTCTCCTGGAGGAGTGGCGCGGGAGCATTGCCAAGTGCGTCTTGGATAGCGGGAACGATGTAGTTGAGACTCAGAGAAGCTGGAGCCGACGGCGGCGCGGTCGGCAGGAAAGTAGAGGTGCCGTGTTCCGAGGATTCAAGCGCGGATGGGACTGGCGGCGAAGTGGCTTCCTCCGGAAGCCTGCCGCCGTTGATGGAGCCCCGACCATCCGCACCGCTGGGGCCCTCGGGAACGCTGACATGCGCCACCTCCCTTCTCCCGGCTTCACTGCCGCTAGCCCCGGATCCGCCGTTACCAGCACTGCTGCCGGGGCCCTGGCCGCTGCTCCCGCTACTGCCGGGAGGCACATTCCCGTCGACTGCTGCAGCGCTGCGGGGTCCCTCGGTGTTGCCGCCACCAGCCGCATGACCCGCTCCAACCCCCTCCGCAGCGAGCTCACTGCCGCCCCCACCAATGGCGCCAATGCCGTCCGTGGAGTCATCCTTCACGATAAGCGTGCCGCTGCGAGCATCGCTGATTCTGACGCTGTTTCCCATCCGGCTGCGCGCTGCATGGCTGCCAGCATCATCACTCTGGGCCCTCCAGCCTCTCGGCCCTCCGCTGCCGTCCCCACCTGCCCCACTGCCTGGCCTGCTCCCGTCCTCGCGTTCGCCCTCGTCGCCGCGACCTCCCCCCACAACCTGTCGGAAGCCGCCGCTCATGCTATTCAAACTTTTCGTGCTGTTGCTGCGCCCGCTGCCCCTGCTGCCATTATTAGTGCGGAGGCGGCCCCATCCGACTCGCGTCTTGAGCCGTCGTGGCTCCGCTGTGGGCGTCCACCGTTGCAAGGTGGTCTCCCCCTCGCGCGGCTCATAGCCTGCCCAGTAGGCGGCCCCCAGCAGGCCGATGAACAGCAGGAGGAGCAGCAGCGGTAGCAGCGCGACCGGTGCTGCCCAGCCGCAGCAGCCGTAGTAGCTGAGGGCTGCCCGTAGGCACCGACGTGGTGGGCCCCGTGCCATGCCGTGCTAACTTCCGTGGCTATTGGCTGCAGGAAGATGTGGGTGCGCCAGCTTCCGTTCCCATGAGGATACTAGTACGCAAAAGATATCCGTATTAACGCAGAGTGAAGACTGCCAGGCCAGGCAGCTTCCGTGCGCTGGGGCCCTACGAGTTAACCAGATACTGCAAACTACAGGCGCACATACAGCTTGGGTTGTGCGAAGCAACTATACGTGCGTATGGAGCTGCATGTGAAAACGGATTCCGCCAAGGTAATAGCTGCGGCGAGAGGTGAAAAGACAGTGGACAAGATGTCTGGTGGTCGCTGCGCGCAGTGCAGAAGCTGGACGCGATGGATACTTGGTCCTGCCCGCCTTGGGCGCTCTATGGCGAAAATTCTCGTGTTAAGATTTTTTCAGGCTGGTTGTGGTCGAATGGCAAAAGAGTGTTTTCAGATAGCCCGACCTGAGAGCATTTCCTCGGCCGGTTCCCTTGGCCATCCACTAGCTAAGTGACCTCGGCCATGAGCTAAGGACGAATTGCATGTGTATGATTTATGCAAGTGAAGTGACGATTCAATAACTGCGGTGACTGCTGCGATACAGCTTGCGAAACGTCCTGTGACCTGCTGATACCGTGAGCTCCTCGTGAGCTAATCTTCATTAAGATCTCAAAGGCCGCTTACAGCAGCGGGTTTTAAGTATGTGTTTTGCTGAGACCTGTTGCTTTTCCCCAGACAATGACGTAGAGCTTGCATCAAGCAGAGCGTTGGAGCTGATGAGGGGAGGGACAGTTTCTTGCCAGTCCGACGACAAATTGGATGTCCTTCCGGGCAGCACCAGCTAACCAATATACCGCTACACACCGAACTGCTCAATCCGGTACCCACATTGCTACGGCCCTTCAAGCTCCACTCCGCTCTGGGCCAGGCGCTGCTGTACTCTGCAGCAGCATATGGATGGGTCCCGCCAACCCAACCGCCAGTGTGGATGACCCACGGGTCGCTGGTGGCGGCGCTGGCGGCAGTGGCCTGCTGGGCCTGGGAGCGGCAGGTCTGGGTCCCGTAGGAGCGTCTTTGCCTGGGTCGGTTCGCGGTGCCGCCGGCGCTCGTCCAAATCTACGACAGGACCGGTACGAGCAGCACTGGATATACAGGGGGCGGTGGTGCTGTTGATAACTGACCGGAGAGTGCTGGCTATGAGGGCAGCAGGTAAGGAGAAGTCTAGGTGGCAAGGTGGGAGGAGATCTTGGAAGGGAGTGTTCGACTAAAGAGGGGCTTGCCCTGGCCGCATGATCTGATGACATTCCTCGGTCGGATTCCTTACCGATTCGGGCAGAATTTTTGGGTGGTGCCGAGGGTTCGAGGGATATGGAATCCTAATTTGAACGTAATGGCTTCTTTGCATGCTGCAGAGCGTTCTTAAGGACGGTGTGGGCAGCAGCTACTTCGGTTTATGACATGTATATGTTTTTTCAGGCATGGTTCAGCTGAATTTCATATTGTAGGAATGATGTGTTTGATGAAAACTTATTGAGAATGGATATGTGCAGTAGTTCTAGCGAGCAAATAGCAGAAGATTAACAAGCGTATTTCCTGGATCGGACAAGCTGGCCCAGTCGTCGCAGCATGAGACTCCTTTTCCTCCAGGAGTCTTTTCATTTACGCAGGGTATGGTGACAACCAGAGGTCGGCAAATTGGTTTCTACGGCTGCGGGAGGGCATGATTTCGGTCAGTAAACCTAAGAAATTTTAAAGTCAAACACAGAGTTCAGCGCGCGGCCCTACGCCGTATCACCGCCGATCACCCAGTCACCACAAGGAATGCACATATGATACGTCAGCGTACGAGAGGACAGCAACAAGGGACAGCACATCGTCTCCGCCACAATGGTAATAGTTGTATCAGGAGCGAGGCAGGGGTCGCAATAGAGGGCTGTAAACCACGTCTTTTGGTCAAATTTTGGTCATTAGGGACCCGCAGCCGGGGCCTTAAGCCGAATTTCGGCTGCGGGTACCGTGGTACGGACCCGCAGTACCCGCCTTATTTGCCGACCTCTGGTGACAACATCTACAGCAACGATGACTCCACCATGTCACAGCCGCAGCTGCTTAAACTCCAGTTTCTTGTCGTGTGATAGCGACGGGCACTGCTCCAAGTGCAGGGCCAGTTCGTGCAACTTGGCGCGTCAGACAGGGATTTCAGTGTCGCATGACTTGCACTTCTTGGCGTGACGGCGATTAGTAGTGCAATGTGGCCCTATGTAATTGAAGTAATCGTTCGTAATACGTGATTTAGGACCACGTTTGGCTTTCTTTGGTTCGGGCCCATCATCCATCGTGCCGCCTGACACAAACACCGACTGTTTACCTGAGCCGGTCGATATCGCTGCACTAATAAGACGATACCATAAGCAACGGAGAGAGCAGTGCATGCTGTTTCGGTTAAGAACAAGTAAGAACAAGCGGTTGGGGGCCTGTACGATCATACGGTCAATCTAATACGCCGCCCAAAAAAATTGACCACCTCGCCGGCGTATTTTGGAGTGTTTGGGCGTAGTTGTGCTTGGCTTATTACTCTGTAATACGGTCGCAACCCTGGGGGCACATGAGGCTGAAGGCGGTTGCTTACGGTTGTGGCCCAGCACGCATCGCACGGAGCGAATGCATCTGGTACATAACGCTAAGCAGGACACTTTATAGTTTACGCTTGCAAGATTCCCCGGACACCCGGCTGAGACGAGAAGCCTCCGTGGAGCGGTCCAACCGACTTTCCATCAGCGCGTTATTTGCCAATCCAATATCACAGTCGATACCTGCTCTACACCAGGTAGCAGCTCCACAGACGAAATTCACAGACGATTTATAGACGAGAAGAAACTGCGCCCGGGCAAACTTGCATTCCGTTACTGTTATACAAACTAGATCAATAAAGTTAGCCGGGTGGCCGCGCACCTGTGCTTTACGCTTCTGTCCACAATTATCATAAATAAGTTGTTTGGATAGCCCCAATACATTCCATACGCGTGCTACCCCCAACGACAAGCTGCTTCAACACAGCCAGCTTTGGCACAGGCAGCGCTTTAGAGTTACGACACCTTCTTAAGCAAGTATGGGGCAAGGCCAGAGCGCCGAAGAAGTGCTGGACGCTGTAAATCAGGTGGACAATGCTCAAAAGACCACCCCCCAAAAGGTGAGCCTTTGCTTTCGCTCTCAGTCCGCAACTGTAGCAGCTACAGAGGTTATTTCTTCTGCTTTTGGGATGTATAACCACGATTGACTGCGTCCTGGACTTCAGGAGGGCAACGCGGGCACAAAGCTTTTCAAATACGTGACAACAATTAACGGGGAGGGGAACTGGGAGCTAGCAAGCTCCAATGCAAAACCCCACTTCTACGACAGTAAAGAGGACAGTAATAGCAGCGGAAAAAAGGATTTCTTTCTTGAAATTGAGCAAGGGGATGTCGACGTTCACGTAGATGCCGGACTGAACTACGTGCTGGATGTTGACCAGCGGCGTGTGACCTTTGCAGCAAACAATACGATCTACGCCCTGAAGTTTCAAAATGACGACGCTTGCCGCACGTTTGGCGAGCAGTTGAACGACGCGATCTTTTACAACCAGTATGGGCTGGAGAATGATGAGGACAGCCGTGCAAAAGTCATGGAGGACTATGCCGGTACACTGTTTTCGAAGGAGACTGAGCGGCTGTTTGAACCAATGGACACGAATGCTGATGACGAGGACAAAGAAGCCGCCAATTTTTTAACGCCGGAGAAGCTGCGGGAGAAGCAAGCCAAGGAGACGGCGAAGGACGAAGATGCTATCAATGCTATCGTTATGGGGGCAGGTGCGTCAACGAGTAGTACGATTGCTCTGAGGGCTGGGGAAGGCGTTATGGCATGGGAGGGGTCACTGGCTCGTGTGACACGCGAGTTTTTGGCTGTCTTGTGTGTGTTTACAGATCGCATGTGTTTTCCGTTCGCTCTTCGATATTCTTTCGTCCTGTTATCTCACTCCTCGCTTGGTAAAATCCGCGAGTCAACATCAGCATTGTTACTTCGTGCCCATGCCCGGCACAGGTGAAAACAACTATCTCCTGCGCGGCTGCAAGTTTGACGTCCTGCGCAATCTTGAGGGGGGCGGCGTCGAGGACAAGGGCCTTTCGTTCATGCTTACGCCTCCACCTGGCGCTGCGTGCTCCACGCCGTCGCTCAGCACACGCAAGACGCGCGGCACAGCAGCAGCTGTTGAGGTCGAAACGACTGGAGCAGCCTTCACGCCTTCAAGAGTCCTCCTGACGCACGGCGAGCGGCGCATGAACCTATTGACACCGGAGAACCGCAGCATCCTCCACCATGCTGATATTGAGGTGGGCAAGATCGTCACTACGTACAATTTCCAAAAAGACTCGGTGGATGTGCCTATCATGGATATTGCCTCGGACTATAAGGCGGCTCAAATGGAGGATCACTCTCAGTTCCTTGGTCTCGACCAGAACCGAATCTGCAGGTGCGGACCCAGAGTTTCCCTTTTATGGCGAAGGCAGAAATGTTGACGAGCCTTGGCAAGCCGAGTTTCACAGGCCATACGTGCTAGCAAGGGAGGCAAACTTTATATATTTCATACGCCAAGGGTTGATAGGGTTCCTTCAGTAATGCATTTAAACCAAAAACACCTGTCTTGGGACAGAGATGTAGTTGGGTCAAGCAGTCATGGATTTGGTTCATGTGATTGGGCTAGTAAGGAGCTTTATTTAGTGTGCACGTGATGCCGCCTTTTCAATGCCAGTACTGGCGCCCTGTCGCAAGGAATGCTGGTTGTGCTTGCCATTGTGCAAATACACGCATTCCCACGCAGGTGACTTGGCAACTAGAAATGAGAGGCAATCGAGATCATACAATACTCACTGGATTCCAATCCATCCCGCCTGAAGACGCAATCTGGCCGATCACAATTCTGCAGGTGGGACCTACGCGAGAAACGTGGCGTGGTGCAATCTACGCCCGTACTTGACTACGTTGCAGGCAAGGACTACAGCCGTGGCACCAATTTTACATGCATGGCCACAAGCGGCGACGGCTTCGTTGCTGTTGGCTCACGGGATGGTCGGATCCGGCTCTATAATAGTCGGGTCTTGACGCAGGCCAAGACATCCATCCCGGGTCTTGGTGCGCCTATCACCGCGATTGACGTCACATACGACGGCAAGTGGGTGCTCGCTACGGCTGACAGATACCTGATGCTTGTGAAGACAACCTATGTGAACGACAAGGGCAAAGACGCCAACGCGTTCGAGAGCCGGATGGGCGGCCGCGGTGCAGTGCCGCGTCTGCTCCGGCTAAAGCCGGAAGATGCAATTAAGACTCAGGTGAATGTGGCGGAGTGAGCGGTGTATTGACAAGGCAAGCGTAGGCAATTGAGAATGGCTAACAATGCGTAGCCTTAACTTAGGACTTAAGACGGGATGGCCTTTCGAGGCATCTTGTTTGAGGCTCACTTGAAAATTCATTTGACAAACAATTTGTTTTTTTTGGTTTTTGGTTTGGTTTTGGTTTGGTATTAATATCTTCTACATTCTTTTCCCTCGTTATCCTACAGGGCGCCAAGTTTACGAAGGGCAAGTTCACATGGATTACAGAGGGCGGCCAGTCCGAGCGGTGGATTGTAGCAGGCTGCGGTCGGTTCTCCGTGGTTTGGAACTTTTCCAAGATCCGGACCACAAGCACGCAGTCTCTTGGCTATGGCGGCTTACCTACCTGCATGGACTACTACCTACGCGCTAAGGAGGAGGAGGTTGTGGATGTGCAGTTTGTTCATCAAAAGTACATGCGTGATGTTGATCAGGCGGCGATGGTGGTGGCCACGCCGCACAGCTTGTTCAACCTGGCCTAGATGCATGCTAGCCTAGCGTGTTTTGGAACGAATTTTGAAACGAAGGGACAGAGCTGTGACACGATTTGGGTGTTAAGCTATGCAGGGCGATACTCGGCCCGCGTCCGGTGCTCGGCACTGGTTTGGGCAGACCCTTGCTTAGGTGTCTGGGATCTTGTGTTCAGATAACAGCTGAGTATAGTAGGCGACCTTTTATAGTGTCATTTCTCAACAGAACGGCCGTGCGCATGTGGGACGTTGCGATCATAGTAAGGCGGCTAGGCATGTGTGTCCTGCGAACAGTGGATTGAGACATTGTTACCCTGCAGAAATCAAAGTTGCGGAATGCGGACACCTCATTATTTCATGGAAGAACTGTGAGCGTGGATGACGTGGTGAGTAGAAGCTTGTTTTTTAGGCTTGCTTTAGGATCGTTACAACCAGTGGCGTGTGGGACGGCAGCTGCGTGGTGTCGACGGGAAACTGCAGCTCGTACTTGTTGAATGCCTGGAGGAACAGTCGGAGAACGGGCTCCACCTCGGTGAGAAAGGTCGGATTTGTAGACACCATGGTGGTAGACAAAACGATGATGACGATGACACGAGCGAGGCGAGGTGGATCACCTATGCCAACTGAAAGGAACCGGATCACTCCTAAACAATCGGGACGCGTAAGCTTACTTGACTTGCCGTGAAACTGGCGTATGCCCTGAAGAACGGGATTGCTCGAACTTAACTTTGGCTTACAATATTAATAATATGGTCCGCTGATATAATCAAGCTAGCGCTCTTCATTACCACGTGCCGTACTTATCCGATCCTGGCTCCGCTAGCTCCGAAGTTGTGGCAATTACTAACGAGTTCCAAAAGGTCGTCAACTAAGGGTTAAAAAACCCTAAGTCCGAAACGGCAAAGGTAGTACCACGGATTAGGAACAGTACGTGACTCTCTAACCACTGCACACAACTTCCCCGGGTTGCAATGCCGAACAGGGGCTCGGGTTAGGCGAGTCCTCCACAGCACCAAAAGCCGTATTTATCCAGTACTGGATCGCTAGCTCCATGGTTACGATAATTACTAACACACGGTAGGACGAAGTCCCCAAAGGTCGCCAGCCAGCTCCGAAACATTACTTTACCTTTCAAATCCGTTGAATAATTAAGATCGGCGAACTGCTCGAAAGAGCACTGAAGGATGGCCTCCAATCATTATGTAACCTTCCCAGACAAGCGACGTGCAGCTATATGTGCGGACAGTGGAATTTTATGTGCGGACAGTGGAATTTTCCAAAGGAAGCTCCACGCATACATCGCACGGACACCGGGGATACCGAAGGGAATCCATATGGGAGAACTGTGATCTTTAGATACTGAACGAGGAAGCGAGATGGCGGTGCATAACAGGCAGAGAATGGCCAGCAGGACAGAAGCAGGCACAGTTGGTCCAACCAACTTTGGACTTGAGCAGCACGCCGACTGCTGCAAGTGCTTGGCAGCGGCTACAGCGGCTGGAAGATGCGGTGTATTGCGGGGGAAACAGGAATTCCTAGAAGACCTAGTAGCCTTGCTGCCGGACCCGGATTGTTTCCGGCCGGGGAGGCGCCGCCAGCATGTGGCTATGTGACAGGAATTTTTCCACGTATAGCTAATGAAGGCCGGGTCCTCACGGATAAACAAAAGAAATGGATCCCCCACCTGGACGGGGGAATTCAGCTAGAGTGGGTGCCCTGTCACCAACCTGGGCAGGAATTGGCACCTGAAAAATATCGTAAGCTGGCAATTGTGCGGGAGATGCTCCGGGTTGCAAAACTCGGGTGTGACCCGGAGACAATGCTGACAGGTAGCAGGCTGCATCCCGTACAGTTTCTTAACCACCACAGTGCGATCCAGCTCAGTGAGTTTGTCACCGCCGAACTACATAACGCGCTGGAGTGAGGACGAATCCGGGAATGCCCAGCTGAGGCATCCCCACCTACGGTAACCAATGGCCTGCGGGTAGTGAAGAAGAACGGCAAACTGCGCCTCTTCATTAACCCCATGTACATCAACTGCTTTCTCAAGTAATGGCAGCTGAAGTATGAACGATTATCCGACGTCACCAGTTATCTGCTTCCGGAGGAAGGGCTGTATGCCACGGATGACAAGAGTGGGTACTGGCAGCTGCCCCTACACGAGGGGGAGTACACCTGCCTGGCCATGCGGTGGCAGGGCAGGACGCTGTCCTGGCCGCATCTGCCGTTTGGGCACCAGCCTGCCACCTGTACACAGCAGACCCCCAGGAGGAGGGTGCATTTCCTGGGAATAGAAGTGGATGTGGAGGCTAAGGCTTTCTGTGTTCGGGGTGACAATGCGAAAAAGTTTCGAGCGCTCCTCTCCCAGCTCGAGGGACCACCACTCACCGCCAGGCAAGTAGCGCAAGTTATAGCAAGAGTGCCGCCATGGCACCTGCAGTTACCATGTATGCAAGAATGGTTCTGCAGGTCGCCCGGGGTGTGGCTTGGGAGGATAAGGGGCCCGCATTTCGAATCGCCACGGAGCTGGTAGGCGACGCCTGGGACGCCGCATTAGGACTGTTTCGTATTCGTTTACTTGATTGCCGTGCGAGCGGAGGGTTTCGTGCCTTTCATTCCGACCACACAAAATTTAACCCGACTTTCAGGCTTCTTCTGCTGCTCCTGCTTCCCATGGTGGCTTCTTTGCGCATTGAACGGCCTCGGCCATAGATTAGGGTAATGGAACCTCGGCTATCATGCTGTGCATACCACTGGTGCATGAAATGGTTCCAGATAATCTTGTCGAATTGAGCCTACGGACAGATAGTTCACGACATCTGCTTGTAACACTTCAGGAACGGACATCGACCCATGGCCGCTTCTCTTGCCTCGTGCACTGCCTACATCATACGCTACAAGTACATGCCACGTACCGCCTGCATACACTCATTGCAAAACGCGCATGCTCACATTACACTACAAATTACCGCAAATCCCTTCAGGGTGAGCCCCACTCGCTGCGAAGCTGTGAAATACACTAGCAATAGTTTGACACTGCTATGAGATGAGGGCGATGACGAATGATGAAAAAGATTTCTCGCTTGCACAGTTCAGTTTCCATCCGCAAAGCCGGCATGCCGCCCCCCTGTGCCAGGCCTTGTGAATGAAACCCTTTCGTAGCAGATCTCATCATGGTGTAGTAGATGCTAAGACCTCCCCATGTCAGGCACAACAGCATCGGACAACTGCACTATGCAAACATGAGCGCCAAGTTATGTGGCTGGTGGGATTTGCTAGTTGGGTTTATGGGTCCGCCGGAGGTTGCCGGACGCCTTTGCGGCACGAAGCTTCTTGATGACCTGCGGGGAGGATGCCGAGCGGCTGTGAAAATGTCTGCCTGTACGGTTGGGTGTACCGTATGAGGACTGCGCCAGCGGTATCCGAGATACTCTGCACCACTCATGTACCGTCATCAGTCACTAGGCTCGAGCCCTCATAAACATCCATTCAAAATTACAACTCTTGTGCCATATGGTTTACATTCCTGCCTTGTCACCAACAACCTATGTACAGCCGCCTCCCACCCAAAAGTACCTACTCACGCATCTCTGTGGGCCGAAACCTTCTGTGGTCAGGGCGACACTAACATCTGCCGTAAGAAAGCTTTGCTGTAAGTAACACTTATCCTTTCCCCCCCTGCGAAGCTGTGGAGGAGCCAGCCCACAAGCATGACCGAGGTTGGCTTATCCCTTCGCTTCTGCACAATCATCTGTCGTTTGCGGGCTGAAGCTTTTGAAAAAGAACATCGCTCTTAGGACGCATTGTCTCTCTCTGTGGATCTGCCCGTTCCTTCCCCCTTCTCCCGCCGGCCCCACAGATTACCACACCCGTTCCGCAGCCTCATCCATGCCGCGCTCCACGTCCGCGTCCGTCTCCACATCTTCCTCACTGGCCTGACCGAGCAGCAGCTCACCCACCACCGCACCACCCAGCGCGCCTTCCAGGCGATCGGCAAGGGACCACAGCATTGAGATGGGACCGAACGATTAAACAACAAGGGAACGAATACCCGGTTCAGCGACAATGCAGAAGGCTGGGCTGAGCAAAAAGTAAAGGCGTACGGGCAGAATCCCATGTGCGCAAGAAAGGTGTGTCGCAAGTGGGTCACTGCGGCCACCCCATTGCGTGCGCGCAAGGGCACAACGGCCGCCGCGGCGGTGGGAAAATGGTTATTACCACGCACAGCAGTCTCTGCACCCGAGGACCCTGGAGCTGCTGCAGTCAATATGTCTCCCCTCACTCTTGACTCTAGGTCCCGGAGCCAACATATGTACTTGTGGAGGGTAAGTGCATAATAGTCTCTCTCAAACCTGGCCCCCCCCCCCACACATCAAGGGCGCTCGTCTCGCAAGTGCTTGCTTACCCGCTGCGGCGGCTGCGGTGCCAGCGGCGCGACCCACGGCGGCGGCACCACGACCAAACGCCGCAAGTACAGCCGCCGTACCAGCCGCGGCGCCCACGGCAGACGACGTCACGTGGGAGCACAGGCTGTTCCCGCTGCCGCCGGCACGGGGGCTATCGACCGCACCGCGAGGCTGTTGCATGGCGGAGCCACTGCCGAGAGCCATTTCGTCTCCGGAGTTGCCGTCGGCGTGTTTGCTCCTGGTTGCCCTGCCGGATGGCCCCAGTCCCGAGCTGTCGGAAGGGTGTGGCACCGTGCACACCGTCGGCAGTCGCTGCACGCTGTGTCGCCGGTGCAGACGGTCGCGACACGTGCGCTTGTTGTGACTGCTATTTGGCACGCCGCTTTTGCTGCTCAAGCTGCTAGTCATGGCCATGCTTGTGCACGTGCTTGCGGGGAGCGCGCTGGAGCGGCGTTTGCAAGAAAGCAACACACCGCGGCTGACGTCACCCCCCAGGTGCAAACTACGGCAGCTGCTGCCGATGTCCCTGCAACCGCCGCTACGTCGCGCACACGGGTACTTCAATCCAAGGGGAGCCTGCAGCATGCTCGGCAAGAAGTAGAGTCC